TCAGAACAGCTATTTATCAGGTATACCTACCTCAATCAGTAATGCATATTAGAGTTTTCGATTCCAGTTCCATGAAACCTCATATCGTATCTTTGTATTGAAGAATTTGTTTATCTACTTTCTTTAAATGTTTGTATTCACAGGGGTTGATGCCTCCATTAGAACATGAATATAAGTTACATTTCCACAATTGGTTTTTCTGTCAAAACACAATGTTACTAGTTCACATTTACTGTTTTAATATTTTACTTCTATAGTCATTCTCATCATAATTGTATTTGGTACTTCAAACTATCCTATAATCATACAATATAATGTTGCTGTTTTTAATTTTATCTGTTTGATGAGAAATGAAATTGTTTAGTCAAATTGATATTTCCATGTTTATCATGCATTGTTCAGCTGATAATTGTTTAGTCAGAGATTACGTGTAGGCCTGGATGAAGACAACCTTTTAACTTTGGTAAACTTTGTAGCGTTTGAGACTGTGTACTAAATTGTATTGAAATACCCTAGAAAGAGATTGTGTAAATTGACTTGGTTCTGATACTCTACTCACAAGATATTTATGAAAACAGAGATGAACAAAAAAGTAACGATGATGATTATAGTAGTCATTTTTCCCATTGAAAAACTTCATGATACATGTAGTACATGTATGTCACATGTGGCATTTACTCCCTACGATTGCTGAAGAAACATGATAACCAGGACATGTATAACGAATTAGATAAAGACATTTTAGCATATTTACAAGTACTGTATAATGAATGAATTAACCTTTGTATTCCGTGGATGTATACCTGATGAGTCTTTTTGAAAAAATCCTAGATGTACATTTCAAAATGCAATACAGTATTGATGATACTTGATGATGATATGTTTGGTATGAATTATCTAATATTTTTGAATTTATGCTCCATTTGCCACTTGCTGTTCTGGTTCCAAATGTTTGAATTAAAACTGCTCAGTCGAAATTCATTTTCTGTGTTTATATTGCAGAGTTGAGTAGTTAACTACAGATTATGGTCAATGATCAATACTGAATCTTTTTCCTTCATTCACAAATATTTCTTAACATATTTGCTTTATTTCCTATGTGAAAAAATATATTTAGCTAGGCCCCTCTCTAAAAAAAAATTAAATTCCTCATAGTAATAGAGTAGCAAAAGCCCTAATATCACCCGCATGAATTTCAACAAGAAATGGCAGAATTTGTGTGATATTAAGGGGAGATGGAAGGGGGTAAAGAGAGAGAGAGAGAGAGAGAGAGAGGGGGGGGGGGAGGGGAGAGACTACTTGAACGTGTTCTTGAGTGGAAAGTATATAGTAACTTTAGTGCAATCGTTAGTCCCTCCTACATACAATGTACCTGATAATTACACCTCAAAGAATATTAAATACATAATATCCATTTTTTGCTTAAGATTAAAGAGAATATAGTTTATTAATCATTTTAAAAGCACTTGGTAGAAACAAAGTTGATTGTGCTTTCCAATCTGTGCTATTGATAGTTAATTTATTGTGAACCGTAGCTTCGTGAACAAAAACTGACATCATACATCTAACATCATAATTATAAAAAGAAGAAAAGGTGCTCTTATTTTATCCATACATCTATTAAACAAGTAATGTTGCCGTATTTCAGTCTCTATCTCATGAAATTGCTTCACACAATAAAAATCCCATATGTTTTATACGCGCTCGGCTACGAGCCGTCACTTCGTGAAAACAAATCCAAGCGTTCTATGTGATTTGTGTTTTCACGAAATGACGGCTAAGTTAACAGTTCATACAGAGACATTCAGTTTATTCTTATCAATTAAAAAAAACAGCTACCAAACGAGGAAAATGTACTCTATCTCTCAGTTCGCATTATTGTATCTGTACATCAATTAAACAAAACATATTGCCGTATTTAGTGTCCATTTCGAGAATTCCATCAACGAGGGAAAAGTCCCATACGTTTTACGCGCGCGGCTACGTACCGTCACTTCGTGAAAACAAAATCAAAGCGTTCTATGTAATTTGTGTTTTCACGAAATGACGGTTGTGTTAGCAGTTCACACAGAGAAATGAAAAAGCAGCTACAGAAAGAGGAAATGTACTCTATCTCACAGTTTGAATTATTTTATCTGTACATCAATTAAACAAATCGTTTTGCCGTATTTAGTGTCCATTTCGGGAATTCCATCCACGCGCGAAAATCCCATATGTTTTACGCGCGCGGCTACCTACCGTCACTTCGTGAAAACAAAATCACAGCGCGTCCTTGAATTTCGTGTTTTCACGAAGTGACGGTAATGTTTACAGCTCATTTCCCAAAAAATATAAGAAATTATGGAAATAATTAAACATAGAAGTAAACATTGAGATATGTTCTATCCCAGGATATAAAATTTATTTTCCTTTGATACATTACAGAGGTTGAGATTAAGGTTTGAACCTTTGAAAGCGATTTATTCAAAACTAACTTTCTTTTAGTTGCGCGCTCTACCGTCACTTCGTGAAAACAGGGACGAATTATTATCTCAAGTTCTTTTTTTTCCATTTCCTTCATTTCTCCCTCGCTTTAAGGCAGTGGCGGATCTAGGTGGGGGGGGGGGGGGGCCCGGGGGGCCCGGGCCCCCCCCCCCTTGAGAAAAAAATCATGTAAAATCACGTGATTTTTACCTTTTTGGGGGGTTGGCCCCCCCCCCCTGGCGCTCAAGGGGGGGGGGGGGGGTGCAAATTGAAATTTTTTTGAGGATCCAAAAAAAAATGTACTCTCTAACCCCCCCCCCCCCCCCCCCCCCCCCCCCCCCCCCCCCCCACTGAGCGAATTTTTGGCCGGCGCGTTTTTCAAATTTTCGGGAGCAAAAAAAAAAAAAAAAAAAAAAAAAAAAACAATTTGAGGATCAACAAAAAAAAATGTGCTCACTACCCCCCCCCCCCCCCCCCCCCCACTGAACGAATTTTTGGCCGGTGCGATTTTCAAATTTTCGGGAGCAAAAAAAAAAAGTTGGGCCCCCTCCCCTAAGAAATCCTGGATCCGCGCCTGCTTTAAGGTGTGAATTGGTCTTCCTCCGACATCAGTTCAAATATTCTTCTGTGGAAGAATGCAGGAAGGCATTTCAGGGCATGATTCCGGAAGTTAGGGGGATGTTCCCAAATGTTGAGCAACTTCTGGCAAAAAAAATATGATCAGTGATCAATCATGTCAAATGCTTGGGCCAAGTATAGAAATATACCAAGTGTCGTCACTTGCCTATCATAAACACTATCAAAGTCACGAATGAGTGTTTTTAAAATATTTGTTTAGCCTTTTCTGAATCCTTACAGGTTTTCAAAGAGATTAAGAGAACATTATTTTTCTGTGTTTCTCTGAATTGAGATAATAGTGCCGTCAAACACCCTTTTGGCAGAATAATGTTATAAACGATGTACGAGAGGGATAGATAAAGAGAGATTATATAGAGAGAGAGATAGAGGGAGAAAGAGAGAGTTTATAGAGAGAGATAGAGGGAGAAAGAGAGAGTTTATAGAGAAAGAGGGAGAGAGATAAAGTGAGAGATAGAGATAGAGGGAGATAAAGAGAGGATGAGAGAGAGAGAGAGAGAGAGAGAGAGAGAGAGAGAGATAAAGATTTAGAGAGACGGAGAGATAGATGGATAGAATAGCATTACAGAGATTTAGAGGGGAGACATCCACTCCGTTCGCGTTCACCAATGTTGTAACCCGTTTGACATCATTTTTTTTTAGAACGTAGTGATGAGAACGACTGAACGAGTCTGGTTTTATGAAACCATGATGAGCGCGCCATTGCGGTCCTTGCTTTAATATGCCCCTCACTTTTTCCCCTATAGATCTAAGGGTTTCTAAATTATTGAGATATGAAAATTCTGTTAAAGTAAGTTTTATAAATATACATTTTCGATTTTTTGGAAAAACTTGCAAACATTAAACCTTTCGTTTATTATTTTGTTTTATTCAGTCTATATATTTCACCGTTTCTGATACTGAATTTATATTGGGAGGGGTGTAAACCCTTATGCCACATCATACCCTGTAAACACCGCATTCTATGGGCCTCCGACCCCCCCCCCCCCCACGGGTCTAATTCAGATTGACGCCCCTGCCAGCTTGTCGCAGCGAACTTCAGATCAAACATATTGAGGCTCTTTCTGATATAATTGATCGAATAAGGACAATAGCTAGCTAGTTGGAAGATAATTTCTTCCACTGTTATCACCTAGAGACGTACGTAGGCCTAATCAACAAAATATTTTGCAAACCCGCGATAACATCGATGTTCAGTGGTTACCGGTAACAAACTCTCTAAACGGATTTGAAGATTCTGCCTAAGAGCCATTACAGTACGTACCATTATAATGTCACGCAAGTGTAACAAACAGTGATTTTTGTATTGTGTATCATCTACTTTTGAGACAAAACTTGTCTGAAAAGTGGAAAACAAAGGATCGCGAGACTCGAGAGGCATTTTCGCTGCCAATCATAGCTCTGGACGCTGAGGCAAAAAAACATTATGTTTCAGCTAGCCCCCCTCATCACAAAATCCTGCACATGCAAATGTTCAGGTATAATCTTTTAGAATGATCAGTGTCGGTAATCGAGCGACCAAGAAAAGGAGCTTCGAGCTCGCTTCTATAATTTCCTTAGATTATTAACCATCCTCTGATCACGGGACCTGCCATGCGCAAACACGGAGCTGACGTAATTTTGGGTGTATCAAAAAACTGAAGTTATAAGCTAGTTTACACGAGGTATTACACGTTATCCAAACCTCACCATAAAAACTGCGGTTACACATAAAATATATAATTTACTTTTCAAAGTAACCTCAAAAATCTAACAGAATATGATATTGTAAATAGGAAGTTATAAATATATTTTTTATTTATTAAAATATCTCTTTTAAATTAGCTATTGGTTGCATATTAGAGTGTAGTGTACTACAAGTAGTTGTCTAGTCGAATATTTCAGCTATTCTTACGTGTTGTTTAATGCGTCGCGTATATATCGAAGAAGGAACTATTAAGAGTGACATGTCGCATTGTTTGTCTCACAATCGGACAAATATAGCAGACTTAAGTTCTGGTTAACAAGCAAGGGAATGTTAGGGTGAATCGTAGTGTATATTTGTTCAGGGCACAATTCACTTCTGTAATATACTTAATGTTAGCTTTTATGCCTGTTATTCTGTGTCTCATTTCTGCCACTCTCCATTGTTTTGGTGCTGGACTGTACAGGTGAACGTGTACCGGCGCCGGCGTAACGTCTTATTCGGCATAGTCAATAGCGGGTCCGCCTACTACACTCTGGGGACGTCGGCGTTTGTCAGCCAACATCACAGCAAAGCCAGAGCTTCAGTTATCAATTCACAATTGGAATACATGTGGAGCATGGAAGCATCTCATAAAATACATATAAATATATGTTAGGCTAATCTGTACCAATTCTAATTGACACTTGCTTTATTTTGTAATTTTGTGAACTTAATTAAAATAAAATTAAGTGACATTCACATTGGCATTGCTTGATTGACTTGTTTAAATTGTTAACAAAATCTGCCAACTTGATATCGTAACTCAGCTCACTAGACATGGAGACTCTAGCGGGTTCTCCATTGACTCTTGTTGTAAAAGCTCCAAACCAGGAGGTTGGCGATCAGACTGTAGAATGTTTTCTTGAATGGACTGTGAGAAAGCTGAAGAAGCATTTGTCTGCTGTTTATCCAACTAACCCCGTGAGTAAAAGATATTGCACTTCGTAGACCACTGAATCAATGATGGGTTTAAAACATGTACAGTATGAATTCATTTAATTCAGTTATGCCGATGTCACAAGCATCTCTACATGTTGGTTTAGGCCCGGAAACCTTTTTAAAAAAAAGAAGATATTGAAAACTAAGGTCTAAGGAAGCTCAGTTAAAGATTAAAAACACATAGGCCTAAACAAAGTCATTAAAGTTTGCAGCCAAACCCTGTACACAGGCCAAAAGCACAGCACAACGTACAAAAAATACCCTATTTAAGAGGCCGGTACTCGACTGGAAGAAGAAGTAGAAAGAGAAGAAATCCCTTTAAAAGGCTTTAATGAAATCTCTCTTTACTTTTAGTTTTGCAAGTCCAAGTCTGAAGAAAAGCTCACTGTTGAGCTGAGCCTTGAAAGGTCACAAGTAACTTTTTCATTGATAATGAACATCCTTCTTCATAACGCTAAAAAAAAAAAATCTTTAAAATTTAGTGGAATTACGATTTGCGATTTTAAAGGGAACGTCTGAACAAAAATAGATTTGGAAAAGGGAGCCAAAACCGAAGTAAAAAATGAGTGCTCAATATTGTCTAGTGCCTATTATTCAGAGGTTGTAAGAACATGATATGTTTAACTTACAGGCACAATTTGACATTTTCTTTTTTACACAGAATGAGAGGAGCCAAAGAATTATATATTCAGGAAAGCTTCTCCAAGACAACTTGCTTTTAAAGGATGTTCTATATGTGGTAAGTAAAACTTCAGCATACATGTCCATGTCGTACATGCATAAATTGTATGCATGTTCAACATTGTATGCATCCCCCCTCCCTCCAATGATATCAGCCAAATGAAAGGCATACGTGTCGGTCTGGTATCTGCTTTGATTCAAGGTTGATTGAGAATTGCAGCCATATGCTGAAATGGAATAGTACCGGTACACAATTTGATAACAAATATAATTTTATAAAAACAAGATTACAATAATGAAGATTTGGCATGAATTCATAAATTAGTTAAAGGTTGAAATTTCAAAATTGAATACCGTATTATTATGTACCTGTATATTATTTGTACTCTTTATACTCTACATATATACATTTACCGTACATTGCTTTTTTAATTTTGTAATTACTGTTTGATGATTAGTTGCTCTGCTAAAAAACAAATTATGAGAATGCATAAAGTGATTAAAGGAAGTGTTAAGAATAATTTTAAATTCATAACTTTGGATAATAACATTCAATTATGTATAGTTAAACAAAAACAGTTAATAGTGAAATCAGTAAAATCACATTTTTGAGTACAATTTTTATTTTCATAATTTCCAAAATTTAAGGTATCAAATTATTAAAATGTAGTTTTCTTGGATGTAAATTTGGAAGTTCATGAAATTTCTCATATTTTCTTGAACTGTGTATACATGTATGTACATGTAGTTGGTTCCAGAAGGTAGAAACTGTTTGACTAAGCAATATTTACATGTAGGTTTCAGATTCGTAATGTTCAGTCAACTAGTACGGAGGATAACTTACTTGGTGTTAACAATCTACATGTACATGTATGAGATCTGTGTGTCTTCACTCTTCAGTGTTGAAATTTATCTTTTTTTCACAAGGAAACTATTAATTTTTTTATTGTTACATGTACATGTATGTGAGATATCTTTGCAATAATTCTTGCAATCTTTAATTAAAAAATGATGAGAACTCTTTTTGAGCATTCTCAGAACTCGAATCACTCTCCACTCCATCCTGTTTTTGTTTTTAATCCATTTGTTTTTACTGGTCTCCACTTTGTCTTGTCTGTTTGTCTCTTTAGACTGATCCTAAGGATAAATGTACAGTTCACTTGGTGTGTACACCATCCCCAGAAGAACAAGCCAAGAGAGATAGAAGCTGTAGCAGACAGAGTAAAGAAACAGTACTACCCAATAATGATGGTCTCAGACAACGAACGTCAGCACAACGTGTCCCTCAACCTGAACAGCCCTATCAAACTGTTTACCCCAATGCCACGTAAGTGAACTACTGATAATAGGCCATGTGGTGCTTTTATAACTTTGATGGTATGCCCATCCAACAGACCAATATCTGCTTCTCTTCTTTTACAGAAAATGCATGTACATGTACATGTGTATCTTTTTTCTGCTGATCTTTGAGAACAAAAACAAATAGGCATGCAACTAAAATGCTTACTTATTGGGCCACTTATGATAGTTCATCTCAGTTTTTGTAAAAGATTATGACATGGTGTATACTAATATAGATATTTTCTAGGCTAAGAAGAATTTTCATTTTTATGTTTTTCCCTCTATTGTTAATGTGAAATTATCCTTAGAAAACAACAGATAATACGTGAAAGAAAGACTGAGAGACTTATCTCGTAGAACTTAGAAGTATGGGTTAAACTTCTCGTAAGCAACATAGAATCAAGAAAAGTGTCATATGCATTTGTAGTGGAAGTCAAAAGCAGTTGAGTGTAATACTGTGTAAAGGAGATTTGGATTGATCCATTTAGCATGTACAGTACATGTATTTTCAGTTATGATAATAGACTAGTAATATTTAACTTCCTTATAGGGTAATGTACCATTTAGTGAATAATAAGTGATATGGGGATAGATTACATAAATGAATTATTTCCTTGTTTGGTAATCAATCGATATCTTCGTAATAGACAAATTGAGAAGGGAGCAAAAAATTAAAGATTTATTTTTTATTTTTTAACTCCTGTTGTGTCATGTAGTTTATATTGATTTCCATAACGTTGTGACATGTCATTTCTTTTGTTTGTTTAGTCCTTTGCCTTCAACATCTGGCTCAGTCCCTGTGCCTCATCCTGGCGTAATGCCAAACTCTTCCATGTCTACAGCACAAATGCAATGGATGCAGCACATGTATGCCCAACAACAACAGATGGCTGCATACATGCAATAGTGAGTACATGTATAATAAATGGTCTACATTGCTGTATTAACAAATCATTAACTCATCGCTGGAACAAGATAGTGTCACATCAGGGCTGTCGTTTAAAGCCGGTAACCGGTAAAACTTGCCGCCTATTCACTCGTTTCTTACCGGCTATAATTCCTATAATAAACCTTGCAAAAATCACAGAAAGTAGATCTAAATCAATGCTAATCCAAAATTTCCTTAATTTCGTCCAAGATATAATTAGTGCCGCACATACACGGCCGCAGTCGACGAAATCCCTTACGATCACGAACGCGACGTCGTCCGTACTTACCTAGACCTATCTATCTAACGTTACATCGCAGTTCTCCCCCCACAGCGCGGCGGCCAAGCCCGCCCGTCCCTACCCCATTGCGATCCCGATGTGCACGCGAGAATACGATGCACTGCACAAAATATATACACACTGATCATAACAAAACTGAAGCTAGCTCGCTGTAACCAAACTATCCGTTGCCGATTTGATATTTGAAGATCACGGAAACCGGGGCCTATACACGTGCGTGCAATGTCTAGAGACAACGTACTTTAGATTCTGAGATGCGCAAATCGGCAACAGAGTTTTGAACTCGGCTGAGTTTAGGCCGGCCACGGCCGTCCCCGGCGGACCCCCGCAGCTAGCTCGCATGATATATGCAGGCGCGCGCTCAGCGAATATTCAAAACTAACTTCCGATCGCCAAATAAAAGTCACAAGTAAAAAAAAAATCAAAATCTAGCCTCTGCTGCCCATTATTTAAATACTGTACATGTATTCAACAAATTATGATGTAGAAAGATTGAGTATGGTGCATCATCTCAGTTTAATTAAAAATTACACAGTAATGGTACAAAGTTATAAATAATTATCAACTTAATAACTTTTCTTATGAGTTATGATTGTTCATGTAATATTAAACATGAACAATATGTGTGTTTATTACAATATATGTGTAATACAAGGTAGGAAAGATAACTACAAATTTTCTTCTTAGGTATGCACCAGATTGCACGATTTCAAGTGGAAAATCCCAAAAGGTCCCTACCGTGGGAGGGGGGACACCCCCCTCCCACACCCCCCCCCCCTCGGTGGCTTCGCTCCCTCGCAGTGATGGTACCTCCTATAAAATTCAAATTACCTCCTTCAAAAATAATTAACAAGACCCCTGCACATAGAAGAATATCATAAATTGGATTGATTACGAGTGTTTTTGTCATGAAAGCTAATTTTGAAATCGGTAGACTTGTGTGTAATACAGATATATTCGGTTTTAATAGAATATCAGCGGGTAGTTATAAACGGTACCCCATCGAGTGCATCAAAAGTTGTCAGCGGCGTAGCTCAAGGAAGCGTGCTGGGGCCGACACTGTTCTTGTTGTATGTTAATGACATTCCAGATATTATATGTAACACTGAATCAGAAGTCAAACTATTTGCAGATGACACCAAAATCTTCTCACCAATTCACTCTTCATTGGATGGCAAAAATCTACAAGCAGATCTAACAAAGCTCACAAAATGGTCCCATCAGTGGCAACTACCATTTAATCAAGAGAAGTGCAAGGTAATCCACTATGGTCGAAGAAATCCTTGTTATGATTATTTCATGTCAGACGAAGATATACCTATTCCTGCCGTTGAAGTAGAAACAGACCTTGGGGTAACCTTTGACCAGCAATTGAGGTTTTCCCGTCATGTGGATGGAGTATGTGCTGCTGCAAATCGCAAGCTAGGGATTATCAAGAGGACATTTTCTAATTTGGAAAAAACGGGCTTTATACATCTATACAAATCAATTATAAGACCAAGACTTGAGTATTGCTCAACGGTGTGGCATCCTGTATTGAAAAAAGACAGCACGAAAATAGAAAAGGTACAGCGTAGAGCAACCCGCCAAATACACATGCTACGACACTTGAGCTACGAAAAGAGACTAAAACATCTCAACTTACCATCTCTTGCCTACAGACGCCATAGAGCAGACATGATACAGATATACAAAATAATGCATGGCCTAGATGAACTGGATCTAGCACACTTCTTTGACCATCCAACTGATAATAGAACCCGTGGCCATCGATACAAGATCGTTAAGAAGAAAGTCTACTCGAAGCTTAGACATGGATCATTTTCACAGAGAAGTATCAATGAATGGAACAACCTCTCCTCTGTAGTTGTGGAGAGCAAGTCACTAAACAGCTTTAAATCCAATTTGTTGAAGTTTTGGTCGTCAAGAAAAGATCAATTTGACCCAGAGGAGTCCTTCGCTTGTCCATGTTCGTCAATTGCTGTATAGCGCCACTAAACATGTGCCAAAATATGGATTCTTCATCTGAATGTCAACGAGAGGCAAATAAGTTTTTAACTTTAAATGCCTACTTCCAAGGTATTTCCAAGGTATATCTACATGTAGTAGGATATATTTATTCAAAATTGTTTAGAACATTGAACAGTGAAAATTGAATTGAAGCAAATAGGTGTATTTTGTCTGTAAGTTATTTACCACTTAATTTGTCATCAGCTTCTAATTATTTTAGCAGTATTAATTAAATATTTAAAAAAATGTTTGTTGTCATCATTCATTTAGACATTTTCCAACTTTGAATTTGACAGTGCGAGTATGATGGCAGCAAGTAGCGGTGGTATGCAGGCAGGTTGGAACCCAGCTTATCCAATGACTTCATCACCATGGTTACCACCTACAGTACCCCACCCTGCTACCACTATCAACCAACCCCACCCCGCCCCAGCGCCTGCTCAACCAGGGGAAGCAGCCCCACCCCAGGCTGCTGCTGCTGCTGCTCCAGCTGCCCCTGCTGCTGCCCCACCCCCACAGAGAATGAATGTGGGTGGGGGTGGAGGTGATATTGATGAGGAAGGGGCAAGGAGAGATTGGCTGGATTGGACGTTCACTCTCTGTCGGTTTGGAATCCTGCTGAGTATCGTCTATTTCTATTCATCCATCCATAGATTCTTGATGGTTGCAGGAGCCGTCTTTGTCCTGTACCTGTAAGTAACATTACTATTCCTTTACACTATGTGCTTCAATTGAAATTCAGAGTGTGAGTTATCTTTACTAGGGACCATTCATCCATGTCCTTATCTGATCCACATCTGAACCAGTGACATTTGTCCTGGGCTTTGTTTTTTCAAAGGTATAGTGTTAGGGTTAAGGTTGCAATTCTCCCTAGGTTCTGTTAGGTTATGGGTTTGGGCTAGGTATAGTGTTGGGTCTAGGGTTAAAGTTAGGAATTCATTCATGTGTGAAATTGATTGCAGAACAATTGCCACAGAAGCATGTGTTTACAACCATCTTAAAATCCAAGATCCACTCCAATGTTTATTGATTTAATGAATAGCTAATAAAGAAGTTGTTTAAGATGAATTAATAAAGAAATATATTTGATCAGTAATTTAATTGCAATGTATTTTGAATTTGTTTTACTGTACAGATATCAATCAGGGTACTTCCAGCTCAGACGAAGACTGAGAGCCAGACCACCTGTCACCCCACCCCAAGAGCAACCCCCTAGGGAGGAAGCCATGCCCCAAGATGGGGAACAAGAACCAAATGATAATCAGGTTAGTTTACTAGGATGTACCATTAAGCTATTGTAAATACAAACCAAGAATTCTTATGTTTTAAATCCAAATTTGATATAATTTCATCCCTATGTGATTGAAATATTAATCCATCACTTCAAGAGGTTTAATTTTAACAGATGTGGAAGCTTGTAGAAAGAGGTATAGACTGATGTTCATTATTACATTACTTATAGTAGAGAAGCCTTGATTACCTCTTGGACCATGTGTCAAGTATTCTATGATTTAAAAAAAATATAAATAAAGTATTCTTATTCATGTATTTTTGTCTACCAGCCTGATGAGTCAGAGAGCAGTACTAGTACCAGTGATGATGTCGATGGTAACACAGAAGCTGAACCAGCAGAACCTCCTAGGCCTGGTATGCTGCTTACAGTTTGGATCTTTGTCTCAACATTCTTTACATCAATACTCCCTCAGGGTCCTCCTCAACAGTTCCCTGCCAACTAATGAACTCTGTATCACAGGGACCTCCTCAACAGTTCTCTGCACACTCTAAAAACTTCGGACCTTCTTAGCAGTGCCCTACGTCATGGACATTCTCAACAGTTCAGTGCACATTATTAAACTTTGCATCACTGAGACGATCTTATCATCTCCCTGTGAAATGATGAATTCTACATCACAAGGATCCACTAAATATTTCTCCCTATGAAATCTATGACCTACTAATGCCACGGAACAGAGAAACCCATGAATCTTGACATATGAATGTCTTCGGGTGACTTATGACAGAGAAGCCTGTATTACATGTATATGATGAAAAATTGTTGGTAGGCCATTTGCCTAAATTTAATTGTAGGGGACACTCCTACGATTTTATATTTTTCTAATTTTACTTGAAATGATGATGCTACTTTTAAGACTTGTCTTTGACACAGCAGTGAATGTGTCGCACAACTTCTTGACAGCATTCTCTAAATCATGTTTTACAATTTCATGAATTTCAGCTGAAGGCGGGTGCATGTTAATTTTGGTGTGGTTATTTTTTCAAAAAATATGTACTAGTGAACTTCTATAAAATATCCCACATGTTGATCATTTTTGAAGAAAAAAGGGTTTGTGAATGATCAGCAAGAAGGGTTGTTTAGATATAATAGAATTAAGTGTTCTATTTACTTCACTTTAGTTCTGTAGCAATGTATGTCTGCCTAGTGATCTTATTTGTTGTTTTGACAAAGATCAAAGAGAATTTGATTTGCACAAAAGCATGGCTTCATTTATTTATCTGTAGAAGTACTTACTTTTATCTGATTATTTAGCATTACAAACAGTGTATGTAGGTAGAACACATTCCATATTGATTTGTTCGGAGGAAAGTTAAGATGTGATTTTGGTCATCTTTGACTGCCCACCCCTTCCCATTCACTCTCAGTTTATTTGCCAGACCTAAATCCTAATGAAGCGCTGTTTGACAATTTCGTTGCCATTGTTTTAAAGTTTTTTTCTGAACCATCTGTTTGTTGGTCAATCTTCGAAAGGATCCTGAGAAACCTCCTTTTTGTTGTTCACATTTGTAGTCATAGATGTGAAGCATCCAAGCAATCTTTACATGAAGATGCATATACTATGGTGTTTGTGATTCATTTATCTATAGGAAACAAGGTATCATTTTTGAAAGGATTTTTAAGGTAGCACTTTTTGTCTCTTAGATTATTTCTCAAATTAACTAAAGAAGTTTTTTTGATAAAATAGTTTTTATCATTATGATAAAAATGAAAAATATAAGCTGGTACCCGGTATGTTAATTTCTTAGGTGGTATACAAAGAAAAACAAGAAAAGATTTGTTGTTTTGATTTCTATAAATTTATCCTAATGTATCTTGAATTACATATAGGCCCGAATTCACAAAGGAGGTTTGTCGCCAACCTCGGTTTGTCGACAAACCTCCTTTTGTTTCGACAAACCTCCTTTTGTTTCGACAAACCTCCTTTTGTTTTTTACAAACCAGGTTTGTAAAAAACGCGTCAAAACGCGTCATATGACGTACATAAACCTCGGTTTGTCGACAAACCTCCTTTGTGAATTCGGGCCATAGAATTGTTATATGGCAACAAAGGCTTATTTTTCATTTGACCTGTACTATTACCATATAATTATTGCATTGTTTGATGTAGAGAAGATAACAGCTAAAGCTGAAAATCAAATTGTCATGAATCATGTATTTCTCAACAAGATGACATATGTATTTCTACTGTATTTTTATATAGAGATACTGCATGCAAAAAGAGATGGGAAGCTTTTTATGTTTTTAAAGAAGAAAATACAATATTTCTGCTTGAAAGCAAACCATATTCCTTGAGAATTGGTACTATTCTTTTAGACGGTTTGCAAATGCATGCAGAGGTGAATGCTATTAGAATTATGTCCACTACACCATGTGACTCACTAAGCTACAAATGTTATGTTCATATTAGAATACTTAAAAGAAAGTATGAGAGATTTTTTTTTAATGAGTAAAAGCTCCTTTCTTGTTTTAAGATATAAAAGCTTTTAAGCGTACTACTTTATTACATGGGCATCTATCTATATTGTTAGTTTGATCCTACCTTCCTTATAATTATTTGTGTATTCAATTAGTCATTTGTCCATGACTTTGACTTGCTTTATCAAAATCAGTAATGTCTTTTAATACCTTTGTTTCTTTGTTCATGTTTAATAAGATAATGTGTAACATATGATGTGGAAAGAAGGTGGCATGTTATAGAGGTGTGTAGAGGTGTCGTGGTCGAGTCCCGCCGCGGTACGAATGTCCTTTGGCAAGACATTGATCTACATTTGCGACACTTAACCCAAGTGATGTAAATGGGTACCCGACATGAATTAATTTCTTGAAATGCTAGAGCGCCGTAATGGCAGCCATGCTGAAGCCAGGGTAATGGTCAGAAGCGCCAGGAGTGTTAAGTCCCACAGATATGTGCGCTATACAAGAACCCAATATTATTATTATTATATATCTGGTGGAGGAACAAGGAATTAGTTTATAAATAATGATATTACAATGAAAGAATGGGGATCAGAGAGACCCTTTTTGCTGTTGATATAGCGGTAGTTAGGTTTTTTTGTTTAATGAAGAAAAAAAGAGAAGAGTGAACTGTGACCTAGCTAAAGAAGCTGGTTGAATTTGTCAGCTGATTATTTATCAGTTTAACTGTGAGAAGAGAAGAGAAGAAGTATAGATATATAGACGGATGCAAGGAAATAAAATTCCCTCAATACAGCATACTTATTTACTTTAATGTGCTATTTTGATGTTCAAGTTTTGAGACATGAATGAGGCCTTGATATGTATGTAGCCCACAACTTCCAATGTACCAAAAAATGCAATAAAAAGGTGAAAAAGAAAAAAATGGATTATATGAGAAGAGAATGCTTGTTTGGTAGATGATGTATTAGCAATTTAGAGTGCATTTCAAAAGAGAGTATGGTAAGGTGAACGCTAGAACAGACATCTTTTTTTTTCCTCCGAAAACCCGAGCTTGTTAGGAAACATATCTGATGACTATTCATGTTACTGCTTGATCTACTCCAGAACAGAGCATATTAGTTATTGCAGTTAAGTTAAACCTTTATAAACGTTCGATCGCAAATTTATGAAGGTCATACCACCATCTTTGAAATTGAGATTATTTAAATATTTGAGAAATTGCATGTAAAAATACACACAGACTCAAAAACAGGTGATGAATGATATGCATTGTATGTGGACTCTAGTTCCATTCAATTTATCTGCTTCTCCAGAGAATAGTCGGATGAATGAAATTTTGCTAATTTTTCATGGTATGAATTTCTAAGAAAATTAATTCATTATATAAGTTTTTCTTTTCTTGAGCTTATCTGTACTGACATGGTGGTGATTGTAAATATTATGTTTTAAAATAAATGATTATATAAAGAATCTATTGAGATGTTATTTTGTGTAAGTTGTGTTCATGTTAATTATATTTATTATATGAAGAAAAGTAACATGATTCATTTGCATTTGCAGCAAATGAGCAAAGTCTACCAATGGGACATGGTTTACCAAATGACATGCAGTCAAGACTACTATCTTGATATATATTCGCTCTCTTTATATATTCAAGCTTTTCTACCAAATAACATTTCTTTGAAGTCTTGAACATTCACTGTCATGGGTTTTGTTGATTGAACTAAAATTCATTTCAACTTTTACCATAAATGAAGACCACTTTAATTAAACATTAAAAACATTACTTAAACATTTTCAAGTGAAATTCTCACTTTTGTTGAAATACAGTTTGATAGAAATTTTAAGATTATCATAAATTTGTTGTTTTTAAACAAAATAGCCTCCCATAAGATATTTAGTGACTGAAGTATTTCATAATATCAGAGCAAGAGAAATAGAGCCACAGTAGTTTACATTTAGTCATTGTTTAATTCTCTTCATATACATTTGTATTCAGTCCTTTCAACTTTCAACCAAGATCACTTATTGTACACATAGCATACAGAATATTTCTTTTATCTTACAAACTATGGCTAGCAAATATGAGTTAATTGCAAACACAAAATTTTTTGTTCTACATGGCAAGTTTTTTAAGAGAAAAAAAAATGAGCTAAAGATTACTTCATTAAAAATGCAAGCAGCTTCATTGATTAAACAAAATATATATAATACATGTACCATATTAGAAGCATGCTTTTTTCGCATTTGAGAATTCTGTCGATCTAAACTCTACACTTCAATATTCAATATAAACATGCTGTATTTCTTAGATGCAGCGTTATCTGATTGCTATTGCGAGTCATTATTGTCCATTTTTATCTTTATCAGTTTGAATTGAGATACCTCTTTTCCCAATTTTAATGGATAAATAGGCTGCAACAATCAATTTGTCATAAGAGAATAGAAAATTGCAGTACACTGTACATTCAAGTTTTACAAGCAGATTTAGCTCGTAAACATGGAGCTTGTATCATTTGAAGGGTACTATTTGTTAAAATAAAGCGCTAGTAGAAATGGTATGCTTGTCCCTATTTAAAAATGTGTGTGTAAAAGATACTGTGTATACCCTAGAGTTAACAAAGATTTATGGCAGTGCACAAATTAAACTCCTGTAAATGGGACATTCCTTTCAAAATAAACATTGAAGAGTGATATTTTACCCTCATAATGAATAAAGAAATTGGTACATCCCTTGTACAGCCTGTAGTATTATCATGCCATCTCGGCAATTGAAACTCACAGATGCATTCACATTCCCTACACCTAGATTCGAGAAGGGTGGGATTCCACCACCCCTATTTGTGCTCTCTAATCGGTGGTACCACACCTGCTTCAATTCATGACTAGTAAAAGAGCATGCAAGCACAGCAAGAGGATTTTGTATATGTAACATAACCCTAATCTAGGTAGAAGCCCCTGTACCACTGAATTTGTTTTTAAAGACCGTCACCACTACTGGGCCAGAAGGGATTAGACCACACAGAGAGCCATCGAGGTCACTGTGACAGGTGGCTATCTCATTAACTCAGCTCTCATTTAACATAAGAAAAAGAGGATCATGGGGGACCAACAGGCACCGATTGGGGAAGTTTTCTATATAGAGGGAGCAAGTAGCTACAAGTATGGCAGTGTGCCTTTAAGTTTCACCAAAATTATGAATAAATGAAATACAGAGATATCCATGTCTCCTTACCATAGCAGTCTCTCCTCTCTAGTCTATATAAAATTATACTGCACCCTTTTTCATAAATTAAACAGTTTCTCTTTTAATAAATTTAAAACCTGGTAAACATATCATCTGACACATTTATGTAGCAGCAAAGCTTTCTAATATAAACACAATTACACTACAACACATACATGTATATTGAATAAAGCATGGATTCTCCTACATTCAAAGTGCCTTTTTTCTGAGTGTTAGTAAATTTTTATTGCCCATATATCCCTAATCAAATTAGATTTCACCCTAATTAGTTTGGTAGCTGATACCTTTTTTTAAGGGTATATTTTCATATTTGTTTATGTCATGTTGGTGATTTGTTTTTTACATATCAACAAAGCAGTAGATAATTCAGTTTCTGCTTACAATCAGTGAATTAGAACATTCACATTAAGATTGTTCAGCTTATAACTGCTCTTAAACTAATAACAGAAAATGTTCAAAATGTAATATTATTGTGAAAATCAAAACAAATATTGAAAGATGTGAGTACCAGTAGTGCAGTTACTGTCTTAGAAATTATCATACCAAATAAATTCTGAAAACTACATAGCTCTCTTTGGTAATTTGAGACTCATATACCTACTACAGGTATCGCACTGTCTGGGTTTCATTTACAGAAAATAGAATATGACAACCCCTAAGTGCGCACAGAATCATATTAGTTAAGTTACTTCAATACTTGAATTTCATGGTTCTGCTGTATACAAATGAGTAAACAAACTCCCTTACTATACCGAAGAATAACCAGAAAACATGAAACATTTGCTGACTAGGAAAAAAGAACATGTAAAGTTGAGAAACTGCACAATGAAAATTAATATGCATATACAAAGAGTTCTGCAAAAAAATTGAAGCTCATTTGTCATCCTAATGATGAAATCTCTATTGTAAAGAAAATTACCCTGCATGTTTAATATTGTAGACATTATGAAACAATATATCGATAGCAGATAGTATTATGCAATGAGATAAATGAAAATGACATATGCGAGCTCAAGCAAATCTTTGTAGTCTGGACATTCTTCCTCTGTTCCAACCACTCGTCAATACTGAATTTCATTGTTGATAATTTAGCGTCTACAGTAGACAGCACCAGTCCAACCCAATTCAACGAAGACAAGTTTTTAAAGTCCTCAAGAAAAATGAAAATGTCATATGTGAGCTCAAGCAAACCTTTGTATTTTAAGACATTTTCCCTTTATTCTAATCACTGTCAATACTGAATTTCATAGATGATTGATTGTATGTATCTTCTGCAGTAGACAGCTCAAGTCCATCCCAATTCAATGAAGAAAATGCAGATTTCATTTATTCTTTACAGTCAAATGACAAGTTTTCAAGATTTGTTCAGTCCTCTAGCAATCCACGAGATCACCGTCCCTGTAGTAATAATGACACAGTCTCATACCAGACACAGTCCATGTATACCATGGAGTGATCCATCTAGTATGATATATTTCATAGCTTTCATCACCAAGGCTCAATGGTCCAATGTATGGGTAGCTAGCTGCATCTTTAGCATGCTCAATGAACTTCTGCTGTCTGAGTAGCATTGTCCCGGACGGACTTGGGCTCATAATTCACCAACTGTTGTCCAACGAGGTATCTATTAAAAGGATAGAGGAAATAACTTAAATAACTTGGAAACATAGAAGGAAAATGGAGGTGCATAGCTTGTGGAATAAATAAAAGGAGGTAAGATAATATATGATCAAACAATCTCATAAGTTGTAAAAAGGTACACTGAATGAAAACCATCGCAGTTTCAAAACTAGGAACATAATGCCATAATTTGAATGCTTCCAGTGCAGATGAGTAGGACTTACTTATCATTCTTGATGTGTTCATAGAGTTTCTTGAATTGCTTGGCCTGGAATACGACCAGGGAGACTCCTACGACTACAGACACGATGAGAGGATAGATACGCCTTGCCATTTGATGATTGGTCTCTTCTCCAAACCCTGACAGATCAAACAGGAAGGGACAAAAACAGAGAGAAAATTTTAGCAATACTAAATTAGATATTTCAAATATTGTTAAGTAAACACGCAAACAAATATTATACAGACTCCATACAAAAATACTTAAATTTGACGACCAACTTCAATTTCTCGTTATTACTAAACAAATACTTATACAAAAAGATTTTTTTGTTTTGTTGGAAAGCTGACAAATATTTGGACATATCATATAATACCAATATATTTAATTTGTACAGTTAACCACCTCTAAACTAAAAGCATCAAACATTCATTTTCATTTCCTTAAGCTCCCAACTGAAGGACTAATGCCTCAGTCACACCTTTGCGTATTGCTGCATATTGCTGCGTATTTATGGCAAGCCATTTTAACATTTATTCCTATTTCTTGATATCAAGAAATGATTTTCTGTTGTAAAGCAATGGTAATTCTTGATATCAAGAAATAGGAATAAATGTTAAAACGGCTTGCCCTAACGACGCAGCAATACGCAAAGGTGTGACTGAGGCCTTAAAGAGGTAATACTTCCTGCTTCAGCCGATATCTTTTCACTGAGACTTTCATTTTGTATACTCACCGAGGAGAGGGAAAATACCGACAGCAAATGAATAAGGAGCAGTGAGGCCGACCAGAAGGCAAATGGTAACAGGCAAAGCTAGACGACGAGTGATGAAAGTGAGATTGAGCTGTCTTAGACCATCCTGATAGACCTGTTCTAAGACATCTTTAAGCCACCAGCTAGGACCCATCATGGTAAGAGCACACAGGATCTTGGCTTGAAGGACACCTAATGCCCAATCCTACAACGTATGGAACAGAGACAATAACAATATTAACAACAGCCATGTATATGATGCTCAAATATCCATCCTAAGGATTACTTAAGGCAACTAATAGATTAACCCTGGGCAGCGTTTCACGTAACGATCGTTAGTACAAGTTCGCAGACAACCTCTTGAGATGCGTGTATTAATTTAATTCTAGGTTTGATGGGATGTCCGTAAACTTGTACTTATGACGGTTTTGTGAAACACCCTAGTTTTCATCAAATTGACTTTAGGTGCGGAAGGCATTAAAAGAATATTATTTACTACAACTGTGTTCAGAGAAGCAATATAATACATGCTCTGATATTTTGCAACATAACTTCTATGATTACGAGTTGACAGATGATGGCCCAAATTCACAAGGGGGGTTTAAATTTAACCCATGGTTTAAATGTTCATTTACATTACCCATGGTTTAAAATTAGCGCAAAATAAGCGTGACACAGTCAGAGGTCCGATATTAGACCCGGCATGGCAAGGTACGCTTATTTTGCACTAATTTTTAAACTATTGGTTATGTTAAACCTCCTTTGTAAATTCGGGCCAATATGTTTATTACCAAAACTCCCCAGTAACCTATGATTATTTTCATAATCTACAAGCTGAGCTTTTTAAAAGGTTCCTCACATTTCACCCTGTATAACCTTCTATTCAATACAATTAATTTCGACGTCTTTTCAAAGAATTAATTATATAATGTGACACTTTTAGTATATTTCATATTATGTTCTAATTTTGTCAATTCTGTCAATTCTTTTTTTGTGAAATGTGAAACAAATAAACTTGAACTTGAACTTGAACTTGACCCCCCCCCCCTGCCTAATTTGACCGATCTTCATGACTTGCCTGTCTCAAGAAGAACACTGGTGTTTGATCCATTTGAACTCGCTGAGGGATGACCACCACAAGCTCAAACAAAACACCCAACAGTAGAGGAACAATGCCAAGCAACATACTAGCAACTACTACAGACTTCCAGCCCTAAAGAGATTAGATCAAATATGAAACAAACATTAGTTTGACTGTCAAATATAGATTGTTGTTTTTGCATTGAAATATGTTACAACACTTAAGGCAGAATTTGGAGAAATGAAGCAGATCAAAAATAGACACAATGAGACAAGGAATGAGAATACAGTAGTTAAAGCACTTGCAAATAAGACAGAGTAAACTGATTTGTTTACAATATTGTTTTAAGTCCTATGTACCTACGATCTCATGAAAAGACACTGTAATTAAAAAGCAGCAGAAAAGAGGATGTGAAGAATAATAAATAAAAGAGAAGTGAGATGCACATAATAACGATAATAATATGTCTTGTTTACGCAGGGTAGCCTCATCAGTATAAATACTGTTCTCCCTGAGGGCCCTGCAATCATATCATTACCCCGGCTTTAGCCGATCTACCATGAAAAGGTGCTCAATCATTCAAAGGAATTTCTTACTACCGGGTACCCATTTACCTCACCTGGGTGGAGTATGGCAAATGTAGATTAATGTCTTGCCAAAGGACATTAGTACCACAGACTTCATTGCACTTCACTTCAGACTTCATTGCATCACTATAACTTACCAGCAGTGCGTATTCTCTGACTTTCACCATAAGCAGCTCCAGACCGTGCGGTACCCATGTCATCATGACAGAGCCTAGTCTTAGTACCAGCCAACATATGTAGAGCCCACAAGCACCTGTATATAGCTCATGAACCACAGCACCCTGGCCCATCCATAGACCCATGACATGGCGACCAATGAAGACTGGTACAGTCATACACACAAGGCTGGATAGGAGAAGCGTCAGGCACAGTAGGACTACTAATAGAAGGACCTACAGATAAAGGAATGTACATTCAATAAAACATCATTAATTCAATTCAAGTCAATATATATCTTGGAGTTGTGTTAACTTTGCTTTCTACATATAATATTTAACCCTTAATTTGTTATGGATTCAAATCATTGCTTTCTACACACAATATTTAAGCCTTAATTTGTTACGGATTAAAATCTTACACTATAACATTGTTGAGTATGATACATATACATTGTACTTGCAACAAACATTGACTATGGCACTTCACATTGTTGATCAATTACTCAGCTAAAGCAAGTAAAGAGTTTAAAATTAATCAATAACAAGGGCCGCTTCTTTTTTAAGGGGAGGAGGCTTGGTACATCGGTACATCTGCATGAGCAGAACAAGCAAATATCCTAGCACTACCGGTAACCAATGTGGTTTGTAGAATTGTATATGATACATGTAAACTGTAATAAATGATAAATTAAAAAAAACAAAGTAAAAAACAGAAAAAGATGATGGAGATGTGAGGTGTGAATACTTACCCTAAAATGGAAGATGTTTGGTCTGTTATAGGGCTCAAAGTGTGTTGGTTGTCTGTTGTTAAGCATAGCATGATGAGCTGCATGAAGTCCTGCTCCAAAATCTACCATCTCCTCCTGATCCATCACATGAACTACTTCATCAACACCTTCTTCTACAACCTCCTCCTCAACATCCTCCTCCACAACACCATCCTCCTCCTCCTCTTCATTATCTTGATCTGTTGCCATGGTTTCAGCATCCCTCTCCTCTTCTCTCATCTCCACGTCGCTGTCTTGATGTTCACGTCTAAGCTGGAGGTATGGGAGACTATCCCTCGCCTCAAAATCATTCCCTGATGTGCCTTCTAGCGCCTCAAAAGAATCTTTCAGGCTGGCATCTGCTCCAGTATTGTCTGGTGTTAAAACTCTCTTTCCATCGTTCAAGTTTTCCATCAAAGAGGCAAGTTGTTCTACAGGTTGCAAAGTGTCATTTCTCTCACCATCTAACAATTCAAAATTCTCATCTGTTTCTAGGGTAGTTCTCATGTCATAATCTACATTGTTTTCCGTGTCTTCATCGTTACCAACATTGTCCAAATCTTGAGCTTGTTCTTCTCCCTGCTCTTCTTCATCAGCTCCGTCCTCCTCCTCATCTTCTTTCTCTCCTTCTTCATCAAACTCTCCATTAACGGGAACATCTCCAAGCAAATATGATCGCAGGTCCCTAACAAAAAAGAATCAATTCTTTTGTTAGACATCTTACGCGGAAATATCAGCATTCGAGAAAATCAAGTCTTCATATTGTAAACTATTTCAAACTTTAGCTAATGAATCAGAAATACACTAAATGTAAAATTATGTGATTTATAAGAAAATTCTATTCTGAAATACAAGCAGTCAAGAAATAAAACTTCATTTATCATTCTGCCTCTCTTTGATAGACAAATGTAGAATAATCCAGATTAACACCTCTCTTGCAATAAATTGGAATACAGGATCGTCAATCTGATGAAGTCTTTAAGTTTTCATTCAAACAATGACATATTACTCAAATTCAGTATATATGTTTTTGTTAGACGAATACATTGAACTTCTATTCTCTAAAAATTAATTAATTGTAGCAATACAAGAGACAAGTCAATATTTACATTTTAAACTGCATGTTTGTTAACTACATATTAAAGTCTAACATGTCTTCATCCAGTCATAGCTGTAAGGAACAGATAAGGAAGTAGCATCCTTGACTTACAAGAGATAAGCTGCCATGATTGTCCAGTATCTGATGAGGTTCTTGAGCCACATTCTAGTGTGACCTTGCTCCAGTAAGGCTGGTAAGACAACCTGGAGCAGAAGGAGCTCCAGGGATAACTCAGTCACAGCAGTGTCACTAGATGGCAAATGAATAAAGGCGAATGAATAAAAGAAAACTTGTCTGTAAGTGGCATTTGCCTACAAATGAAGCATTTACAATGTGATCTAGTGAAGATTAAGACTGGCAGAGAGGAGAAAAATAGAAGATGGAATACTTAAGAAACATGCATGTTGAGAAACAGATAGTTTTGGAATAAGAATATTCATACACCTACACATATATAACAATTATCTATGATTAAATTCAGCGGAAGGTGATATGAGGTGACCTTTGTCAATAGCAAATGGTAATGGCACCTTCGACAGAGTCATAATCTGAAGACCTTCAATGCCAGAACCTTTACTGTTTTAAGCGCAAGATAACCTGTGACTTTGGCATAGTTACTATGACAAGATAAACAAACACTGTCTTACCCAGACAGATGCATATGATACGGCAGAAACGCTGGGACCGCATGTTTGATGATAGTGATAGGTAGCCACACCATGAGAAGGACCACCGATCCAAAGACGATGATAGAGAGGATGAATCGTCGGGCGTGGCGGTAGATTGGTAGATGAATCATCTCCTGGATGGGGTTGAAGTCAGGATCATTGAGGTTCCTTAGAAACCATAGAACACCGGGTCTCAGAACCTAGACAGGAGGAGATGAAAATAGAGAATGGATTAGTAGAGGAAGTAGGTGCATGTTATCAATACAAAATCAACTCTGCTTTCACAAAACAATTTTCATGGCCAACCAATTTCTTTACAATTTAAAACAATGCAAGTTTAATGGAACAGAAATGGAATATTACCTAATTTCTTGTTTTAAACAAATTGTAGAGCCCCTTTACATCTCTATAGAAAATAGACTAGTAGATAGTACACACAAATTTGATTTCTGCTCCATGGATTTGTAGTTTCTCTATTCAATTTCAAAGACATGTGAATGTAACTTGACAAATCCAGAAATAAGAGAGTCAGTACGTTGGTGCAAAGCAACACAAGTATCATGATGTATCGTAAGTTAGGGCTATATAGTCCTATGTCTCAGTAATACTATACACCACTGGCAATAATAATAGTATCCATTATTTAGGAGTGCTAAAAACTAAAAGTACCATATGCTTACAAAATCACAGATTGAGAGAAGCAAAAAACTCATAAAAATAAGTATAAATCATATTATAGTACTGAGGGAAGAAGTATGTTTTTAGGGATCTTTTGAAAGTGGAAAAATGGAACATAAATGTATGGTAAATGGAGGTAGAACATGAAGATAAGACAAGACATCATCATATCTTCAACTCACCTCTCTGAGCAGCAGGATGAACGAGGCAAAGTAGAAGACATAAGCCATGCCTACAAGCCAGTGCAAGAAGGTCGCTGTGCCAGGGGCAGAGTTGAAACCTTGCAGCCTTTCTCCAATGGTTACATCAAACAGCGACTGAAAAGAGTGATGATCAAAATATGAAAATAGAACAGCTACAAATCATAGCATAAGATGACGTAGTACGAAATATTGTTTGATAGTGGATAAAGAGTTTCTTTCAAATAATGGCAAACTTTTTCTTTTACTGGCTGCCAGTACATTTTTTTTTACCATAAAGCCATAAATGTAAGCAAAATGTATTTTGAAGAATTGATGATAAAACATAACAGACATCAGACAGTGATCATCAGGTGAGGAAAATACAAATCTTTTTTATTCAGAGGGATGAAAAACACTTAATGTATCTTACCAGTGAACAGACATCTAGCCACCAACCACAGATGAGAGGGAAAACCCCTATTTCTAGGACTACCAGAAGGAAGACCTTCAATACAACATAGCACAGACCAAAGAGACGACCAGCTTGGAAGAATTTCAACAATCTGCTGCAACTCTGTGATAGATTCAAGTCAAGGATAATAATAAGGTGTTTGGAATCCAGGCCGGTTTGAATCTAACCATATACAAACATGTTGTAGTTGTTTTTGTTTATTTCTTATAGCTGATTATAAACAGAAAGGATTCCAAACATTTACATGTAAAAAAGAAGAAGACAGAATAGCTAATTTCTATATTTCTTAAAGTACACAGCACCTCAGAGTACAAGGATACGATAGCTAGCAATTGCATGGATCTCATATGTTTGCCCTATCTCTTTTGGATTTTACAATTTAGCAAAATGCTTATTGTTTGTAATACGGCATAACTGAATTGGGATTCTTCATACGAAGGTACAGGATATAAAATACAATTGTATAAAGCTATTATAAAATGTCACATGTTTTTGCAGGTAAATCTAACTCCATGTCAACCTTTTCAAGCTTCATGGTGAGCTCCTTCTTGCATCATGTTTTTGCCAGTAAAATTCACATCTTTTGAAAGATGGCATGTATTCCCATAAAAGAAATATCTACCCACATAAGCAGGGCTTCATTTTAGCGTTGTGCGCTAACATGAGGTTATTTGCCAGTGATTTATATAGTGTCTTTATTAGCTCCATAACTAGGCATTGTAGCGTGCGCCTGTAATCCAGCTAACAGTGGAAGTTACAAACTAATTCAGCCAAGGACGCAGGTTCAAAACTGAGTCACGTCTTTTAGATGGTGACGTTTAAAGGTCGGTCCACAGACGTAAATTATCATATCTGATCGATACACGTCTGTAAAAACCCAATACACACACTCCATGAAACACTCCTTTTGAGCAAAGCTCCAATAGCTTACAAACAGCTACCATTCATAAAGGATACATGAAAGAGGACAAGCAGAGCAGCTAAACAGATGTATCCCAGCATGGTTGTGATCAGGCCTTCAAAGTGAGTCTTCTTGATGATATCTTGCCATCCAAGGACCAGCGTACTCAGTCCTCCAATGTGATATGGACAAAATGCTGTTTAATAAAAACAAAACAAGTTAGTAAATAAATAATGGAAATATTTCTGAGTAATAGAGTCTCGCTTGCTAAACTTGAAATCTTCAAAATATGAAAAAAATCATTCATGATTGGCAAACAGTTCAGATGAAAAATTGCATTAAACCTGAATTGTCTTGCCTTTTTAATGTAAAAAGGAGGAATACATTTCTAAATAAAAATAAAAAAATGTAGTAAGAATGACTACAACTTTACAACATGAAAATTGAAGTCAATCAAGAAACATCATTCTGATTAACAACATAGATTATTCTAATAAAAAGTAAAAGGCAAGGTCTTAAAGAAGTCATAACTAGTACTAAAAGAAAATGCTTATTTTTTCTACATTAACAACTGCAAAAAATGAAAATGGAGACTGTATAAAAAGAGAACTGAAAATCATAAAAAGACTGGAAAAGAGAAGGGGAATAAGAAATGCCTACACGATAGTGACTTACCAAACAGAAAGATGAATAGAGCATTGAGTACTGTGACCCAGTAGACATGCTCTAAGAACACTAGAGAGCCATCTAATCCAAGGAGTTCCTCCCAGGTTAATGCTTCAGCTGCTCGATCCCACTCAAGAGCATTCCAGTTGATATCGTCTAAAAGATAATCACGCCATTAACGAATCATTATCTCATGCTTGTATTCATCTCACAGGAACATAGATACTGCCCATGTCTGCAGAACACATTCTTGTTGACAGGCTTTTAAAACGAAATCTATTTGACAATGATCAACTTGCCTCTCTTGGCTGATTGGTGCTACTGGCGCAAGGCCCTCTGACATCATTGCCAGCAAAAAGAAGAATTTATGCAGATGATACATAATATCAGGTTCTGACAAGCCCCCTGAATTGTTGAATGGATCTTTTCTTTCGATCTGATCATAAAGTATGACGGTATGCTATGAGCCTAAAAATCTCAAGCTCTGTAAAGTTCATTTAAATACTGAGCTTTTTGACAACTACTGATAAAGTTAAGAGTTCACAAAATCATGGCTCTATCTTCTATAAGACTCCAAACTGTTTTAACTCATCCAAATTTAAGTCATTCAAATCAAACTCAGTGTGGCAGAAATTGGCAAGTTATTTGCCAATGAGCAACAGATGACTATTTCCTACCATGGCCTGCATTATCTTCTGCTTGGTTATTAGCAGGTTGTTCAGGTTGATCTGGTGCTACCTGACCCCCTGCTGCTCCTCCTACTCCTCCTCCTCCACCTCCTCCTCCTCCTCCACCTCCTCCTTCTATCACTCCATCATGCTCTTCTTCATCAGCTCGCTGTCCTCCATCTGCTATCCCAGCATTCTGTCTGGCTTGGTTGTTTACTGCTCCTTCTTGCCTCTGTCTAACACCTCCATTGTTCTGAAAGTCAATATTACGAAAAGACGATGTAAACCACTTTTGAGATAACTTGGCCCAATGACTCAGAATAACTACAATATATTGAATAATTAGTCAATAGTTAAAACAATTGTAGATAAGATAAATTTGAATGAATAGCTACAATCTATTGATTAAATACTCAATAGTTTAACACTTTAAAACAATTGTAGCTTAGATAAATTAGGGTAGACCCATGAGAGCTGATTGATGAATGAAATTGAAATCACCCCAAACTGGTTATAATATTATCAACCCCGTATGATATTAATAGTTCTTACTCTGCCGGATTGTACCATATGCCCTAGCTAGCTATAAATAAATGTACACAAGTTATCAATTGTAATCATTTTTTAAAACCTGATACTAAAGTTAGCAACTGCATTTACCTAAGGACCAAAAAACCCTGTGAAGTAGAAGTAGTAGGAGCAGTAAATAGTTATGTAGTAAACTCGTTTGCTCATTACCAATTTTCCCGCAAGCACCAATAGAAAATGTGAACTCTTTCTCTCTCTCTTTCCACAAACTAATTAGAAAACATAAGATGGTATAAGAATCTGAATAAAATGGGTCAACAGTTATACTCCCTGTGCCTTTCAATCCATCTCTCACCTGTTGATTCTGTGCAGGTTGAGCAGGGTTGTTGTTTGCAAACCCTCTCAAGGCCCTCTCCAGTACCCCTTCAGCCACACCCCCTTGGCCCGCTGCACCCCCTGCATGCTCCCCTGCAGGGTCCTCCAGCCACTCTGGCCCTCCTCCATGGGCCACCTGCTCTCTCAGGAGTACCAGACTGATCAGGGCACAAAGTGTACAACCAACCACAAAACAACCCTGCAGGATGTCTGTAGCCATCTTCTCCCTGTACCAAACAAACACATCACAAAAAAGGCATACTGTGAAATATGATCCAATTCTCTTATTTTCGTGCACAAGTTAAAACACATAGAAGTAGGCAATGATAACTAACATGCATTGATTAATTTTAATATTCCAAGTATGGGGTACCTATCGCATAAATGTTGCATTCCTGGAAGAATTATTTTCTTCTATGTCATGACTATGAAGATCAATTCACAGAAGATGAGGCTAATATAGCACCTTCTAAACAAGTAACTTCCAAAAACTGTTCCTGGTCAATGGCAGAAGACATTTACATATAAGCAGAAGCCTACAGTTCTTTATCATTAATAGAGATGCACTTCATTCAATGATTTTTACATGGATTCAGAACATGCATCTGGACAGCACATATGTGATATTTCTTGATGTACTGGATTGTATACTTACAGAGAGAATATATCAAATGGCAAGGATAATACAGGAGCAAGGGAAGTATTGAAGAGACAGCCATATATTCGACCTGAGGACATATTACATAAAGAATGATCATGAAATAATTAATGGCTACTAAACATTACAATCAAAAGCTGAGAAGATAAAATGTCATTGGATAATGGGATGTTGCTATGGATGAAATATGCATTATTGAGCTAAACATTTTCATAACATTTTTCAGACAAAAAAAATGCAAGTGATTTGAAGTTTTATTTCTTTCTTGAAAAAATAAATAATTTAGGAACTTGGGAGTAATGTAGTGGCATGGAAGGACGCGTCCGAAACGCAAAATGCTTAACTATTGAAAATCACAATTTTATTACAAAAAGGTAGAACCACGTCGTTATGATGGGGAGCTGGTAAATGCATATACACCACAGTGACACTTTATGTTAGCTAAACTTTCATTCAGATATGTCAAAAAAGAATTTATAATTAACAAGCATTACTAACTACCAGCATTTTGTGTTCCAGACACATCTTTACATGCCCCTACATTTCACAAGGATGACATACTTGCTGTAACAGGAACAATCCCAAGCCAAGCAAAGATGACCATGGTGTAATGGATCCAACAGAGAACAGCCGTCCCAAAGTTCCTCACCAGACCCCATATAATGTCACGCAGGGGCAAGCGAGGCGGCATGTCTGGAGAGTAGACTACAAAGAGAACAGATGTAAACATTACTGAGTGCTTTAATTCATATAGATGAACGCCGATCAAATCGAATCAAATATACTATTAAAAATTAACACCAGTATTTATATTCACAATGCACTGATCATAAATCATGTCTAAACAATTTAATACTTTGAGTAACACATGGGTGAATGATAAACCCGTTACATATTGTGTTGATGACATACCAACTACAAATGGGTCACTCAAATACAGACGTTTTTAGGATTACAATTTTTAAATGTACTAGTAATCTTTTGAAAATACATGTTGAAAAAATGATGCAAAGGGTAATGGGAAGCAGGGTAATACAGTTTGCAAGAGTATCAAAGAATTGATTTAAAGTCACTCATCTAGTTATAAACTATATTTGATAGGATCGTTGTTTGGTGGTTTAAATGAATTTATAATCCTTAAAAGTCTTAATGAAAATGAGCATTGATTTTTTTTTTCCTGTACTAAACAATGATCAATTGATCAATTCACAATTAATTTTATTTTTATTTCTTATTTAATCATTCAATTTATTATATGTTTTGTTAACTTTTAAACATGGTCTACTAAATATATAAAACGATAATTACTGTTCGCCCGATTTGACTTGATTTGATGTTAAACGTCTAGGTCACATCATGTCCTGTTAACAAAATACCTGCTTTTGTTTATCACAGGTACAATAAACAATCAATAAAGCTTAAGTGAAATATAAATAGAACCTGATAAAAAGTTGATACTGTACATGGACTTACTTGGGGCAAAGGTGAACTTGTGCATACATAGCTCACAGTATTCCTTCTTGCTGTGTTTCAGCCACTGCACAAGACTAAAAGGAGAAGATAAGAGGGCAAGACAGAGAGAGAGAGAAAGAGAGAAGGGGGGGGGGCAAAACAATGAATTTCTGAAGCATAGGGTCAGCAGTAGATCTATCAAAACAAGATTTCACTGATAGTATTAGTAACCTTTGAGGACTATTTAACAATAATGTTATGTAAATTATAATAAAAAATTTAAAAAAATTATTACAGCAAACTATAAACAAACGTTGGACCTTTGCGACTGTATATATATGTACAGAGAATTTTGTACTTTGTAAACACCTTGAGAATAGAAGGTCATATGTGCGTTTAAATGTAGGCTTGTAGCTATTATTATTACTGTTATTATTTTAGATATATTGGTAGTAAATTGACTTCATGCCTGCTTGTAAATCATGTAACATACATAAATTTGCAAAGAGCATACATGCCTGAATCTCAGATAAGATCTATTTTTATGACGACATTGTCTTCAGCAATTATTTTTATATTCATTTTACATAGAAGCCAGAAGTTAACCAGGGCTCTGTATTCAATCTGTGTGTACCTTCATTATTTTATCTCCACATCATAAATTAATGCCTAAATACCGGTATACTCACCAATCTTGATGTATGTAGCGAATACTACCAGTGCAGATACACGGGTGGAACAGAGGCCGCTCATGGCCACCCTCAGACCTGCATACTCTACAAACATCTCCTAAAAAAAAACAAATTAAAACTCTTTTGAAAATGGGGGCAGAAGGGAAGCACTTGACCTATCTTTCTTGATGTTCTATAATTTTCATGCCTCATCAAAAAGTAAAATCAGTTAAAGATAAACTCCAGTTCTGGTAAAAAAAAGAAAATCAATTCTCACAGAATCAAACGAAACTTACACTGAATGTTCAAGATTACAAATAAATGACGTGTGTCAAACAATTTTGGAAGAAAATGTATACTGGCTGAGTAATGAGCATAGAAAGACAAGGAAATCAAGGTAGTACAAGCCCTGACACCATGTGTGTTGTCCCATATATAGCTTTCTGTGTACAGTGCTAGTTACTTTACCAAGACTCGGTCAAATTTATTATGATTTTGATGACTCCAGAACCTTGCAGTGCACACTAATACTTACATGCTACATGATCAACTGTTTCTGATCCTTTCCCTACCTTTTCTTTCACAATGCAATCGCATGACCAGTACTAAAGTTTATCTTTATATACTTAAATTACTTGTTTTTTATTTCCATTTGAAATTTACAATGAAATTGAGGCATATTGAGAGCAGACAAAAAAAAAATATATACTTAAGTGCGAAAATCATTTTTTAGTAATAACAATAAATGTAATATGTATGCATTGGATGCTCTGTATCATCAATGTACTATTTTCACAATATAATCTTACCATGTAGCATGCCACTAAAATACTTTTGATGCTAGTTCATCATTTTTGTTTAAATAGTGCACGTGTCAACAATATACACATACATGATTTAATCTCCTATATCCCTATCTTGTCAATATAAAAACAAATTTAACAAATATGTGGTATGTAGAGTTTCTTTCAGACTTCGAGTGCAGTGATGTTGAAAAAAGAAAAATTTCTTCTAGCGATTTGCCTTCGAAATAACTTCTAAGTTTCTTGGCTGTTTCCATGTTACGGTACCCGTTACATACAACGATAAGAATTTGTGCTGCACATGCATAGTATACACTTTCTCAGAGGTTTCACAGCAAACCGCTGCACAATACAAGTGCATACCGACAGTGGGGTGCGGGCGAGCGTGCGCAAAGTTAGCGACTCTAATCTCAGATCCTCGTTAAATTCATGCAAGTAATTCACATTATGAATTGATCAATGATCATTACGGTCGCACGCGTGCCCGCCCGCCCGGAAGGCCGCAACCCATCGCAGGCATGCACTTGTATTGTGTAGCGGTTTGCTGTGAAACCTGTGAGAAAGGTTGTCTGCGTTTTTAGGAAAAAGATAAGAAAATTGACATGAAACAGGTAAGAAAGAAAGGACTTTTAAATCATGACCATTATTTGAACAATTGTTGAAGATTTAGTTGATTTTTGGTATATTATAGTAGGGTATCTCCTAGACCGAAAACTTCAGTCTCTCTAATCTTCGGTTGTTCCACTGAGACTACGTCTGGCTCCACTAGACCTCCGATTATAGAGACTGAAGATTGTCCTATCGGGACTGTACGGAACCAATGGTTCGGTTCGGCAGGACCGCGATGAATGAGATATGCTACGAGATTTTCACTCTTTACATCCTCACACATGCTGCAATATGACAATAATTAGAGTCTAATTAAAAATAACATATAAATAGCTTATTTGACTTACGATAGCTTGCTCATTTAGATCCTAAATTAATGATTAATCCGAGAAAGTCTCGTCGTCAACATTATCCGTCTTGGTTTTAGTTGATGAATATTAATTTTTTCTTTTCGAACGTCCAATAGCTACCGTAGCTACATACGAGTCGGCCCGGCTTGACCAACGAACTCCCACGAAACGAGTGCTCTGATTGGCCATTGGCTATGTTTTGGTAGGTGGACCCGGAAATATATCGGCCGCCGGGTAATATTTCGAATGCATGAACGTACTGCTTCGCGGTTCTGAGGTACAAATTGGATAATTCATATAAGTAAGTCCGTAAATTATTTATTTAATATTAAGTTATCAAATTTTGATAACTGTAATTAGGACAAATGACATATCGACCTAATTTACATCTGATTTAGAAATCAGGAAATTAGATCTAAATAAAGAAAATCGGGGGAGAAATGTCGGTAACGAAAAGCTGTTACGCTGTGGCTCTAATTTACCCCCACGGTACGAGATCTCTGGGTTGCCATCTGTATTGGGGAATGACAACAAATGTCAGTTTTATTAAAGAAATGACCCAAATCAGATGGTTATTGCTGTCTAGGTATCTCCATGCAAGAGTCACGGTCGAAAGTATGGTCACAGTTCTGAACAAACGTCAAAAAAAAAAAGAGTCCACTAGCGAACTCGATCTGAGGCCTGTGTGTGCATTTGTGCAAGGTTTGTCGGGATCGGGTGCGGGAAGGGGTGATTACGGAAACATTTTAGGGTTTTTGTTTACATCACTCTTCATTCAGGCTGGTGTTTGTGTGCCAATTAAGCCAGCTAGGTGATATCAATATCAAATTTCATATTATCACCTAGGCCTACTACCACACGCTTAGACTATATCTGTCTAGATCTATCTCAACTCAAGCTCTCGAATGACACACAGGCAGACGCACAACAATGCAACGTACCAACACAGAGCTATAGCAGAAACCGAGAAAGACGTCATCGTCAATCATGGCAAGCCCAAAGACAGTTGCACAACAATATTTGACGTACCAAATTAATATAAAAGGCTTACGAAATTGATCTCAACTCACCTTCACTACTATCCTCCATCTTTTCATGCATTTTTGTAATCTATAACAAAGCAAAAACAACAGTTTCCAGAGTACATTCAGGACAACGTCCCATCTGTGGCCTCAATCATGATGTTGTAAGGGTATTTTGCAGAAACACATATTCTAAGAAATCAGACCAAATTAATTGTTTTATTTCATGTCGGGTTCCATAATCATAATGTAGAGTGTTAAAACAATTTGTTTTTAAATACAATTAGTGATTAAAATATTTGTAGCAAATTTTTCCAAACAATCTTTTTAAGCGAAATAAAAATAAAAATGTGTAGTATATCTTACAATATATATTGTCTGAAAAGAGACTGTGGGATATTTTTCTTGCTAAATTTTGATCGTCTAGGCTTCTGCAGAAGTGTACTGACTAGAGACGCAAGATTCATGTGAAGGTTGCACTCAAAATATTTTCTTCAGTATGGTACAGTTAAGACAAAAACATGATTTGAAGCCTTCTCTTCCCCTTTCATTTTATACTGCTCTTTTTTTTTGTTGTCTTTCCTTTTTTTATAAATGTATAACAACAATTTCTTACCTAGTTTTCAATATCTATTCATATAAAATTACCTTCTCATACCCATAAATATGAGAAATGCATAGATCCCCACTGCTATTTGTGGTTTCATCTTTGGGAGCAAAGCGATCAAACCATGCATGCATTACATGGAAGGAAGAGGTGCACAACTAACAAGAAAACAATGATAAGAAATATAAATTGTAATACTAATTTATGCTAATGTATTAAGTGCTGTATGAACCCAGAATACCATTATTATGTCTCTTGAGGGCTTGATAATGGTATATAATCGAGCTATGATACGGTAGCTTTAAAGTTATATTCAAAGAAAGCCCAACCATGAAAGCAAAAAACTCAAAGGGAATTAAAGCAGAAATCAATTATGTAGAATCAATTGGAGAAAAAAACAAATTTGAATAGAATAACATTTATGAAGGTATGATTATTTTCATTTTGTTAAGGATTGAGATGACAATCGAGCCATATAGGAACTTTAGTACACTGTAGTTCAATGTTGGACAACTTTCCAATATACCCCCTATACCCACAAAAGACCAAAATGTCATATTTTTAAAACTTTATATAGTAAGCATGATCCTTTATCTTTTATTTTCAGGACCTTGAATATGGTTATCTCTTATTTTGCCAAGAATCCTAGGACCATGGTGTTAGAGAGACAACTGAAAAGTCATATTATAATATGCACCATGGAGTTTTCCACAATCACACTTTTCAGTCATAATACCAATATGCAAATTTGAGGTTAACATAAATTTACATGTAGTGATATCAACATTAAAAATGTATGTTTTTGCAGTAATTGACAAGCATGACATTCCTCTCAAGTTACCTTTGATTCAACTTCCAAATGTTGGAGGGCTATTTTAATATTTTAGAGCAAGCTCCATGAGGGCCTAGCTTGCAGATACCGGCACAATACAAGACTTTGTTATTAACATTTTTCAGTCAAATGACCAATTCATCCATTTTGAATTCATATACACAAAGCAATTTCAACTTTAAACCATTCATGATTGCATTATTATTTGTCCATTTTTGTTCAAACTACCATCAAACTGTTCCTGTAATATTTCTGCTTTCACCCAATTCTAAGTCAAAAATCACTGATTATTTTAATGTACTACTACACATATATCTGAGACTAGCATGCTCACACACAATCAAACACTTAAAAGTAATGTCTATAGACTGCAAATATTAACACAATTATGGCACTCAGTTTTGTTTTCTGCATTTTCAATATTTAATGATCATTGGCATTGTATTACAGATCACATGATCTAACATAAAATGTAACTCAAGTAAACGTTAGTTAAATGTTCAGGCACACAGTACAAAGAAGAGAGTTTCTCACACGTTTTGCAAATAGTTTGTACTGAAAAAATATGATAAAGCAATGAAACAGAAAAGGAAATATAACAAAATTGGAATAGTAGAAATTACATATTTGACTTCTTAAAGAACTGAATCTTTCATTGGAACTACAAGTACTGCAAATAAGCAATGAAAGATACAGAAGATAGCAAATTTTCAGAGTACATACACACATAATTATAAAGCATGGCAAAAATGACTAGAAATGAACTTATATGGATGGTTCCAAAGAAAGAACAAATATTCAGTATGACTGATGAAATATCTCATCAACGTTCTTGAAAACAAGATTGAAATAAGTATTTTAGATACATAATTAAAAACACTGCATGGTTTGTCATGAAAGACTGATTTAGCTTTAGCCTACAATGCATAGCAAGATACAGGCTCTAACTGTTGAAAACACAATTCTGTCGCTCATTGCAATAGTTGATTAAGAAAATCTATTTGAAGTATATCAGTAATATCTGTGTACAATATTTACAATTTATCATAAAAATTTGTGACTCCTAACAAACAGACAGGCTACTGCAGAGAGCACAATATTTCATCTTTAACATTTTTCCCTTGAGTTTGGCACATTTAAATTGATTTATTATATGCAAATGCAAGAACAGTCAAATTACACACAAGTTTTGCAATTGTGCAAATTATTCTTTAACATTTTCAAACCAGGAGTACAAGGAAACAAAAACTTTAAAACCTCCAAATTGGTAAACTCTGATAAATTCCAAAGCTTCATTTCCCATAAGGACTAGCAATTTAATTGATTGTTCAATGTAACGTTAATATCCATGCATTTATCATTTCAGCTACTTGTACATGACTTCATGTTGGCCCAAAAGGGAAAGAATGCTTCTAAAGTTTTAGTAGAAAAAAGCGGTTTCATTCACGCAGCACTCCGTGGTCTCTGTCCTTAATATGCTATTGAGGTTACAGCTTTGGTCACATATATGGAGCATTCTAGGAGTAAAACTCACTCAAATAAGAGGCACTGATTAAATAGAAGATGCTTTCTGAGACTTTCATCTAATATTTGTTAAAATCAGAACATTGCTAATGGTGATTTAATAATGTGCAACAATAAGAATATCATTAGTAGATTCAGTGCTTACAAAGTGAGAACATTACAAGACATCCTTAACATAACTTCCCACAAATAATCCAGAGCTTTAACCTGTTTCAAAGGTCATCCACAAACCTAAACATCAACACATGACATTGCATTTTAACATTATCTCATATCTACATATTTACATAGGAAAAGATGGACATAAGTATTTCACTTCTTTAAAAGAACATCACTACATTTTTTTGTAAATACCCATACTTTTTATTCTTTACCTCTATGATTAAAATGAGACATCACCTAGTTATGGGTGGGTGACAAACAAACAACGATATTCAATCAACTATACATCAAATACATCACTTACCCTAAATACAATTCTGCAACTCTCCAACATCATATGTGAGGGGATGCATATACACAGAAGACATACATACAAGTATATAAATGTTACCTAGTACATTATATTTTACTATATATTCTGTGTCTATAAGGACGTTTTATTTTTATGCTGAAACCTTGACTCACTGCTTGGTACAGGATGGATCTAATCTGGAAAGGCACAATAATTCTACTCTCCAACATCATATGTAAGGGGATGCATATACACAGAAGACATATACATACATATCAATGCAATCATCTTGTATGGCTGCACACAGCAGGGATTAATAACGCGAAACACTACAGGAAATCAGCTGCCAGCATTATATAATGTCATATAAAATTCTCTTTTTTTTTTTAACATTCACATATTTATGAATAATATTTAAGTTTTGACAAATTACCAAAGTGTATAATTCTAGGAATAAATTTTGTGATAGTTACCAAAGCCTACACATGTTAAACGGTCTGCATAAACTGCATACAAACAAAAACTAATCTTGAAATGCAATTCCATATTACAATAGCTTTAGAAGTAAATATGCAAATGAAAGTCATATCATTAAAACTTTGTCTATTATTTATAATATTGAAGAAACTTGGCATTAACAATGAGTTTCATTCTTGTTAACTCAAACTGGATATCATGTTCAACATCAGACATCAATTTCCTAAGAAATTAATTGACACTATATCTAATATAGCATGTGTACTGCTCTAGGAACATACTCAGGACTTTGTCAAGTTTTTACAAGGCCCAATGGCCTAAGGTACACAAAGCTTGTTGAAAATAATAGACCCGGCTCATGACACCAGCATCTCACAAGAAAAAAAAGTCTTCAACACAAACAAATCTCTCTTCAGCCATGGCTGTACTACAACAGTCTATCTCACTTCTAGTTTTCACTTGAAATTAAATTTGAGTTTGACCAGGTAACGCATGCGGATCTGGTTGGTGTTGTAGACGACGTATTCATTGTAGTTGAGCGTATAGCCATTGGGGTTGACTACTTTGGTGTTCATGCCTTTGCCAAGAGGGACTATTGTACCGTCATCCCTGCAAACATAAACAGACAGAGAGAGAAAGGGGAGAAGAGAAAAAGAGAGGGAAAGAGAGAAATACAGAGAAAAGGAGACAGGCCGAGAAAGAGAGGTAGATACAGAGGGAGAGAGAGAGAGAGAGAGAGGGAGAGAGGAAGTGATGGAGGGGAGAGAGAGAGAGAGAGAGAGAGAGAGAGAAATAACCTGTCAATTGCTATGAATAACTAACATTCTATCTTTCTGTTTTTGCAATGGCTCTACCTGCTGTATCTAGCTGTAAGGCCTTTTATTGAGTTACAAAATAACAAAAATAAAAAGTAGAAAACAAACAAACATAAAGCTATTGTTGACCATTCCATCACCAGAGCACTGCATTTTATATTGTGAAATAAATGTGTAAGATGTGAAATAGAAAAAAAATAATAATTTGAACAGCTCTCTGCTTTGCAACAAGACAACCCATTACACAACTATTTGGCACAGATATTCAAATCTGAATGACCAAAGCCATACAAAGAAAAGCAATAACAGTATGAACATTGGTAAAAAGAATGCAAAGTCCACTTTCTACACATGAACAGAAAACCAACAGTTCTGGGTTAACTGGTGATCCAAACATTTCGTCTTGAATTTTATTTCATCGCAAACATAGGGCTAGGGCTAGGGTTGTGATTGGGTTTCAATTTAGGGATAGTTTTATTTAAAGTACAGTCTTGGGTCTAAGGTCAAAGTTAGGATCTTAGATAAAAAAGGAATTTGACCCTAGAGCACTTGCAACTGACTATATCAGATTCCAAAAACTTCTTGAGAGACTTTCAAATACAGTCAATTGATTCTCAGAACTAATTGATATACTTACATTGTGAAGTTCTTCTTTGGGTCTGGTGCTATACTTCCTAATCCCTTCACACTTTGCTTGCCAGCTGGTAAAGCATCTGCTTTATAGTCTGCTGCCAACAGCTGATTCTCATTACCAAGGGCAACCTGATCAGTAGAGAGTAGAGAGGACAGAACAAGTGTTACATAACCAATGTTTCACCAAGGTAGATAATAATCCATGTAGTGATTTAGCATCTAGTCTTTGTGTTTATTTCAAGAACATTTTTCCCTTACTTTTGAAGACTTCAAAAAATTCTTATGATTTAAGTGGATTTTATCAACTGTTATTTCTTGTTTCTTTATACAACCTTACATTGGTCTTTTCCTTATTAATAACAACACAACAAAAAACTATCACATGAGAAAGTTTTCACAAAATTATAAATTTACATCAAGTTAAACTAATACAGTTCATGGGAATAAGAATTATAATTTTCAATGTATCACACAGAGTAAAATACTGCTCCTACATTAAAATCATACTAGTACCTGGTACAGTAAAAATTCAGAGTCCACAAAATTGAAAAGAATCTTTACTACTACAAACATTATAACTTAAAATCACCCCATGACTTCTAAGTCATATTTAGTTCCAATGCTCCTTTTTTATTCTCCAAACAACATGCTTAAATATGTAATCGCTGTTTCTCACCTCACAGAGTGTAAGCATGCCAGTAGGATTGGTCCTTGTAGCAAAGCAGTAGTTAGCAGACTTAGAAGACATATCAGCAAAGTAAACTCCTTTACCAAACTGAAACAAAAAATCAAGTAATAATGTAAGGAGATATTGAACTAGTAGAATAAGATGAAATTTCTAACTTGGATTCTTAGGCATAAGAGAAAGCACGATACATTACACAACTTAAGCGTGAGAGTATCAAAGTATCTGCAAGACGAATTCAAAGAAAATTATCTTGGGGACATTTTATTAAAGCGATGTAAATGTAATGTACTTTGGGAAAATAACAGAATTCATCAGATTGACAATATCTTGAAGACAATATGCAACTAAGATTTTCCTTGTATATCAAGTCATCATCAGCGTCCATATGCCATATTTTCATTTCTCCTTGTTAATTTTTTCTAACATGTACTAACAGGAACTTTACAAAAGATCATCTGCTTCAAGCTGTCTTCCAATACAGGTTTCATTGTTGAATAAGAAGTGACCTACCATGTATCCTGTTACAGGAGCTTCAGGCGGAGCAATGCGTAGTCCCTGGCCCAAGATACCAGCCCAGTTTGTCATACGAGAACCGTGCCACAATAACATCCTAGTATTAAAATAAATCAAAGAAATATTGTGTCAAATATATTTGTTATGAAGAAAATAAAAAGAAAGTAATCCTAGACACAAATCTCAACATCACTTGTCAAACATCTTTATATTAAATTTAATTAAATGACAACTTATTCCAGTGGCTTAACAGGTGGATGAGGTGTGATGGCTTACTGGTACAGCTGTAATCCTGTGACAGGTGGTCCCTGTTTTGAGACCAATTCAATGCACTATTGCTCTTTGGTAAGGCATTAAGCCTCATTTCCAAGTCCCTTGAACAGGACTTAAAGCAGGGGAAAAATACTTCCAAATTTTCGGGGGCTACTTTTCAAGCTTGCTTGCCTGAAAATAACACTCTTTAATTTGTTTTGCATTGAACTCTATGCAATTTTTTTTTTTTTTTTTTTTTGGGGGGGGGGGGGGGGGGGGCTCTTTTTGGCATTTCGGGGGCTAATTCGCCCCAAGCCCCCCCCCCCCCCCCCCCCCCCCCGTGTATTTTTTTCCCTGACTTAAAGTTGTCATCCCACCAGCTTTCTTAGCAGTCAGCAATAAGAAATAAACCTACCTGTTTCCAACATCCTTGAAGCGAGGTTTCTCCCCTTCTTTGTCCAGATCAAAGACCTCATCTACAGTCATGGTGTACTGGTTGTGAGTCTTTGCATGGGTGTTCAAGACGTAGCTTTGGATTAACTGCATGGAAACATCAGTAAGACAAAATCAGTTACCACTTTCGGGTCTATACATGATTGTTCAGCAATCACCATCAATAAGCAGTTAATGTAGTGGGTCTTCTTTTTGGATTGAAGGATTTTATTGAGTATTATCCATTCTCGCAGTCCAAAGACTGACTTGCAATGGTTACAACAGTTTACAATGTATATACATGATAAAAGCAATTATAGGATAATATATTATAACAGTCTAGGCAGCCAACATTGAAATTCAAATAAAAGTGATCAAATAACAATTATTACGGCAACTATCATTAATTTAAATTATGGGTGTTTCCTGAATGAGCCTAGTGGAATGATACACTTCAGGAGACACTATTGGTGAAGGAAGAAAATATGGAGAAAAGAGGAACAGAGATGTATACAGACCTTGAATGTTTCTGATGTCTTATCGATTGGTTTCATTTGACATTTCAGCGCACGATACTGTTGATCTATTGGATGCTCGTCTTCATTCTTCTCAGACTTGAGAACCGTCAAGGCAACCTGGATGTCACTCAATGCTTCAAGGAGAGCGAGCTTGGCTTTAAACTCATTCTTGGTTCGGATCACTGGTGGTCGCTGCATACTGGACAATAATACAGATAGAGCAATGATAGTCATGGCTTCTTCACTTTTGCTTCAACTGAAACATTGGTTGTATGGCAAATGATCCTATGACAAATGCTCCACGGTCAATTTCGTACACTGACTGAATTCCAAACTTTAACACTACACCTAAACCTAAACCCAATTGCAACCCTAACCCTATATCTCTGACAAATGAAGGCCCAAAACATTTGTCACCAGAGTCAATGGCAGATCACTGAAACAGCAAATGAACAAATATTAGATTAGCTTTGATTTCCATAATTAAACACTCTAGAAACATTCGTTTACATGTGAATCATGATGCATTCAATATTAAGCAAACACAAGATATCCAATTTGTGTGACTGATAATGTGAACCAACTAGAGCAAAGCATCCAAGTGAGAGTTGCACCCAGGACAAGTCAAGACAGATACAAAATCTTTACTGTTACTAAATGTTTGGAATACAGTTTTTAAAAGATACTTCATTACTGTCAATATCATAAATTGCATTTTCTTTTGCAAAGAGGCAGGCCTGCACAGAGTTGCAGATTCATTCCATCAAAGACAAACATATTAACAGATATTTACACCCCAAATCTGTCATAATACAGGAAAGTCCGCCTGGCAATGAGTATGATCGAGATACATCCAAACTTATCAGGAATGCATTTGCATCATACTCACCCAAAATTATGTGGGATCCTAGTGTAGAAGGCATCACACGCTTTGATGAGTTGGTCGCCAATGATAGAGCCCTCTATACATTTTTCTATCTGTTTGAGAGCGAGGTAGCCAGCCTTGATCTGGTCAACGGTCAGCTTACCCAAGGGAGCCTTCTGGGTGTCGTATTTCATCTCAATCACCAGATCCTCCATAGCCTTCACATTGCAGATCAAACTCACAAGGTTCTGAGAAAATAATTCATGAACTCAGCTCAGAGACTTCTACACATAGAACATTTTAGATCATGCGTTCACTGGTTCACACATGGCATTATGTACCACTTCCTTCATTACTTGGACCTTATGGACCATGTGAAAGATTACCTTTGTGCTAAACAAGTTTATGTGATACTACTACTACATTGTTCTTGCTAATACTCTTTTTTTTCTTTCTCCTTTATGGGCTACTTTCCCCTATCAAATTTTGTCAGTTGTGGATCTAGTCATTGTTTATTTTCTTTAAAAACTCTTTTTTTCTTGATTACATAAGTTCCTCCTGCTACCAGAGTCTTCAAACTTTCCTTCACTCATTCATTTATGTTTGTATAAATATTTATGTTTTTACAATGTACAAAGTTCTGCAATTCAGCCATTAGGCTGCAAATGAATTTTTAACAAAACCATTACCATTACCATTCTAAATATCTGGTTTAAAAGTAGCAAACATGTCTTGAATGATGATCACATACCTGCACCCTGATGTCCAGCTTAGAAGGAACCTTGGGCTTGGACTCCTTGGCATCACCGGATGATTCTACATCAGTATCCTAAAGAGATAAAATTATTGTAAGATTCCTGAATATTATGCATTTCTCATTGTCATCAGTACAATATTGTGTTGTCATCTTCCGAAACAAAATCTATCAATTTTGAGAGGTAGTGGGCAAAACTGCATTAATTATCATCCTGCATTTCCCCTTTACCAGACCTGCCAACGTCTGGAGTTCAAAAACTGTATTCTTTAGTGTCAAAAGTTGTATTTTACTGACAAAAGTTGTATTCTTGAAAATAAACACGGATTGTTACGCGGATCAAAGCCTCTTACAGTTTCTACCTACAGGAAGAATTTTTTTTATTGATCATTGGTTGAATATGCATTATTTCGCCACGACTGGTGTGTTTGATGAACCAATAAACATCCCCAAATTGCCGATGTGAGATGCTTGTAGGATACTTTACAGGACAGAATGGACATTTTGCCATTGAAAATGGCGGACGCACACACAAATATTGATACACCAAAAAAAAATTTTTTTTTTTTTTTTTTGAAAATCGTATTTTATTAAGGAAAATCGTACTGTCGTCTTTGCTTCTAAAAATCGTACTAAATACGACTAAATCGTACTGGTTGGCAGGTCTGCTCTACTCATTTTACTCATTCACACAATTACTAAAAAAAACATGTTAAGAAAGAGCAATTGTCAATTGCGAAATGCCCCGAGTCCCCAGTGAGTTTAGTGATAAGTCTAGTCTTATCATTACTATGATTATTTTCATTAAGGATAAATGTGTTAAATAACACACAAAAATTCTTTATTGTAGCTCACCTATTGAGGTCTAAATTATCTTTAAAATGTCAAGTTTATTTTTCTGTTCCAATCAATAAGAATGAGTTCATATTGCTTAGAGGAATTGCCTCCAATGAAATTTGAGAAGTGAATGGAACCTTATATCTGTTGAACCCCATAAAGATATGCTTATAAATTGATAATTTGTTTGCAGTATAAAAGAATGACAGAAAATGTAACCCGTCCAACTTTTGCGATACATGTTGTATAAAGACACAGTAAATACTTTCAGATATCATCTTAAAGGCATCGTTTAACAATGTTAAATCTGAGATTCATGGCCCTACGTGTTATCAGTGTTTGTGATATGGTGTAATATTGATGCCCTAAAAAAATTCCGCTTCAAAATGATCATGAAGTGCCTCAAAAAAGTAAAAAATCCTTGAGTGACTGGTTTTACCATACCGGTGCTCATTTTCCCCAATAGACTGTAGTGTTATAAAAACGGTTAAGAAAAACAAAAAATGAAATTTCGATTTCCAATCATAAATATCTTGATAATCAGACAGGCGATCGGCTTGTAAAATTCATGGGATTCCTGACTGACTAATTAATTATGATTGCAGCATGAGCTTAATCCAAGACTTTGTTTCAGAATCTGAGGCCATGTTACTGAGTCACTTTAAACTATCATTTCCATATTCTTACCTTGATGTTATAATCCAACTTCAGCTGGTCATATTTCCCAGCCACTTTCACAAAGCTGTCTCGATTCATCCATTCATTCTTAGTCTTGTCCCAAAACTTCTGTTCAAACGTAGACTTGGCTTTCTCCAGATCAGTACCACAGTTGACAAGGTTGCTCTGCCCTTTGTTACCGACTGTGAAAGGATGGTGTAGAGAGGAGGACATTCTTGCATTACCTTAACATGACAGTAGTTACTTACAACCTTGAGAAACATATTTAAATTCACTTATTAAAAAGAATCTGTACAATGGATTGGTCCTTTACATGGTACTAACTGTACTGTTGAGTCACCTCAAGTACCATGGTTTCAACAATGTTGCTGTATATCTGCAAACTAGTGTAAAACCAGAAACTATTCAAGCCTGCATGAAATGTCCACAAATTTTTGCAAATGGTTGAGATTCGCAAAAATTTAAAGTAGAAAAAAAATGAAATCACAATCGACACATCAATAAATGTTTGCAATTAAGTGTTAATACATGTTTTTTCTTTTCAGTTTTACTTTTGATTTCACACTTTGACTTGTTTGACTCTGTTAGTTCATGCAGAAAGTAGAGATCAGTATTCATAGTTACCTCTTCCCCATCTGAACCAAACATGATACCACTTCCTATTGGTCTCCTCTAGAAGCTGTAGCACATAGTATTTGTTGTTGTTGTTCTTCAGATTGGTCTGAAAACGTTTAAAAAAGAAAAGGAATAAAAGAATCATTGAGGTCTGATAACACAGGTAAACATGCTCCTATGCAAATGCTATTACATCATTATTTGTTCCTACAAATTGCATGACTTTCATATTTTTCTTTCTACAATTTGCCATTTTACTGAATCTCAGTGCAGCATACACCCATTCATAATTGTGCATACTATGCCAAAGGAAATTCTGAGTTGTCACCTTCTTTCAGACATGATTTACAAATGAATGACAATATTCCAACAAAATTCCTTTGTTCGGAAGTCTACTGTCATACATAAATTGAGTTTGTAAATTGATCTAGAATCATCCTTTGAATGTACGTGTACGGCATATCATGTGCAACTAAGGTACGAGGCATTCTATTCAACTCATTTAATGCATTCTGAGGGATTAGACCTTCCTGCAAGGTCACTGGCAGGTGTTTATCTCATCGAATCAGCTCTCAATTAACATAAGAAAAAGGGCATCATGGGGGATCAACGGGTACCGCTTAGGCATTGTTGGCTGTAGAGAGGGCGCAAGTAGCTATACGTAGTGCAGTGGGGCTTTAAGCCAAGTCCAATGATTACCTGATTAAGCATAGCATCATACATTGCAGAGGTGCTATCCATAAAGACCTGTGTTTTACCCATCATCTGAACACACTCAGGGTCTACTGGAGCTCTATTACCAGTGATCCGAACAGTCTTCACACCTAAAACAAATCAGAAATATGTCCATACTTTAGGTACAAAGATAAGCAATCTGGTTGAGAAAGTTCTCATGTGAAATAAAACAATAGCTAAACATGAAGTTGAATATGGTAATGTAATTGCAATGTGCAAGAAATTATTTAAACATCTAAGGGAAAAGATTGGTCATATTGATAGATGAAAACATTTTTGTATGGTGTAGATATTGTGGAATAATCCATGATAACAAATTAACCCAAACTTGCTGAAAATCATATAGAATGAAAAGCATTGCACAATCACATCCATATAGACATGCAGGTATCAGGTTGGTAAAGGTCATTTCAACCCATTTTATATGTCTCACTTCTACACAGTCCACATTTTTGCTCTTCCATAGTACCCTAAATACAAATTTAGTGTCATTTTTATTTTCATCATGTGTGCAAGTCAATGCCATCTTTCAATTTCTATGTGTAGTCCTTCAACTCAGGTGGGCATGGGTACAAACCTTCGTTCCATCTTCCTGATTTTGTCTTTGGTTTAGCTCGGGATGTACTCGGCTGTTCCTCTTCTTCCATCTCTTCTTCTTCCTCCACCTTTGGTTCATTCTTGACTCTCCTCCCACTCCGTGTCTTCTTCTGCTCACCATTACCTGACTCGGTAGTACTTACAAGCTTGATTGGTGAACTTGATGGACTGTGTTCTATATATGGAAGAAAAAAAGGGTTATCAACATGATTTCTGACAATAACAGTCTTACGAAAAAAGATAGTAAAGCCTTACAGTTTTTGTTGTTGTTTTGTTTATTAAACCTAAACAGAAACTTCAACAAAATAAAAGAAAATAATCAGTCTATGTATTCTCGAATTAAGATTTATCAATTAATTCTATACAATCATTGCCATCCCAGAAATGGATTGGAGATATGCAGAACAGTGATAATTATTCAAGCTCAGATAAATAAGCTTGGTAGTGGAACAGAAAATGTATGTTTACCAATCATCTACACACACACATTTCTTGCACATTGTCTGTACCTGTTTTCAATCTTTCGACCTCCCTCACAACATCTGTTTCATCATTACACTGCTCCATGTCGTTCAGATTGATGGTATAATTCCTTCCAGCAACCATTAAGGAGACTGTATCATCATTGTTTTGACGTCCATTTTCCAAAGCGATGGTATCTGAGGGACCGTAGGCATTCCAGCGTCTCTTTTCATCTTTCCATTGCCACACAAAATCTGAAACCATTCAAAGTAGAAAAAAATATATACCCGGTATTCAAATACATTTCAGCAGATACCACTGCTTTCTTTCCTTCTCTGCCTTAAGAGTATATATATGTATACATGGATTATTTTTAGCCAGATCTAAAAAAAAAGGTAGTAAGAGATTTTAATGGATAAGAATGGGTAGAAACTTACACTGATTTCCATCTTGAAGACAGCATCTTATTCTTCTCTCCCATCCGGTAGAACAGTTTCTCTGAACCATTTTATCTAGTTTCACCTCTAGCATCTTTCCGCCTGCTTCAAATTTTACATCTTGTCCATCCCCATCCAGACTGTCGTTGATAGCTTTTGTGAGATCTGAAGCACATGCCACCCAAACACGCTTGTCTTCCCATTGCCAATAGAGAGCAACTCGTCTTGGTGGCTTGAACTTCTTAGATGGAGAAGAGCTAGGCTCACCATCATCACCTCCTAAAATCATGATCAATTCAAAATAAAAAATAAAGATTGTGGAAAAGAGAAACAATGAAAATTCAGGATTAGTGACAGTCATTACCGGTAAGCTACATAAAACTGATAAAAGGAATAGGATCCAATAAAGTATCAAAACAATTCTTAACTATCATGATTAATTTGATTCTGAATTTCATTGTTTGTAATTTAATAGTTATAAAACATAGAAATAGACTAAATAAAGTAAGAGTAGTCTAGAGTATAGACAATATTTGTATTAAAAGTTCTAAAAATAAAAATAAGTTTAGAGATTTCCAAAATTAACAAATTAAGAAAAGTTTAATCAAACTAAAATTTAGAAAATTTCTCATTTTTAAGTACAGAGCAAATGGGAGGGGAGCTTGCAAGTAACAGAGTTGCCAATTTGTGTTTGATTGACACTGATCATGATAGCAACTTCAAAAATTCATAACTTTCTTACTTTTAATCAGAATTTGCTCAGACCTAGTGTGGGGATATCCTATCACTATCACTATCAGACAGGCGCGGATCCAGGATTTCTTAGGGGAGGGGGCCCAACTTTTTTTTTTTTGCTCCCGAAAATTTGAAAATCGCTCAGTGGGGGGGGGGGGGGGGGGGGGGGGGGTACAGAGCACAATTTTTTTTTTTTTTTTTTGCTCCCGAAAATTTGAAAAACGCGCCGGCCAAAAATTCGCTCAGTGGGGGGGGGGGGGGGGGGGGGGGGGGGGGTAGTGAGCACATTTTTTTTTTTTTGATCCTCAAAAAAAAAATTCAATTTGCACCCCCCCCCCCTTGAGCGCCAGGGGGGGGGGCCCAACCCCCAAAAGAGGTAAAAATCACGTGATTTTACATGATTTTTTTCTCAAGGGGGGGGGGGGGGGCCGGGCCCCCGGGGCCCCCCCCCCCTGGATCCGCCACTGCTATCAGATTATCACGCAAATTGTTATCACAGCAAACTACGAAAGGCGGGTGCACGAGCGTGCGTGAAGCCGATTACAATCGATAACTTCATGCACCCCTTGTCAGGTACGGTATATTGTGCTGCACTTTGCCGGAAAACCTGTGAGATATTATTTTTAATAATACTAGATCTAGGTCTAAGTTAGGTCTAATGATTAATGACTGTCTTCGTTTTTACAATTTTAGGAAAAATAGATCTAGACTCTAGATCTAGATCTAGACCTAGGTCTAGGTCTAGTCTAGGTCTAGACCCTACTCCAAAAAAAAGATTTAAAAATTGACACCAAAGGCAAAGGGGTAAGAAACATAACAAATTTATATCATGACCATTATTTGAACAATTGATGAAGATTAAGCTGATTTTAGGTATGTTTTAGTTGGGTATCTCCACGCCGGAGTTACGGGTCAAAAATGGATACGAAAGTACACTACCGCCCAATAGTCAATGAATTGGCCTACATGCATTGCAATATGTAGGTCTACACATTAAAAATGCGGCGACTTTTGATAGTCAAAACAGGTATTATAATAATCTAGAAATCTTATTATCTACGACTTACCTGCATTCTTATCACGTTTTCTTCCGCCTTTTGCCATCCTCCTTCAAAGAAATTTCTCAAATTTCCTGTAATCTTGCTAGTTTTGAAAAAATTGCTAGTTTTGTACCTGGGCATCAGGTACGAAGTCCGTCCTTTCTATGAATTAAGCGCGCGCCGCTCATATAATTATATGCGCGTGTTAACCAATCAGCTCACGACAGTGGTTAACTTGGAATGACATCATCGCACACTTGTTTCAACATGCCCATCAATTAATTATATTAGTCACATCACATGCATTCATATCCCATATATGCGAACAAAATGATAAATTTGGACACTTTGTTGTCATCCAGTCTAGAAACCCAGTAGGCCTACATTGGACTTTGAAGAAAAAAAAGGGAGATGCAAATATGCGACTATTAGAGAAGTGTAAAGAAAAATATATTATATGTAGGCCTACATAATTATTTTTAAGAAATTACGTTTCTATGCTCAATCGCTATTTAATGAAGCAATGTTGTTATTCAGTATTGTTTGAATAACCCAGAATATATATTTTTTTTTTAATATATATTGGTATAATTTACCCTCAATAATTAATAAGATTTAGGCCTATCTGAATTTCATTTTTCTGCAATGTGAATTAACGCCGACCTCGGAAAGGAGGTACATAAAAACTTTTAGATACCTCACTTAAGAAATCCAGCCATCTGATTGGTCGAAATTGCAGTCATGGTTTTAGCCATTCCCGTAAATTTCCCGCTCCCGTCAGTGAGGGGGGGGGGGGGGGGGGGCGGGGGGGGCACGTGTCCCCTGCGCCCCCTAGATCCGCCACTGAGGCCTACGTGTATGTTGAACTTAAACGGAAATCAAACATTTATTATTTTTGTCTGATAAATAAGGTCCAGTATACAAAAGTGTTTAGAATTTATGATCTGAGAGGCACATCCAGCACACAGAACCCGCGGCCCCACCCCCATCCACGAAATGTTATTTATAATTTATAACATAGGATATATATATATATATATATATATATATAATATATATAACACATATAATATAATATATATAACATAATTATATAATATACAGGGCGCGACAAACCCGCTTGCCCGACGTCCCGGGGCAACCAAATTGAGCCGTCGGGCAAGTAAATCAAATTATCACTTGCCCGATTCGGGCAAGTGATACTTTTACAGTAATTTCCTAGTGTCCAAGAACTCTACCATTCACCCGTCAACTTCTTACCCGTCGTCAAAATCCAGAAGCAAAAAAGCGATCGTTCCGATTTCGAAAAAACTTCACAGACAGCTAGCCAGCTCAGCTAGCTCAGCGCGCATGCAACAGTGACACTTCAAGCCATGAATGCCGCTCCGCCTCCACGCACGGCCGGCCGTGAGCTAGCTAGAGACAGCTAGCGCGATCGTACCAGCTGCGAGCTTATTCGCGCTCTCTCTCTCTAGCTCTGCAGGCCGCACCGACAGGCCTTTGCTATTCTCTGATTGCCGATTGGTTGAATCACGCCAAATATGACGTCATTATTCTAGGGAAATGAACACGTGCGAATCGGAATGGAATAAACAACAGGGATTTTATAGTAAGTACAAAAAGTCAAATGTTTGATATTTATTCATAATGACTGTTAATGATTGTGAACATATTATTTAAAACTCGCTGCTCATATAAATCAGATGAATGTTTTTGTCTCGTTTTCAATTTATTACTGCGGTCTCAAGATCCGACCGAGCGAGTCATTTTGATAATAGTATCGAGACCCCCAGAATATAAGCCGTTGTTGTTTTGTTTTCATGGTTTTTAGCGACGTTGTTTAGTCTAGTTTTCGCATACTTATCCGAGATTTATCGTAAAATATCTTCAATATTATTATTTAGTAAGAATTTACAAATTTTGGCATGATATTTATAGCAGTGAATGATGAAATAAAAATGTCCGTACTTTATTTAAAATAGTTGATTACCCATTATTTACATGACGTTTCTTGATGGAAGAGTTGACCCAAATTATTAACAGCTGAAAATTAGCCTACGTTTCCAAATGACAGCGGCTTGCACAGACACACATGTGATGTTGCACCATGGTACATGTGGCTACCATTAATGACATGTTTGTATCATATTTTTTACAACAGGGTCATTATGCTTTTTTACATGACTGAATATTAAAAACTTAAACCTGCTTGAACCATTCTACCTTGCCGAGATTCATGTGAATCTGATTATTTATGGAGAATCAATAAAATGCGTTTTTTAAACCTTCAACCATCCTTTGTTGACCATTTTCTTTGACATATTAGGTTATTATTCAGTACAGTTACACTGTACATGTATGTGCATTAATTTGCTATCTAAAACACTAACTTATCATTACGAGATAATAAATGCTTTAACCTCGAGTCCTTTTTCGCTTTAAAGTTTTGGGCAAGTGGAAATATTGTTTGGGCAAGTAAATTGAAAACCCACTTGCCCGACAGGGCAAGTGGTGAAAAAAATTCTTGTAGCACCCTGATATAATATATAATATATATCGTGGGTTGGGCTGCGCTGTTCTTTCCTGCGCCCTATACATGTATAGTGTAGAGAGAGAGAGAGAGAGAGCGAGAGTGAGAGTGAGAGTATCCTCCGTGGCACATGCAGTTGATACAAATAATGATTAAAACATCTGAAATAAAAAATCCTTGAGAGTTCACTTCTTCACTACATGACCGGTGTTAATTATATTTCTTCATAATAGTGAACATATTGTATACGCCAAAGAGTAATTACCATCAGGGGTAGCACCAGGTTATTTTGTTTTAGTGATGGGCACGCCACGCATGGAGGTGTGTGAAGTTGAAGTTGAAGTTTTTTTTACATAAAATTGATGGATAAATTGCTCGCTTTGGTGCATACTTTTTGCCAAATTAAAAAGAAAACAGTCTTAAATTCAACGAACAGGAACAAGAACGCAGGGGTGAGGGGGGGGGGGGGGCGGGCTGTCACCATATTTTTCAGAATGGTTGTATAGATGAATTCGTCGTTTCCAACAATCAGCCATAAGATTTACGAGATACAAGGGATTTATTTGATTTTTTTCAGTGGAAGGTTTTTCATCATAAACCAATGAACTATAGCTGTAATGCATGTGAATGTAATAATGACGCGTCTAAATCTGATCAACTGATTTGGCTTGCTTTTTCTCTATCTTTATTTTTTCCCCTACCCCGCCCTCCCTTACGTCATAATTTTTATTTCATAATAGTCTAGTTCTCGATCTCCTGGCCTTCCTCCTTAATTCTCGTACGTCGATATATCCCCTTCCTTTTTTTTTCCTTCTTCTTTTCGTTTCTTCTCCTTCTTTTCATTTCCTTTTCCTTCTCCTTTTTCTCTTTCTCCTTCCCTTCCTCTTCCCTTTTTTTCAAAATGATAGGGGCGGCTACCCCCTGCCCCCATGTGGCTCCGCCCCTGATTACCATGGTGATATCACACGTCGTAGACTTTCGAGAAAGAAAAAAAATCAGTAGCTTAGTAATTGCATGTGTACGTACCGGTACACTGTGCATTCAGACAAATTTGCTGAGGGCCGAGGACGATCTGAAGGCTGAAGCCGTAAGTTTCTTTTATTTCTTTACTTTTTTTCCTTTATATTTTTCAAGCTATTCCCATCACGAAATCATAATTTACAATTTACTTTCACTTGCTAGAGCAGAGAGAATCTTGAGCAAGATGAGACGTAAGGTATCGATGCGATGAAGGAACCGAAGATACCTACACCCATGTACCCACGGCCATGGTGACATCGGCACCACCCCACGCCTGAAGTTTCGGCGGTCAGGAAGCTCCCATTCCTGCTCGATCCCTTTTACCATCGTGCTGCTCGGAGGACCTAGTAATACTAGTATTAAACCTAGTCGTACCGGTAATTTGATTTAGTTCGCTGTCCAATGTTCCAACTTTTTGTTACTAATAGTTATTCAGTTGGCTGAAAATCTAAGTTAAAATGGGTGGGGGGGGGGGGGGTGGGCCTGTGCAATAGTCTAATACTTGTAATACAACCCACTTTTCAAGGAAAAAAATCAATCACTTATTCAGTATTTTGCATGGACATAATCAATACAGTTATTATTGTTAATTAAGTTTATTAAGGATCTACAAAGAAATAACTTAAAATTAGAATGAGTCTCTTTATTTTTCTCAAGTAGGTCTAGTCAAGACAGATGAGAGTTTTTAAAAATGATTCCAGAGTCAGTAAACAAATACAAAGCAGAACAGAAACCGGAAGAGTGTCTAAATTACTAACTCTAAACATTTTGGTCCGAATCCACAAAGCAAGGTTTGAGCTCAGACCAAGGTTTGAGCTCAAACCTCCTTTTGTTCTTTACAAACCAGGTTTGTAAAAAACGCGTAAAACGCGTCATATGACGTACGAAAACCAAGGTTTGTCGACAAACCTCCTTTGTGAATTCGGGCCTGTGTGTGCAAAAATGAATGAAGCATTAACGTGACAGACATCATATTATATCCGATATTTAAATGTCAATGTAATCAATAGAAATGCCTAATACCTCTCCAGAACAAATTGTATTTTCTTTAAATGAGGAGGAGAGTCAGTCCATGTCATGTTCAATATTTTCTTGCACATAGATATATTATATAACAAAAATGTTATGGGGTCATTTTCGACACATGTTTTTTCATCTTTAAGTTTAATTTGTTCATGTATTGAAGAGGGTCAAATTAAGTCGACCTTTGGCTGATCATTATCAACCTTCTGAAGTTGTGTGTCTTTTGTCAGAATGTAAAATGTCTGTATTTACACTTATTGGAGATTATAAAACATTTTTTTTTCTTTTCTACAGGCGGGTATTCAACTGAAATGGCGAATCAGGTACCTGTAAACATCCAGTCCTCTCTGGCCATATGTACTTCGTTGGCGAGTCTTGTTCAGAAATCCTACGGTGCAAATGCTCAGCTAGTGATGTACACCACCTCCACAGGGAAGGTTTTGCTGACAAGTGATGGGAGCTCAATTCTTGGAGCACTTCATGTCTCCCATCCCATTGGCCGTTGGCTGATTGATAGAATCGTAACCTTTGGTCATCATACAGGAGATCACACAAAGTCATTTCTGTTGCTTGCAAGGAACATCTTGGATGAGATTTCCCATGAGTTGAGCTCTTCTGTGAATGGTTTGAGTCTAAGATGTGAAACTGTTCAAAGAGAACAAGTCATTCAACTTGTCAAAGCGCTTAGGGTTGTAGTGCAGGAAATCCTTCCCCAGAAGATCCTACCTGCTCTTATGGCAAAATCTCAATGTTTTTCAGCCTTGGACTTAAAAGCAATCAACACATTTGGAGAAAATTTGATACACACATATCTACATGGCAGAATAAGCTTCAAACAAGCAAGTTTTATGTCAAAGTTACTTTGGAAATTCATTAATGGATATGCAGGGAGTTCTGAAGCATCTGTGTCATCTTTAAGGGGTGCTGCTATTGCCCTACAGGATAATTTTTGTGTAGCTTCTATCGAAGCTGTTGGTTTGCCCATTGAGTCATCAGACATTAAAGAAGGAATTGTGCTGAGCAGATGTTTTGCCAAACATTTGAATGAGAGGAAAGGTGGTGAAGAGAGGAGGATTATAATATTTGGATTTGATCCTTCAAAGATGACCTTAGAATCAAATGCCACAATATCAGCAAGGACAGTGGAAGCCCTTGTTCACAGCATGCAACACACAAGACTCCAGATGATGAGGATAGTTAATCTCCTGCAAGATAAAAACGTTAGTGTTGTCCTTTTTTCAGAATGTGTTTCTGCTGCCTTCCTGTCTCTTCTTGACCATGCATCTATTACAGTCATTCAAGCAGTACCTATTGAGGAGCTGCAGAGACTGAGCCATGTTGCTGGTATCAATATCCTGTATGAGATCCCCAGGGAGTTGGATGCATCCTGCACGGTGATGGCTGAAGAAGTAAAGGAGGTCACACTTGGTAAACATCGCTACAGCCACATTATAATTAGAAGTGGACCAGGAGAAGGTCACCTTGTACTATGTGCCCCAAGCGAAGCAATGTGCAGGGTGTTATCTCAGGCTGCTCTTGGTGCAATACGGTGTGTGAAGGTTTGGCTTGATGCAGATGATGGAACCATTTCAAGGTCAGTTGGATCTGAATGCATTGGATCTAAAGACCAATCCAAAAATGCACCTCTTAAAGTTGAACCTTCTGAGATCAGCTGTATGAAACATGAGCAGAGCAAACCATCAAAGCTGCATCTTTCTCAATCAGTGTGTAATGCAAACATTGCTGGATGTGGAAAAGAAACCGAGGTGCAAACTGGATATCTAATATCTGGAGGTGGTGCTGCAGAGTTCATTGCAAGAAACGTACTCACTCAGAGTCTCCCTGCATACAAAGATGACTACTTCCAGTATGCTACCATCAACATTATATGTAATGCCCTCTTGTGTATACCTAGAACAATCTACCACAACTCATTTGCTGCACAATCCAAAGACAATCGTTCATTCATCAAGATTATATATGATGTACAAAGGAGATGCGAGAGCCAAACCAGTGAAGCATGGGGTATTGATGGCAAAACTGGAGAGGCATGTTACATGTTCAATAGAGGTGTTGTTGAGGTACTTACTGGGAAGTACTTGCTTTGGTGCAATGTCATTGAGACTCTCATTGAGCTTCTCAACATGGATATAATCATTCCGGTGCAGAGGATTTTGAAAGATGCTGAGAGTGAGGATGAAGACGATGATTGACTGATATGGTGTTTTTTCATTGAGACTACCATGGAGCCTCTTAATGCGGAAAGATCCTTCTTGTGCAGGGGTACTGGAAGTGAGGAAGGAGAAGAATTTGATCTCAGATTGCCAGAATATAAGGTGTGAATGATTCAAGGTTCATATAAAGTTAATCTTTTGTCAGATCAGAGTCTGACAGATTTTTAATTAAAGAGATGCATGAAAATAAGAAAATTGTGAAACTCTAAACTTTTTGAGGTATGAACATTTCATGAATATCGTAAAATGCTCATTATTCCATAGCTTTATACCAAACAATAGTTGAATTGTAACATTGAATTTTGGAAATATTTAAATTTAGTACAATGGCAAAGGCAACTGTATCCATTTGTAAAAGTGTATGATTTTACAGTGAAATACTAGCTTTGGGTATGTGAATTATGTATATTAAGCTCCCTAAATATTTATTTCTAAATCATCCATTATGAATCTTAATTTATATGATAAAGAAAAAAAAACATCAATATACACCTAGAGGTATGAAATGTCATAAATATTTTCTTTAATAATGATTGTACCAGTTTATAACAAGGAGGTTGGACCGGAATATAGAATATGCACATCGATCTATTGTACTAACTTGGATTTTTTTTAATACAGAATTCAAATTGGAGGTTGACATGATTCCATCTTCTAAGATGTTTAGAACAAAGACAATGGATGGCTACGGGCTGCTCTAAAACTCCAAGTCTGTAACCTTACATAGGTTGTCAGCAGTGTTAACTAGTAGAAAGTATTGCCTACCGAATATTGTGTGTGTGTTTGTTTGCATTTACAATTTATGGAAAGTGTCTAAGCGTATATGACAGACAAATATCAAGGTCGTACCAAAGATTTTGCCATGCACTGGATAGTCTGGGCAACTAAAATGCTTATGATTGAGTTGTAATTTGCATAATAAACAGAGGGGGCTCTTAAATGTTGATGATCAACTACTGTAACTTGAAAGCTATTTGAAATGCACTTTTTCTTTGAGTGCTCAAGTTTTACCATTATATTCTTGTATCTCTTTTTTTTGGTTTCAGATTAATCCCTATGGCCTATTGTAGGAGGCAGCCACAGAGAAGGATACGACTACTGAGGATGACACCATCCAAGAGTTGTTTCAGTTCTTCTACATTGTCAACAAAAATAGACTAATATGATTAACTTTATGGAAAAGTTAGTCTGTATAATTGATGCCAACAAAAATTACTTTGTGAAAGAGAAATGAATAAAAGATATATTAAAATTTGAATCACTTTGTTTTGGTTTTCCATTATTTATTTTAGAGATTTTCTATAATATCTGTAATGTGGAATGGCCACTGTGCACTCATGACATCTCAGTAGACGGACAGCCCATGAAACTGACAACGTTTATCTGCTGAACCCTCGGAACAAAATTGTCAGAATACCTGCAAGATCTTTGTCTACGGTAGTAGGCTGTCAGCACTTTTTGCCATGGAAATAACTAGACTGCATTTGCAATAGGATAAATAGAATTAGATATGAAATAAAGATATTAATATTTCCAGATGTAGGTCCATGCAGAAAGCCATTTGAATAGTAATATATAAAAGTCCAGGTTAAGGTAAAATGGCCAGGTAGCTACAAGTAGATGGACAGTCGTGCGAATAGTTCGACATCATTACACTCTGACTGCAAGGCTTATTATACACCGTGGTTTTGATATCATTAATCACAACCCAGTGTGGGTTCTCCATTAAGGAATACAATTTTTTAACTTGTATACCTAATCCCAGTGCATTTCCTCCAAAATCTAATTGAAGTCGGGTTGTGAGGTGTGTAGTGCATGGTCTTGAGGTGAATGATTGGGGTCCTAAGATTATGCAGAGAGAGATATGTGCAGAAAAAGGAAGTTTGAATGAGGGGGGCAGTAATGGTGAAAGAGAGGGAGAGAGATGGATATGGATCTATATTGGGCTTGTATGAGTACACCGAATGTATAAAGTGGACAAAAATAAAGTAAGAAAGAGAGAAAGAATGAAATTATAGAATAAAAAAGAGAGAGAGTGAGCATACAATAGATTAAAAGGGGGAGTAAAAATCAAATTTAAGAAGGCAAATGCAGACCAAAATTGTAGAAAAACAAAAATATGTGTGCCTGTTGAATAAGTTAGGTAAGGGGGGGGGGTGGGAGAATGTGGTCTGTATTCCTATAAAAGCTTATCTGTCTATCTTTATAGTATACATCTATCTACATTGCCTCAAAAGTCTATTTCTTTCTGATTATTATATAAATTATGAAACTATAAACTTACTGAAATTGATACTCTGACTGAATTTTGATAACAAATTGCACTACAATAATGATTAAAATTCAGTTCACAAGTTTTCAGTCAGTAGTCATGAGAAAAGACAAAACAAAAGAAAGGAGAAAACGGAAAAACAAAAATTAGATGAGTAAGATAAACAAATAACATTAAAATAATAAACGGCAGATAATCATGAATATTCATACATTATGCAAATAACCAATATCCAAAGATGGCAGCGCTCATGCTTAACAAACGTGCTTCATTGCTTGTGATAGCAAGATGTTTTCACCGGCAGGAGACGGTAAATATAATGTTTTTTAATTAGATATGATAGGTCATAATGATGCGATGAATGCAAGTAGTTAATTCTATTATATTATCATATTGATTATAGACATTCTGAGAAGATTTAAAGCTACCGAGAAGAGTTAAATTTGATAGCACTTTTTTTTCACACACGAAATCCAATGCATGGGACAGTACTGAGGCCTAAGAAATGGGTCTAGGCTAACTGTTTTTAAGTGAGAATGCCAAAATGCAGGTGACCAAAATTAAAAGCTTTTGTATACTATAGAATCTACAACTTCCATGTCTTGACATATGGAGTGGGAAATGAGATCCATGACTGTGTGGAGTGAATGAGTGGTCTCTAAAATAGTAAATTTAAGACTAAATCCCTAAATTTGTTCCTGTTCCGTGACTACGGAGGCCAATAACAAAATCTAAAATTTTAATTACTCATTTCTCAATGTTAGACTTAGAACTATTTTTAAAAGAAAGCAATTAAGACAACTCACCCATCGCCGAATCCAGAAGTGTCATAAAATAGGAGATATCAAGCTCCAAAGTTGGGGATTTCTTCTACGCTAATCCGTCTGTAAAGACTAAGAATTTTTGACAAAAATTAATTTCATGGTCAATAATTTACGTTCATAATTAGACAGGCTGGAGAGAATAGGGGTGTCATTGCTGTTACAAAGTCCAAAATTACATTTAAACTTCGCGCGAAAGTACAGTCACTCGTCAGCGGCTAGCCTTGAATCGGTCGCACACACTGACACAGACAAGCCGCAATCCAGGCTGAAATCGAGCCATCAATATGCGTACGACACACGAGCCAACAATGATTTGTAGAGTAGTAGTGCTTGGCATCAATTTGCCTGTGTGAAGAGTAGGCCATGTAAGCAAAACCTCAAATGGATGTATACGTAATATAATGCTAGGCACATTCATGGGGCACTAGAGGGCGCTTCGGTCGCGTACGAAAATCTGAATGGCCTTGCTGCGGACGGTCGGCAATAATCAGCCCAAAACTTGGATATGGGAGGTTGGAAGGATATATCTTTTTTATAATGTTATCCGGTCTTACCCTTAACCATCCTATGTTTAATCTATGTAGGAATAACATGCGAGTATGATAAGAGAAACATCGGGACCATTACTGAAGTAACTTTTAAAATATTAGCCTAGAAATGACCACCAAACGGAAAAAATTGAAATTTTTTCCCGACAAATCTTCATAAAATCTGAGTTATATACAATTCGCATCTAGGTACACTAATACAAATACGATTTTCTGAAAATTCAGGTATGATTTTTTAAGTTTCTTTCAAGTATATGTCTGCGCATTGCAGCGCCAATATTCTTCACTGCTTCAAAATCACCCTTGATTTTTTTTTTTGCAACGAATTTGATACGAGGTCCGCGAGTGTTCCCCGTTACTTGCGTGTTGAAAGTTTGGTAATACATAGTTTGCATTGACTCGCGCACGAAAAAATGGTCAAAAACAAAATGTCAAATGAAGAAATAAACAAGCTTTTGTATAGTTATAAGAGTTCTACCAAGGTTTCTTTGTCGATTTAATTTATTATATAGTCTCAATTAGAATTCGGAATTATCTCACTGAAAAGTTAAGAAACCGACGATGTTGTCGATCGTAGTTATTTTCATTTTGCCAGCAGCCGATCTAGCGTTGTTTGGGCAAAAAGCTAGGCCGCTGCCTTCCCACCGCGAACCTTTCCGAGTCCCGCTAAAATGGCGCGCTGCGGAGCTCCAAAGCTGCGTTGGTATCGCTGCAAACTCTCAGCCGGCTAGCTCCCCACGACGGACCATTCGCGGTATGGTGAGAGTGTGTGTGTGAGGTATGATTTTGGATTCGAGAACGCACGTAACGCAACCGTGCGCGTCATTTAGAGCTGTCGAATGTGTACGACCAATTTTACATGTACGATTTTTAGTACAGATACTTGGTCAGTTTTCTTCTTATATCTTTGGTTTTACAACATTTAAAAATATAATTTCTTCAAATCTGCTCCTGACTCGGTTCAGACTAATTGTCTGATGTGTTTTCAAGTCAATTTTTTGAATATATTTTTTTGCATGAATTTGCCTAATAATGCCCCATTTCCGTACACAACAAACTTGGCAAGCACCTTCAGTGGTAGACAGGAAAAACTGTGCACGAGCTACAAGTTCATAATGACATGCGCAGTTTTTCCGTTATAATCATTTTGCCTTCGGCGTAGACTAGAAGGGATAAGATTTAGATGACGTCATGCGCAGCGAGAGTTTAAACTACCGCTGCAAGATTTTCATCATGGATGTCAATTTTGACCCATAATTTCCTAAAAAGGGACCATTAAACGGATTATTTCAGTCAAGTTGGTAAGTGGAACCGAAGTAGTTGAGCCTAGACCTAATTGTCAAAATAAGATGCACCGGATATGCATCCTGTGAAATATGGAATTTGGCCGGTAGTTTTGCAAAGTTTGGTGTAACGTTTCTTTACACAAAGCGTGAACACTAAAGCGTATAGGGCTGTTCTGTCTCTAAAGAGAGAGCCGACCCTACCCAAATCAGAGGCTAACGAACGAAAGAGACAGAAAAATTCGGTCTACTTCAGTGGATGGTAATGTAGTAGAGTTATCATTGCAGACATTGCTCCATAATTGCTTTAATTTTGCTCACGGTAGATATAATAAGAATATAATTTTTAAATAAATAGCAGTTTAAGAGCCAGGGGGGGGGGGGGGGGAAGAAGCGACTGGAAGACCAACAGGACTACCTTTTCTTCCATATATTGTTGATGTTGATGTTGAATGTATCGATGGAAGATTAGTATATCACATGTACATATAACGAATGATCGAAAAAACGACAGATACAAATTAAAAAACTTTGATAATAATAATAATAATATTTAATGTTTATATAGGGCTTAATTCAAATGTTTCTAAGCGCTCAAAAAGATGATCAAGAAGTCTTACTCATTTATTCTTGTTTATTCTTTTTCTGTGTCTATATCATTAATCACACATTTTTTACTGATGAGTTCTTTAACGCTCTTTACATCTTCCTGTAGATGCAGCTTGCTCGTCCGTCACACATAGTAAAGCTTTACAGTACACATAGCTGCAGACACAGTATGCAGAGACTGCACAGAGTAGTAGGGTGTAATACATCCTCACTGGTGGCAGGGAGGAGACTAGGTATAGTCTCATTACCAGACCTGGTTACAGGAAGGAGATGGAACAGTTCAGAGACCGGTTTCACAGAACCTTTGACCCAGGTGAGTTGCATAGTTTCATTTAAACATTGGAAAAGAACATGTTAAAGAAGGGAATGAGGCAGAAAGTTGAGAAAGGGGAAAGATTTCCCTTAATTTTGTAAGCAAATATAAGTGAAGCAATTTAAGACGGTGTGATTTAACATTGAAATCATGGCTCATATTTATAAATACCCTTTTTTAGGTATTTGTCAACTACATGTAATCACAAAATGGGAAACCCCCTGCTTCCATCCAGGATTTCCAGGAGCTATCAGAAATCTTTAAATCTTCCAAAATGATAGCTAAGGAAGTTCAGCTAGTAGTATACATCGGCTTTAGGTGCTTTTCCCTTGTAACCAGGAATAATGAAGAAAGTGGTTCTGTATTCTAGTTTCAATGGGTTCCTAGCTATAATATCACTTCAGGTTCTTTGGTGAACTGCTACATTTTTTTAATGCTTTTAAATAGCTTCCTCCCAGAAGATAACAACCTTAAGTTTATCAGCTTTCTATACACATCTCATAATGCGGGGCTAAACACTAACATTTTTTGAACGTTTCATACTCTTTATGCATGAGCATTGTGTTCAAATTTTGAAATTTAGGGGGTCTAGATTTTAAGCGCTCCTGCGTCCCAGGCACCTGTGACTGTCAAGCCCTGCATGATGTTTGTCTATTTAATTTTCTTTGTGTAGATTGGAAGTACAGCTGGTGTAGAGAACCTTGTAGATCCAGCAGCTGCCGCTGAGACCCTCATAGACCCAGCTGCAATCGGGTCAATAGCAAGCACGGCACAAGACATACTACAGCCTGTTGGTGAAGTACCTTTTACTGAGCTTGGTCTAGCAGGCTACACACCCATTGGTTTTCTTCAGTCAGGATTAGAGATGTTACATGTATCAGCTGGTCTGCCGTGGTGGGCTTCTATAGTAGTAGGTAGGTTAATACTGTACTATGAAATATTATGCATCACGGAGGGTGTTAGTAAGAATTATCTATTATATTTACTAAGATCAATCGATTTTATTTACTGGGTGTAAGCCACAAATATGTTTAAACTATATTTACTCTTGTTAGTGAAGTACCCTTCATTAGGCTTGGCTTAGAAAGCTATACATCCATGGTTTTATTTCAATTAGGGTTAGAGATGTAACAGGTAACTACTCATCAGCTGTGATAGGTTTCAGTAGTTAAAAACAGTGAGTAAAGGTACAGTTGCTTTTCAACTAAATTTCTTAATGTGTTACTGCAAGCAGGAGTTTGATGGATTTCATGTGGGTGGGTCACTAATTTTTGCAAGATATGGGTTATGAGGACCAAGCAATTATTATATTTTAGATAAGCCCTTTCACATGTAATGTTATGAGGTTGTTGAGAATTAATGCTTTCTCACAGTACCATTACCAATTACTCCTTGTTTGTGACTCATGCTTACTTAAAATAAAAGCTTGACTGTTGTGTTGTTTAATAGGGATTTAACATGGTAGGGTGGACAATGAAAGACTCTTGTTTGGTGAAGTTTTTCGGCAGAATACATGGAATAAGTGAAGTGTAGCAAATAATTGTGATTTGTTTCTCTTTTCATTTTTATCGAATGACCGTAGGTACCCTAATAGTCAGAGCATGTGTGTTCCCACTCATGTTGAAGAACATGAAATATACGATCAGACTCAATAACTGCATGCCTATCTTCCAGAAGATATCTAAAGAGATGAATGATGCCAAGGCTTGTGGAGATCAGTTTGAGAGTAAGTATTATTATGTGCAATCCTATTGGGTACCCATTTGATACTCATGGGTGGAGAGTGGCAAATTTTACAACATTGTTGTTGATTTACTCTTCATCTTTTTTTTTTTGATCTCGCTCTTACAAAAATATGAGTTGGAACAGCTGTCAGTTGTCCAGGCAACGCTCGGCCTGGTCGAAGTATTTAGAACTGACAATTAACTTTATACCGGTAAATAAATTTAAATTAAATCGTAATACACACATACATACACATTGATATTTATATAGCGCCTTTACAAAAACATGCTCAAAGCGCTATAATCTAACTTTTATTCTGCCTTTTATTTCTTCTTCTAGTGACAAGAAAAAGTATGGAGTTGCAGCAGTTCATGAAGAAGAATGATGTCAATCCACTCAAGAGTTTTGCTGGTATTCTGCTTCAGGTTTGCAAAATTAAACTTGTTTAATTTTGGTTGATAGAAAAAACAATACTTTGTACCTGATAGAACTCGCCAGACTAAAAAATGAAGTTTATTCCCTGCAATGCTAATATAATAAATCTCCCATTGAGTCACAAGGGACTGATAACTGATACTAGCTATAGGAATTTAGATACAAATAATTAACACATAAAACATGATTTCATTTGAAAATGCCCCACATGATGTATTTTGTATATGTTTAACACTCCTGGAGACAACAAATGAAACTTTTATTTGTACATGTTGTATAATCCTGATTGATTGTGAATCAAGTTTCAATTTTTTTTTTCTTTTGTTATTTTGATTGTATAGGCACCCATCTTCATTTCTTTCTTCATCGGACTCCGTCGTATGGCAACCCTTCCTGTAGAGAGTATGCAGACAGGAGGTCTATGGTGGTTTACTGATCTAACCACCAGTGATCCTTACTATGCACTACCGGTCATAGCTAGTCTCTCAATGTTTCTCGTTATGGAGGTATGATCATGAGCCATGGAGATGTGTTTGATGATGTTTCTTGTTATGCAAGGTCTTTCAGTCGAGTGCAGGTTGAGAAAAAAGAAAGAATGTCCCAAATTCTTTAATACCCCATCCCTTACAATTAGTGAGTAACTTAATATAATGGCTCTGAGTAATAATAATAATAATGATAATAGTGGCTACTTGTATAGCGCACAGGTCCACCTTTCGGTGCTCATGGCGCTTAAGTAAGCTCCTTACTTTAAAATTGTGACATTTATGTTTAGCCTATTCCTTACCTGTCTCATGGGTTGTTTGATGCCTATGTATATGTGTACTAGCGCATAGAGAGGTTTTCAATTCATTATATATTCAATAAATATTCTTGATTATTATTATTAATCAACCAGGAAACCAACAGCTTTAAATTCTCTCCAAGGGACTTGGTAATGAAGATATTAATGCCTTAGCAAACAGCACCAGCGCATCGACTTGGATTTGAACCCAGAACCACCCAGTTATGAGACCATTGCTTTACCACTGAGCCATTGTGCCTCCTCTTGCACAAAGAATGTAAATCTAATTCAACTTGTATTCATTACTTTTTAATTTTATTCATCTATGATTCTGTCTTTTTTAGCTGGGAGGAGAGGCAGGTGTAAGCAATGCTCAAGCTCAGAAGATGAGGAATGTTCTTAGAGTGATGCCGTTTGTTGTCCTTCCTTTCATCGCTTCGCTTCCTAAGGTGAGTATCACAAAGACAGCAAGGAGATTTATACCAGACAGATGGACAGATTATAAACGTTTTTATCTTATCATCGAGCTGAATTTTTAATTTCTTGTCGTATATGTTATCTACTTTTCAGTGGCTTGAAATGAGCCTATATCTTGTTTTAAAGCCCCACTGTACTACTTGTAGCTACTTACTCCCTCTATATAGAAAACTATAGGTTTTTTTTTTTCTCTTCTGTCACATTACCTAGGGTGTATTGTATTCTAACCCCAACCAGTCCTTCGGTTTGTGCATGTTACTAGGCTTTATTCTAGCCCAATTTCCCCTTCTTTTTCTGTTTGTAGGCTGTATTCTGCTACTGGCTCACATCCAACTTCTTCTCAGTATTCCAAGTTGGTCTGTTGAAGATACCAGCGGTAAGAACGGCATTTAACATCCCAGAGAAGGTTACACATGATCCCAAGGATCTACCCAAGAAGGAAGGCTTCTTCAAAGGACTAAAAAAAGGTACAAGATTCATTATAGACTTTTTATGCCTCCGTTACGAAGTAGCTGGAGGCATTATGTTTTCGGGTTGTCCGTCCGTCCGTCCGTCCCGTTCTTGTGATCGCATTATCACAAGAACTGATTGATGGATTCCGGCCAAACTTGGGTCATGTATGTATCTTGCAGAGCCAATGAACTGAGTAGATTTTGGGGTCATGAGGTCAAAGATCAAAGGGTCATACATGTATATGAGAAATAGCTTGTAATCATGATATTCTGAGAACCTGTTAATGGATTCCAATCGAACTTGAATTTGAAAAATTTCTTCTGTTTTGTTTGTTAAATTGTTCTATGGCGGAGGCATCATTTTTGACTGCATGCAGTCAAAGTTCCATCTAGTTTGTATAGGCTTTGTCTTGGCTACCGGTAGCTGTTTTCAAGAAATTCCTGATTAACTTATACTGTTGCCATGAAAACACTCAGCTTTGAAATGTCTCATGGTTATATGACATTTAAATATTCTCATGGGTATTCATTGTACTGGATTCCTGCCTTGTACAATGTTTAACCATCTGAATCCTGAATTCACACGTGTAATTGTGGTATATATTACAAGTTTAATACAGGAACTTTGCAGTGTAAAGGTGATCTTAGTTTTGTTGTAAAGTTCATCATTAGTCAAATACTTTAAGCATTCTAATAGAAAGAGTTCCTAATAGGAAGAGTTCATGTTTTAATCTGGATAACCTCAATTACTTTCCCTAGATAAACATGCACCAATGTTTTGATTCACTTCTTCCTAACATCAGGTTTTAATAGTGCTCAGACAAACTATGACGTTGAACAGACACAGAAATTACACCTGAAGAAGCTGAAGGAGGCAGGAACAGGCCCAGTACCCCAGACATTCACCTTTGACCCCACGAGGCAACAATCAAGCTCCAGCCAGCAGCAAGCACCTCCCAAACAGATTAGGAAGAAGATACGATGAGTAGAGACCTGAATCCAGAGAGATTCAGTAGCTTGGACTATGAACGATATTTCTCTATAGATAAGAGTGATTTGAACTAGTCACCGACAAAAATGGAAGGAGTCTATCTCTTCGCGAGAATGTCAGGTCCCCGGAAAAACAGTCTATTGTCTAACGTGTTTATCGGAAATGAACACCTGTACATCTTAATGCAGGAATTCATTTCCAACGTGCTTATCTTAATGAACACTTTAATCTAATGCAGGAATTCAAAACCAGGGGTTGTTTACCCATTCCCGGCATACTATTGGAAACATAATTAATGCTATTTACTTTTAGATGTATACCAAGTCAGACTAATAACTGTAAAATTAATCAACCCAGCCCGGCTCCTCTATGGCTGTAGCGCCCCCCTTTAGGTCAATGTGTTGCCCAAATCAGCGTACCACTACATACTTATGAGAAGGTGGGAACGAGTATGTTAGCAGACACCAATGGTTCATGCAATCATTATTGGATAGGAGTTTTCTACAAGTGGATAGGAATGATTATGATGATAAAAATGTCAGATATTGAGTCTATTTTAGGGCTCTATTTTTCCTAAGCAATGTATACCCATGTCATGTATTGCCATGTTCTTGTACAAATTCATGACCCCCTTTCTTTTCAATATTTTGTGTGTTTTCAGTTATATAGAAGATGCAATAGGTCAAGGCCCTGTTTCATAAAACTTGTCATAAGATGATGACTTGTATCCTAATCAAATGATTGGTTGAGAGCATACACGTGACCAAGCATTTATTTGCCTAACGCGTCATTTGGATAATGACCGGTCATTATTAAAATCATGTTATAAACCATCATTTTATAAAACAAATAAAACATAATCTTATAAAACAAATAATACACATCATTTTGTTCGGGCATTAGTAAAATACCCACACTCGGTACCTTCAAAACAGTCCAAGTTAGACTGTTCCAAAGGTACCTCGTGTGGGTGATTCTTACTAATGCCCTCACTGTTGTGTATTATTTGTATATTATCAATGAAATGGTACAATAATTGTTATAAGCTACTGAAATCCTTGCAGCTGATTGGCGATGAACAGATATGTTATGGATCTGTGGCAGTTGATATTGATAACAAGTTTTATGAAACGGGGGCCCAGGTATAGTGTAACCTGTATTTTCTTCAGATGTATGCAACAGATTTTTTCTGGAAAGAAACAGGAGCTCAACCAATCATGACAGTTTTTGTACAGAAAATATTATCATTTCCATATCTGATTGAGGTGGAAGACAGAAGAATGGGAATTCCTGTTGGGAAAATGCATTTTTTCATCATTTCGAGCAATCCTAAGGAATGGAGCTTTGGTGTAACAGACAGGTATTATGTATTAATGGGCATCCCATTCAACAACTTGCACACTCATCCTGGTAGTCAAACCCCTTCATTTCCCCATACTGTAGTGAATGCTCTCAAAACACTTCCTAAGTGGGATGAGCAGCGGTTCGACAGTTTTTGTTAGATGCAAGATTTGTACACGCACATAGATTCTCCCGTTTCCTATTAGCGATAGGCAGTCCTGCGTATTCTTGATCAGTTTGTACTTTTACTTCTTGTCTTTTCAAGATTTGTAAAAATTCCTCAGAAGTAAAGTTGCATGATTTTTTATTTGTTATTTAAATATTTTGTTTAAGGGGGGATGGGGGCAGGGGGATTTATTTGGTGAAGACATGCTCTCTTGTTCCACTTACTTCTAATGAGCATTATTTGTGTAAAGATGTTATTGATGGTAATCCTGATTCTTTGAATAAAGTTGCATTTGTAATAATATACATTTGCAATATTTCAGATTGAGAGCATGAGCCCATCAAGGCATCTTTGTTCAATTCTCAAACTGCTCTGCAGATGAAATCTCCTTCACACTGACATTTTCACACCAAAATTATGCATTAAAAGTGTTGATTGAACAGAGAAATCTTCTATAACTGGTAAACTTCATATTGTACATGTGTTATCATGCCAGGAAATTCCTGCAAATGTAATTGATAATAAATTTCAAGAGATATTTAAGAAACCTCACCCATCGTATTGTACATTTTCTGTTACAATGATGCTGGCTGCTATACTTTCCATAGCAACTCACATCTTGTTGTCCAATAGCCATTTCAACTTTGAACTTGCACTTACAGAATTGCATTTGGTTGGAAGGTGTTTCCATAAGTTTTTAAAGTCTACTTTCTTGGTTTCCTGTAATCTGTACGTGACTCCAGGACCTCGTTCCACAAAGGTTTGCAATCGAGGCATTGGGCAATCAAGATCATTGTTGCATGCACATATTGTTTAAAATAATTGTGGTTTTAAATTTGCAATTGATCACAAACCTTTGTGCTATTGGGACCAAGAGGGTATGTGTTTGTGGACTGTGGAGAAGTAATTGCTGATGTTGGTCATCAAATATCCTTTCGAGGAGTGTTACATGTTCCTTTTCCCCCCTTTTTAGTTTACCTCACTTATTTTATTCTCTAGCGTTCATCCCCTCTCTTTCCAACACTGTCACTTAAGATGGCCAAAACATTTATCTTCATAAGTCATAACCCTCTCTTCTCTTTTATCAATCAGTTCTTTATCTTTAATCATTCCCCATTTCTTCTCTCTTCATATCTGCCAGCTTGACATGTGTATCAGTGCTTGATGTATGTATGCTTAGAAAGAGGAGAATATACTTATAGACGGCATCCATTGAAATGTGTCATTTCACCTCGCATATTACATGTCAATTGATGTCGAAGTAGAGTAGTAAGAAAGATGAAACTCAACTTTTATAAATTGCACGCATTGTTTATTAACACTTTTTACAACTATGAAAACAAGGCAGCTTGCAATACACGGCACATTCATTCATAAACAGGTAAAAAATGAAACCATGTTTCCTCTTAACACTGATGTGTACCGTACATGAACATGTATTCTGTCTTTCATGTAAAAGTCTTTCAAGTGAGTCGATTCCAATTATTACAAGGGTCTATACTGACCCCCCCCCCCTCACCAACACTACTGTTAATATATATAATCCCTCTTTTTTAAGTAGACACAGGTGATGGGTTTAATATCAATATTTTTCAATATACTAATTTAGTCAAATCTTTTCTTACATATATAAAAAATACACCCTGATTCCAAACTCGACCAAAGTCATGGAATGATTAACATTTTCATTCTGTTTGCATCTACACTTCAATTTTCACCAAATGGATCACTATTGATATGCCCCGATGTCTACAATAAATGCTGTATCAAATTTTTTGTCCAGAGTTATTCAGAGAGATAAGGTGTCACATAAACGTGTCGGCTTATTATTCAGAATGGGCCAAATTTCAATGAAGTACTTTTAGGAAAGTCAATAACAAGAGCTTTCAAAACAAAATGACCTTTGAAATCACATTTCCCTGTGCCGTTTTATTCACTTTCACTGTCATATATGTGACCTCTAGTCAAAAATTTAAAGTCAAAAGCATACCGTAAACAAATTTTTTTTTTTTTAAATTTCAATAAAAAATGTGTACCTGCATATCATAGTGAATATGAAAGGAGGCATAACAACATGCCGGAAAACATGTTTTCTGACAGTATAAAATATTACAGTATAAACAAAGCATAGTACAAAAGTAATGTCCCATATAAAAAGGCATACCATTATGGTAGTTGAAGAGAGAATCAATTCAACTCACAAATGAATAACCTAGTATATTCAGCTGACTGTTCTTCTCATCAAACAATAAACAAGTGTTACAAAATATCTTGTATATAGTATTAAAGGTTTAGAAGGTATAGTAAATGCTCAACAGTCAATTACAGAAAATCAAATTTTCTCCACTTTTGGAAATGGAAGAAAAAAAATATTATCAGCACACAAAACAGCTTGAAAAATTCCTTCTCAAGATGATTTTACCAAAAAATCTAAAAAATACTGCTGAAAATTAAAAAACAAACACAAAATAACCAGATTTCAAATGTAGAGCAAATATTTTTTTTCTTCTCTTCAAAACTCTGTAGCAGTTAAACCAAATGTGTATATTCCTCACATGACATACTTTAACATGGATAAAGAACCACAGAAATGTTCTATTTACATGTGCATACTTTATGCTGTTCTAATGAAAAATTCAGGGCTATCAAAATAATAGAAAACAAGGAAGTGGCACTGGTAATATTAGCTTATTATACTGCGGTAATGTCCTTTGGCAAGACATCAATCTACATTTGAAGTAAATTGGTACACAGTAGTAAGAAATTCCTTGAATGCCTTAGCACCTTATTTATGGTGGCTCAGCTATAATTGTGGCAATAATATGATACTTTATTATGCACAGTAGAATATTCATATAGCAGCTGCGCTATATAAATGGACCTATCATAAATCATTATTTTTAACAAATGAGAGTTTTTTTTTCATTAGTGTTCTTTATTACAAGGTTCCACATGTAATAATAGCAAAAGGTATAGCACAGAACATATGACATGTATACAATAACTACCAGTTAACACAAACATTAGAGGAGAAAGACTGAAGGTTGGTTAATCACTCTTAGCACTGAGTGACACCGTGGCAGGTGCTTGCTTGTCTATACCAAGCTTCTTACCGTTCACTACCAGCGCTACAGGTGTATTCACTCGAAGGGAAGAAAACTGGATGTGCTGGAAGAAAATATATTCAAAGAATGAAACTGAAATAGGGTTCAAATGATTATATACATTAAACATAGTACAAATCTCATTTAGTTACAGTACAGGCCACTGTCTGATGTATTGTTGTAGTGTTTCTCTTTAATTAATAAAAAGAAAATTTCTGAGGGGAAAATGCCTTCAAAGTGCTTGATTGGTAAATGTAAGTAGTTAGGAAAAACTCAAACAGTATGAGCCTGTCATCTTCTGCTCAGCATGTCATACTATGTAACACTCATTTGAATGAGAAATGTGATACTATTACTACCAGGCTATAAGCAAGTTGTTTGCTCCACATGTGATTTGAATTAAAAAATAAGTAGATTCTGACTAGTTTAAACTTTCTACTAGTAAAATTTTCCTTTCATTAGAATCAATCTATACAAAAAAATAATAACAAAAATATGACAAAACAAAACAAAAATGCAAACAAATATACAAGAAAATGAGACATATTAACAGATTCTAAAAAGCATCACCATTATCATCTTAACTTTTAGCCATTAGCACTATCATCATCATCATCATCACCATCATATAATTATTACCATTACATTATCTCTTCTATTATTTATGATATATTTCTTTCAGGTTTCACTTTAATTTAAGAAAAACCAACATAATGTTGACACTATCAAAATTTCTTCCAGCCATTCCCATCATCATTGCTAAGTCTAACACAGTTTACCTACCTTATTATCTACAGTGAAGTCTATCCTCTGAAGGTATGCCTCTGGTATTGCAACAGTATCACCTATGATGACCCCTTGACCTTGGGCAATGTTATACACATTGACAGAGTAGCAGGACCCCTCTGAATCAAGCATAGCAAAGGTACTGTGTCGGAAGGAAAGAAACAAAACACATACTAAACACATTGACAGAGTAGCAGGACCCCTCTGAATCAAGCATAGCAAAGGTACTGTGTCGGAAGGAAAGAAACAAAACACATACTAAACACATTGGAAGATTAGCGGGATCCTAATGAATCAACAACAGCAAAGGTACTGCAAAAATTAAACACATTGCACATAATATTATGCATTTTGAGTAGCAGGAACCCTTCAATTCAACATTAGTGAAGGTTCTGTACAAGAAAAAGAAATTAAACGGAGGGAATAACGAAACAAAGCAGCATCACATTTTTCATTGTGCATAGATACTCACAAACAGAAGCGCTGGAAAGGAGAGGGTATGTCACAAATTAGACAGGATGTTAATTCTGCAGACAATTCAAATCTCTCTTAATTTCATGGAGGAAAAAAAAAATCAATGTACCGGTAAATCAAATTTAGTAACGATTAATTCACTGGCTCTTTGCCATTTCATTTAAATATTACGATAAAAATGAATTCATGCAGAAAGTTGTTCACACCAGCAGCATTCATAAATTGTATAACCATAACCTGATTCGTCACAGCCATTGATCATACATTCAGTAAACTTTATACACAAACTGATTTCACAATATTTCAATAAGCTCATCGATACTTACAATGGAATGAGTTCCTCGGTTGCAATGCTACACACCACCTTCCCAACAACCACCTTCTCTGGATTAGCTCCTTCCTGTAATCTGGACAGCACACACTGTTCTAGCTTGACCGCTTGACCATTTGGTGAGGTATATGACCCGCCACCGTATGGACCAAGGTCATTCTGCTTGAACGAAGACATCAGCTGCTGTAGACGCTTGGCTTTTAATTTGCCCTGGCACAAGGAAAAGACCAAAGAAATCAAAATGTCTAGTGTACCCTAGTAGACCATACTCAGCACACTTTCTCTTTATCCTCGTGGAGAGCAAAGATAAAAGGTAGTGATATTTAAAATATGGGGGAAATATTTTCCACAAACTTTGTTCACAGTAAATTAATACCATATTGTATTGAGTTCTTATGATCTCATATCATAGTACAACAGTGAAACATGTCCATATTTAAAATCAGGTAAAAATTTAAAAAACATGTGATCTTTTGGTATTACAATGTCAATAATAGAAAGGATAAAGAGCATAATTCTAATACCACTAATAATGGGAAAGTTTTAAATATGCACGCCCTAGTGGTAGTGAATTGAATAACAGTATTTTCATCATTACAAATGTGTTCATTTACCTTTGCTTTGGTTAGTTCTGTAATCCTAGCTAGATAGCTAAGAAGTTCTTCTCTCTTCTGATCTGGTTCCTCCCACACTGGATCCAATGCCTTAGCTTGCTGGAAACCATCTAAGGATAACTCATACTCTTCTTGAAACTTGAAGATCTGTTCACAGAGTATGGAAATCGGTAAAGATATCACAGCTGACCGTCTATCACAAAATGTATCCATAACTTATGAAAAAGCCAGGAAGTTTTTCTGTTGTCTAAATATGCCTTATAACTTTATGTAAACTGGAGTTCTATGCAAGGAAACTATAATGTGGGGAAAATGTGTAACTTTTTTTCTTAATAGTTCATTATATATTTAATAAATCATGACAGCGTGTTGATAACTGATCACAGTGGAAAGTAGTACCGGTAAGAGAAATAAGCAGATTCATGCCAATATAAACAAACATCTTTCTTTGATTAGTTGCGAATTATTTTTGTGTTCTTTAAACAGATATCCATGGCTTGAAGTAAGTTTCTATCTGGGTATCAATGACTAGTACCTAGGGTTTACCATATATAATGTAGTTAGGCAGGCAATCTAAAAGTGTTGCCTTTGGCCAAAAAAAAAAATCAATCACATCTATAGAATAACTATGAAGAATAAGTGTTTCACTTACAGTTGCTTTGTTGAAGTGAAGATCTGGGTTAGATTTTGCTATTACATCACGTTCCTATGAGAAAATATCAAAAAAGAACTTCTATACATTCTTGTAATAAAAAGTAAATAAAAAAACTTACTTCCCCTTACGATTCCCAAGTTTTTGATTACCAGATATTACACATGAAATATACATGCATTTAGTTTCCCTTAGATTATTTCATAACAAGAAAGAGAAAAGTCACAAAACTAGGAAAAGTATTCTATGACAGAAATTCAAATATATACAATGTTAACTCAAAAAGGCTGTGGATCAAATTGAAAGAATATCATTGAATTTTTCACTAGACATAATTTACAGAGTGAGTCAAAAAAAAGTTTACACCTAGACAATTGCTAATCATTTTAAAAATCATCTATGAACAGTAAATTATTATACATCTTATGAAAGAGTGTTTTATCCCAAATCATTTGGTACCATTTTTGTGTGGTATGTGTTCACGCTTGGATGAACACGAGGCATTGTTTGCGAGAGTGCAAAAATCAACTTGCGCCAAAGTTGCTTATGTGATGTTCGAATAAAACAATTTGGATTTGGGTATTAATTCGGTCTTTGCAGATCCAAATAACATCCCTAACAAAATTAATCATGCCACACATATCAAATATCGAATATCAAATATCAACGAACATTTGTGCGCGTGTGTGTGGGTGGTGTGACTTTGCCCTTTGCAAAAAGCATATGCAATGCATTTCATTTGATACATTTAATTCATTCTCTCACTCCACTAATCCCAACATAATACATACTGTACGCATCACTTTGGCGCAAGTCGATTTCTGCGCTCTCGCAAACAATGCCTCGTGTTCATCCAAGCGTGAACACATACAACACAAAAATGATACCAAATGATTTGGGATAAAACACTCTTTCATAAGATGTATAATAATTTACTGTTCATAGATGAATTTTAAAATAATTATCAATTTTCTAGGTGTAAACTTTTTTTTGACTCACACGGTATAAACAAATCAATATTAATCATCATAAATGACGTGTATGCAGTTTACGGGGAGATGTGTGTTTCTCCAGTGGGTTACTACAAAGTAAAAGTACAACAATGCAATGTAAAGTAATTATGAAGGTGATATCAGTTGAAGAGTCACTTACAGCCTGTGCATATGCTCCATGACATTGCTTTAACATTCCTGGCTTCTGACCAGTCATAAAGAACATAGAGAGATAAGCATTGCCAGCTATAACTGTGGATATAAACAATAGAACATAGAGAGATAAGCATTGCCAGCTATAACTGTGGATATGAATAATAGAACATAGAGAGATAAGCATTGCCAGCTATAACTGTGGACATGAACAATTAATAAAACATAGAGAGAAAACTATTCCCAGCTACAGGTGTACCTAAAGACATAGACAGTATGTCATTATATGCATTGTCTGAACATTTATCAAAGAAGTGCAGAAGCCTCTTCCATTATTTTATCAGTACACAGTTTTTTTATGTAATGTCAAAATACTAGATTCATCAATTTGAATATAACCTTTTTTTAACCTTCTATAACAATGTCACTTAACTAAATTCACATATTTCCAACTAAACAGTTGCCAAGCACTTTCCTAAATGACAAATTAATCTTTCCATCCCATCCAATACATTCATACATAAATAGAGCACATTAAGAACTATTTTTACAGGGAGATGTGAGTTAGTCTAGCAGTGCAGTCAGCTCTGTCTTTGCCTACAATAACAATACCCACTCTGATGGACCCTGGTTTGAAACATTTGTGTCTGTTGGATGATGTTGAAGGTCTGTTGAAAGCTGATTGATACACTTCTGTAAATCACCCACACATTCTCAAACGTTAATATCAGGTTTGATCAGGTAAACCCTTGTTGACTCATGATGGGGTACACCACCTCCACAACACATCTGCACACAAAACAATATGACATAAGCCTAGTACACTTCACAATTCTATATCTCATAACACAGCTATAAGTGAGTACATAGGTACACAGAAATAAAAGTCATAGATGCTTTCGTTGAACACTCACATTTCTTTCATACCTACAGCATGTCATCCATTTACACCTTATATGGTTTCATAATGTCGCTTTTTTCTTTCTTTTGAGGCACTTAACCACATCATGTTCAGGGGCCCCATTTCATAAAACTTTTTATCTATAACAAATGCTAAATTTCTATGACAAAATTTGCTCTCAGCCAATCAGATGTCAAGATTTCAGTAGCTTCTAACAGTAGCCTGTAACTTGTTAGTGATATCAAGTTTCATGAAACAGGGTCCTGGATAGCTCTTCCTTTACAAACTAATTCTACTTACACCATGAAATTCCATCGTTCATATCAAGAGATACAGCCTTCTTAGCATGCTCTACACTATCTTGAAGATTCTTAGCTTTCTCCATCTGGTCAGTCCCTAGCTGTCTCAACACCATCGACAGGTTTCTTAGAGATACCTTGTTGTTTTGCTGTAGAGAAATAAAAACACTTTACATATCATCATGGTTTGATGCAGGCCTATTCTTCTGAATACAACTTTAATACACTATGACTGCATGCCTTACAGATAGAGTTCTTCCTTTGAAGAAAACAATCAACAGTGATATACATTTATATATATTTTCGGGACACACATATACAGTATTTGATGTTTCTAATGTCATTTTAAATAATGATAAAATGTTGAACCAAGAATGATAGCTATCGATAGTACATCTAAAAGCCAAAGTAAGTAATGAATAACATCCCAGAAATGTAACATCTACCTCTTCACACCAAAATAGGGCACATGTTAAAGAATATACTCTATTGCTGCCTACATTTAACAACAACAAATTTAGTAAGAAAGAAGAAGAGCGCAACAAAATATCATAACCCGAGGGCAATATGACCCTCCCCCCCTTAAAAAAAAAGTTGTATGAATTACGTGATATTCCTTACATAGTTCAGAGCTCCTTCGAAGCAATTCTTAGCAGCATTGACATCATTTTTCTTCCAATATGTTTCCCCAAGGTTGTTCCATGCTTCCACCATTTGGGGGTCTAGTTTGACCGCCCTAGAAAGAGCATCTAGTGCCTCTGGACTGAAGCTAGGTAGGATGTTCCAGGCTCGGCCTTTCTGGAGTAGCATCTGTGCCTTGCTGCTTGCATCAATGTTGTCTGTGTGTCAGTCATATAGACAATGGTTCATTTCAAATATGCAAAGTCAAACTAATGGTTCACCATGAACTTACATTTAATAGATGCAAAACAATCTCAAAATAACTGAATTAGAAGAATTTCCCAAAAAATTCAAATAATTTCTTAATTTGTCTGTTTATTCTTCTTCAGATTTTAATATTCAATCAACTAAATGATGAGTCCTAAGCAAAATGAAACTCAAGGTGACCCAAACTCTACTCAAAACTTTAAAGAGAGCTCAAGATAACATAGAAAATGTTGCATAAATTGCGTTTAAAAAAAAAATTCTGCAAGATTTTAAACAGAAAAAATGAAAGCCATTTTGTTTATCATCAACTAGCCATGTGAAAGTAAAGAGCCAGTATCTTTCTTCGCGCATTTTATGAAAAAACTGTAAAACTATAACTAGTGACGCTATTACAATATGTGGCTTATTTTTTAAATAATCTCAGTTTCATTTATAGTTGATGTTAAAATTGAAATCAGACATCTAGGGTCATGCTCAAACTTCTCCATCATCAGCTGACATTTTATAGCTGGTCAAATAGCAATGAATGCAGTTATTTCATGCAAATTAACTTAACAGCTAATATATAAAGAAGACTTTTGTGTTTTTACCTTCTATTCCATCAAACAATGTGAGAGTTTTCTGCAGCTCTTGTTTGACCTCTTCTGCCTTGTGGACTGCACGATCAATTGCATTTTTCTCAAAAAAGTGATCTCTGAAGTCGTACAAAGCATCCACTGCCTCCTGCAAATTAGAAGCATAATGAATGATTGAAAATGTAATGAATAATATAATAATAATAATAATATACAGAGACTACGTCGTACAGGTTAGTTAGGGGATGCATGTATTGCCCTTAGGCCTTTCCCAAAATCATTTGCCATCCTCACAATGCTTGTAATCTTGAGTTCATCTTCGTAATAGGCTACCGGTACATGGAGATTAACAGAAAAAAGCAGAAGAAGTTACACAATGCAGTTTGTGTGTGATTGCTAATATTATTGTACAGCAATTAGATATCATGTTTTAATGTATAACATCGACTTTCGATGTTATTTTTATAATACCGGTAGACCCTGAAAGATGCATTTTTTCTTTCCAATCATCATTATCGCAAAATCAAACTGTTATGTCTAGACTAGAGACTAGATACAGAAAAACCAAGAGCAAATCCACTCCAGCAAAGCATAGAGAGTCAATGCTAAAGCGTATTGACCTCTAGCGCTGTACTACGTGCAAATAGGCAGCAATTGCACACATAAAAAATCAATAAACTTATTAGGCCTACTTAGATCTAGTCTAGATCTAACTCCGGGAAGCTCCAACACCGGCGCGCAGCGCGCCGCTGTTGGAGCTTCCCGGAGTTAGTCTAGATCTAGGCCTACACACAAATGCACATGATGAATACGATGTGGCTGATCGGCAAGTTGTGTGAAGTTATATCTACCGTAATGTCTCAGATCAGATAATGTCTCGAACAACCATCAACCGTGCACAATTACAACAAATGAACAAGACAAATAGAGTCTAGACTAGACTCTATATAAAAAAAAAATCTTTTATCACAGCAAAAAAACGAACGTGTGGGGCTACACAAAAAATAATGTCCATTCACCAAGTTTCAAACAAGAACAAACCAGGTTTATTAATTCCGTAACTCTACATCTGATACATAAAAATCATACACAACCTTCACATTAAAACAAAATGTTTTGTAATTTAATAATAATTACACTAACCTTGATTTTCGTAATGTCAACCGCATTTGAAACTTCCGACGCCGCCGCCATGGTGATAGTCTATATATATATCTCGATTCAGACTCATGTAAATAACTTACAATCAGCTGATTGCAAGTTCAAACTAGTCTCGGCAAAACTACCGTGTTTACTTTTTACAGGAATACATACTGTAGATATGTGATATATACATTTCTCCATGTAACATTTGATACACTTAACTTCAAGGAAAGAGAAAATGTTTGCTTCTGATGCCTAGCTGTCATAAGTTGTTGCTATATGCTCATTTGTTTTGTTTAATATGATTTTGTTTTGAATTCCAAAATCTTGACAGGAATTGTTACAACTATTCTCTTAATAATATGCATTAGAACATGTAACATTCTACAGACTTTGTTACATATACAGGTAATGACAAATTGTGAAGATTGCCACCGTACCCCACTATACTTTTTCCATTGTTGTCGTTGTTAGTGGACATTTTACTGAAATTGAGAAAGAAAAGTAATTGCATAACGGAGCTAGCCTATAATTAGCCTATGTACAAAAGATTACTATGGACTCAAAAGGTCTTTACAGCTGTTGGAGAAAGAAAAAAATTACCCTACCATAATAGTCATACAATTTTTAAACGAGAAAAGGAGAGAAGCTGGTGAGATAGAGAGAGAGAGAGAGAGAGAGAGAGAGAGGGGGGGGGGGGAGGAGTTTTGCAGAAATAAAAAATATACCCAGTATAATAATAAGTAAATTTGTTTGCTTATATCTTTATTACATAATGTCATAAAATCAAAATATATAAGTACATTTTGCAAATATACGGCTTTGCTAATTATTCATCAAAATATTACGTTTTTTACAATGTGATGATATCATTTCAATGCATTCATAATGCAATGACATACATTTTTTTGTTGAAGATTCTGATGACTTAGACATACAATTTATATCAGATCAAAAGATAAATTATTGATTATATATGTACAAATTAATCTGATGATTTTCAGTTGCATGGTTACCTGAATTACATTCAGTATCAGCTTTGCATTAAGTCTGTATATGTATCCTGATTGGTAGCCTCATTCAGACATGATGCATTTAACTGCACACCAAAAAAAGAAAGAAAAAAAAAAGACATGCTGCAGCAAAATAGAAGCGTTTTATATGCATATGATTGGTATGATGAGTGTTTCGATGCCGTTAACTGCATCGTGTGTGAACCAGGTTTTAGAGCTCATAAGCTTAACAAGTAATATATCAAATCTTAGACCGACTAATTCTTAACATATTAATAACTGCCGTGAGATGTGCAATATCATATTTTCATCCACGAAACAATTTACAGTTACTATCGAAATGGAAAACCAAATGACATAAAACAATCTAGAAAACTTGGTTGCCTGATGGATTTGACACATTACAGGATTACTCAATGAATTCTGCTTTGTAAATGTATTCATATGTTCTGAATACCTATGAGAATCAGTAATAACTGCATTTTGTTTACTACCATGTATCATAGCTTTATAACTAGCAGTCGTATGCATATTTAAAGGCTTGACTGATGCAACACAAATTTTAGAACTTTTCATCAGCCATGATAATATGGATGTGATGGTTATTGTACCTGACTGCTAAGAAAACATAAATGCTTGTAAGTAAGCAACCAGACGACCGATGACTTTAGGTCCTCTCCGAGGGACCTGGTAATGAGGATTAATGCCTTACCAAAGGGCACTAGTGCATCGCCTTGGTTTCGGACCCGGGTCACCAGATTACGAGACTGCTCTACTGACTGAGCTATTGATCGCGCAACCTTGACTATGTCATAATAAAAATACAAGAGTGATATTTTATCTTATAAGACGTACGTCAATAAAACAATTGCAAATAACAACAATTAAAAGCCACACTAATGAGCTTTGCTCAAATGATAAAATATATATTATAATCAAGGTTGATGCAAATATCATAAGTTTATGATAACATAAAGACCAAGTCAGATGCATTATCACCAATGTATATTTCTTATTGCTATATACACACATGTATAGTAAAATGTTTAAATCTAAAAGAGGTATCACATAATTTCAATCCCCCTAGTCTAATCTCGGAAAGTAAGTACAAAATTGATTAAATCTACAAGATTTACTTCTTTGTCAGGTCATCCTAATGTAACTGAATCAATGTCATAATCTTCCTAAACCATCAAATTCATGCATGTCAAAGATAATGTACAATATGCTGGGAGCTCATCCTCAAAATAATTTGTAGATCTTTGTAGTTCTGTCTATGGATTAGAAGGGGCATAAATTTTCAGTAAATCATATAGGTAGGCCTATAATCACAGATTTGGGAAAATTCACACTGGTAAACTGGTGTACATCTATGTTCACTTCATACTTTGGGTAGGTGTAGGGTGGAAGGCCGGCATGGTGATTTCAAACATCTCTACAACCACAAAGGCTGCCTCTCCAAATTTCAAGGTCACTATAGCCATGCTCTTTTGCTATCATATAAGTTTTCTGACTTATGTGTTTAAACTCTGACTGACCAAAATAGTCTGCCCCTAAAAATTACAATATTTCAGACCAATTAATCAACTCATTTTGCAAGGCTTAGTCTATCTCTTGTGACTCTGATTAATTTGGAGTTAGAACTGGTACCCTTTTTACGTAAGGGTTTGGCAAATCTCTCACTGTGCCATACTGTTCATATTTCAGGAGTAATTAAGCTTCTGTACATTACCTATACATTAATAAGGCTGTATCTAGTTATATAAGTACACTTCTGCAATTAATGTTTTAATAAACTTTAATATGGTTTTATCCAGTATTACATGCAAATTCGTTAATCATCATCAAAGGTATATTACAAAAGTCCTCTTTCAACTACAAAACTTGTAGGCATACCATCAGTGCAGAGAGTGATATACATACAAATTTTCAATAAAATGAAACTCATGCTTCATGATTTAGTATCCAGCTTTTGGTTCTCTTAACTGACGATATCAACATAGAACAGAGTTCTTCCAAATAGAAAGTATTTATTATTTAATAATTCAATATGAATTTAGGAACATCACAGTCTGTATTTACATTGATAATGTATTACGGTAAGAAGAGATGATACAATCTTTACAAAATAATAAGAAAGGTCACATCTTATAATTAAGGCATTTTCATGTAATGGCTTCTTTCTGGTGGTTTATATCAAACTTGAATACAATTATCAACCTTTCCTTTAGTACTGTACATGGGTGGAATCCCCTTATAGGAGGATCACAAATAATTTTAATGGCTAGTACATTGTAAAATACATAACACACATCATACATGATTGTGGCTTATCTATTCTTTAGTTCGTATGCTTCTGCTATGTTAAACATGATGCCAACAATAGCTACATTTGACATGAACTTTAAGACCTCGCTGCATGTTCCTTGATTATTCAAGCATAACTTGCACAACAAACAACTTTCTATCAATGAACACTTTTCGCAGCCTCATAGCAGTTGGCTTTCCATAACGCATTAGCTAGAACCGCCTTGGTGGCTTGTCGACCTTTCTGCTGTAACCACTCCAGTAAAACTTTGTAAGCAGTCTCACTGCTTCTCTCATATCTGTTCTCATACATTATATTCTCAACTTGCACAGGATTCAATCCTAGATGACGTCCAAGAGATTTCACATCATTTCCTGGGATGAGTTGCTCAATATCTAGTAGTGTTTGTTGACTAACTTTCTCTCTGGATTCTGTAATACAAAAAGATGCAATAGAACTTTTCAAAACTACATGTTATGATGTAAGATTTGTTTTTATCATATAGGAAAATATAATAAGCTACTCCAAATGAAAGTTTTCAAAGAATATCCCTTTCTGAACATTTCACATAAAAACTGTAAGTTTATGAGATACGTGTATATTTAGATAATTAGATCCATACAACCAGGCACGCCGGAAGCAGTTTTTTTTTTTTTTTTTTTTTTTGGGGGGGGGGGGGGGGGGTTTAATTTAATTACGGTCAGATACCTTGTTTGTGACATTGGCAGGTCACTAATTGGCGTGGGGTCCATAGGGCAGAGCCCCCGGAAGCTCATGGTTTTTAGGCATTTAATGTGCTGAAGAAGATGAGCATATTTTGATACCTGATTTGTGACACTGGTATGTCACTCACAGCCCTGTGACCTTTGACCTTTGACCTCGTGACCCCAAAATATAATCAATTCATCAACTCTGCAAGATACATACATGACCAAAGTTTGGCAGGAATCCATCTATCGGTTCTTGAGATAACGCGATCACGAGCTGTTTTTGCATACATAATGAGCTCTATGACCTTTGACCTCATGACCCCCAAAATCTAATCAATTCATTGGCTCCGCAAGATACAAACATGAACAAAGTTCGGCAGGAATCATGCATTAATCGGTTCTTCAGAATCAGATAACGCGATCACGAGAACGGGACGGACGGACAACCCGAAAACATAATGCCTCTGGCTACTTCTTAACGAGGCATAAAAATGATATTTTCTAAATAATAAACATTTAATTGTTATTCACAGTTACCGCAAAGCTTCGTCTCCCCTTGCTTCTTCTTTTGAGGCTGGCGACCGGAAGAATGACCCCCTGCTCCTTCTCCTGCCCCTCTAGAACCACGATAGTGATTGTAGTAGTTGTACTGGTCTCCAATTACCATATTCTTTGGTGCCGAATTCATAGTAATTCTAACTTTTCCTGCAAAAAAAAAAAAAAAAAATCAAAGTATGTGATCATTACACTTAATTATTTGCCATATTGTACAAGTGATACCTTAGAGAGAGACTAGGCATATGAGGTGGGGGAGAATTAGGGAGGGGGAGAAGGAGAAGGGGGAGGGGAGGAGGGGAGGGGGGAGGAGGGGGCTGCAGCCCATCTCCCAAATATTTAAAAAATACCAATATCAAGGAATATCTTCAGAAAATTTCATATTATGTTGTTTCCATTTAATGAATCTGCCCACATGTACTTAGAACTTCACAGCTACGAAAAGACTTTGATTAAGAGTTACCTGTATTAATCTGTGTAGCTCCACTGCAGTTGGTCTGAGTGAAAGAAGCTCCTGATCTGATCTCGTTTGGTGGCTTTTGTCTGGATTCACTGCTTTCACTGTCTGACTTGCTCTCATTAGCTGTTCAAATCATGAGAAAACAAAAACACTTCAAAGGTAGTATGCAACATTTTTAAGTGAATATGAATGTAATTTGATTGCACATAAAAATGTTTCAACAAGCCTTCAAGGGAAGTATCAAGTAAATCCGCTTAAGGAAAATAAATGGCTATTGCGATGTAAGCAAGATAATTGAAATGCGCTTCAAAAATCAGGCCTCATACCAGTCCACACTGATCAGGGAGAACAGGTGATGTAATTGTTATTTATACCCAACAAGATTGCCATAGCACTGTAAGATGGATCAAATTATGTCTGAACAAGAATTAAATAGTTGTACCCTCACACGATGCCAGTGAACCTGCGTATCTTTCAACATTAAACAAAATCTTGGTAATACATTTCTAAGTGTAACTTAAATTAGTAGACTGGTAGGCAATAATATCTGAGGAGCAATTCATGCAGATAGCATTTTGAAAATGAACTGGTCATCCAACATAAAATAAACAATATACAAATGTAGTAACACTTAATAGCATTGAAACAGAAATGATTATCTACAGGTCTCCTTCCTTGAGTATGAATGGGAACAGCAGGACAACATACCCTTTTCCTTCTTTTGAAAGTGTGCCGTGCCTTTGTTGAACTGCTCCTCCCATGACTCTACTTTAAGATCTGGTTCGCCAGGAAGGCATACTTCCTTCAGATGAACATCAACAAAGAAACCATACAAGCTTTGCCGCAGACGACCCTTCTCTGATAATTCATGAAGCTTATCAAGATCTCTCTTGTTGCAAACACGAAAGTAGAGAGTAAAGTCATCGTCGTCAACTGTAGCAGGGAGCTGGAGTGACTTCAGTGTGATATCACTAAATGAGAACATTGTAGAAAGGGAGCTGTTGCTGTCCCAATAGTCACGATGCTTGCACCTTTCCAGACAGATGAAGATTTGGTCCAGTTTCGATGCCATCGAAGCCCGAGGTTGTATGTTGAGTCTCACCTTCACCTTAATTTCTTTATAAATGTGTGTAAAAAGAAAAGATCCTTTCGTAACGATAGATCAGCTGATCTGTATCAAATACTTTCTGTACCACCAAAATTTATTTTTAACAAATATCAGAAATTAAGTTTCAAGTGTCCAATTTTGACTTATTATTTTATCTGAGCATAAGATATATCCCATAGGAACAAACTTAAAAATAAGATGACCCGATTCCATTCATGAAGAAAAATGTATGTTGTTATAGTCCAAACAAATTATTGAACATAAAGATTCTTGGGCGGATTTACTGCCCATGGCACATAAAGGATGACGTACTAACTCTTTACATGCCACACAAATAATTTCCATGCGCCACATAGTATTTATCATTAAATCTATACTATTTATAGGTTGTCATGGAGCTAACCATGACCAGAGATATAATATTGCAAAGTCATTGTGTTTCACAAATCACTCTTTCTGTCAATTAGTTATATGCAAAATTGCAAGTGTGGTAATCGAACAACCGTGCGCAGAGGCGAAGAATAAACCCAAAGTATTAAGCTATTGAATAGATTTTTATTATTAAGTTACTAACTATATTTGAACACTTCATATTCCAGTAAGAGTCTCCAATGCCAGAGAAAAACTATTATTATAATACAATAAATTGATGCAGTCAAAACTGTTATTGTTTCTTGAAATTGTGTCTGCTTGAAATCATTGTTTGGCTGAAAATTTATTGATCATACTAAAACTTTAGTGATTGCTCTATTGTGAACAAATTTAAACAGAATAGATTTATTCCTTGACTTCATAATAATCATGTTTACCAATAGTTGGCCATGCTCAGTCTATCCACGTTTAGAACACACCTTCCGTGAGTTTCAAAACAGTTATTTTTTAAATCATCTAAATTTAAAAACTGCTAATAAAGATGATATAAATGCAACCAACTTTTTTACTAGACAGCTTTTAAAAGCGTGATTTTTATGAAGGGAGCTGCTGTCTTACCAAAATCTTCATCACTAGGTTGCGATGAATCAAAGATGACAGTTGGGTCTCTCTCAATAGATCTAGGCTGAGATGGGGCCTCAACAGGACTCTCTGTAGAGCTAGGCTGGGCTGGGACCACTCCAGGACTCTCAGTAGAGATAGGCCGAGATGCGGCCACCACAAGACTCTCTGTAGAGATACAGTTTTTAACAAATACCTTAAATGAAATTAAATCTTGACTGACAATGGGCGAACTAAAAAACAAAATCTCTAACAATGCAATTTCACTTTTTATTGGCAACCAATGTAATAATATTTAGTTTAATGTCTAACCCAACTAGATTCAGTGAGTTTTAGGAGGAAATGGTGGAATTTGATATTTTTGACAAATTTTCTAATTTCACACAATATTTACTTCATTCCTCTTTTATTAATAACATCATCAACTTTGTCATGTACTACATATTTTATGGCCCAAAAATGATGATTTCTACACATGATAGGTACAGCTTACAAAATACTGAACTTGAAAGGAGTGTAATTGATATTCTATGGTAAATTCATGTATATTTGCTAACATTGAGAGGTTTAGATGAAATTGCTACCTTGATGGATAGGTCCTCCTGCCATGTGTCCCACAGCATATTCAGTGTTCCCATGTGAGCTTTCAACTGGAACTGGTTTGTTGTCTTCCCTGTAGGACTGTAAAGGTTGGCTTACACTTGGGCCAGGTGAATTTTCGGTAGAAGCACTAACAAAACCTGTGAACTCCATCAACTGTTCTGCTTCCACTGTTGGCTGGAAGTTATTATCATGGCATCCATATTGTGACCCAGATGTCTGACTTTTCAATTGTCCATAGCTTGAAGGCTTAGAAGACTCTTGAGATGATGGTTGACTATGCTGTATCTCAGGCTGAGCAACAACATTATCTTGACCAAGGTGAGGGGGATGACTTTCTTGACCTTCCATCTGATGTAGTGTCACTGTTTCAGTGATAGGTTTTGCTCTATTGCCATTTCTCTGGTCAACAAGGGTTGGATCATTCAGGGTTAAGCCTTCCATTCTCACAGATTCATTGTCTATCGCAGTTTGAGTATCATGTACTGCTGCATTAGTGTTACTGTGATGTCTGGATGGGGCTTGATCCTGTTCAGTGACGTTTTCCATTCCTCTTCTCTTAGATTCTTTGTCTGCACTTCCTTCTTTCTTGGAAGACCTTTGCTGTATAATTGAAATGTTGAGATAAAATAAAAACCATCTAATAAAATAATAACACTGTAGCTACATTTCCAAAATGTAAAAAAAACAAAACAAATTTTTCAACAGGTCTACTACAGTGTACATTAAAGGTAAAGACCAGTTATGGTCATGCGATTGCATTGTGAAAGAACCGTTGTGGAATCGATCAGAAAAGGTTGATTATCTAGCATTTAGCATCTGCAAGGTTCTGGAATCATCAAAATGATAAGAAATTTGGCCCATTCTTCGTAAAGTTACAAGCACTATACACAGAAAGATGTATATGGGACTACCCTATACCTCTCACAGACCATGAGAGAAACAAATTTACCAAATATATGAATTAGTAGGCGGTTTCCCGGCAATTTTTGTATCATCATGTATTAGTCAAAACATATTATTTCACATGATTGGTAATGAGAGCTTCCATTTCATTTTTTGAAATTGGGGCGTTTCCAATACTGGTCTTTACCTTTAAAACAAAACATATATTGTTGATGTTCAGTGGAAATGATATGCAGTCTGCAGATATCCTTTGTCTCAATGTATTTTGTTTATCACACATATTTACATGTATTCAGTATTAACTGTAAAACATTAACATTAGATAAGAATTACTTGATATTTGTAGATTGACCTACAATAAATAGTAAATTAACTTTGATTCACATACAGTACAATAAAAGCAAAATATTGACAAAACAACAAACAGACTAACCTCTCCTAAATAATATCCAAGTGATTCATGAGTTGGATCAGTATCAAGATTCGCTACCAAATCTGTAATTTCTGATTTAAAAAAACAAGAACAAGAACAAACTTGTAAAGGGTTAGAAATAGAGCACATCAATTTTAGGTAGACCCAAGGCCAAAAAAAAAATCATTTGGTTGTCCTCGACCGCTCGCTCGTCATTTTCGGGCCGCTCGTATTTTATTTATTTATTTTTTTTTTTTTTTAATTCAATTTTTTTTCTTCATTTTTGTTATTTTTGTTATTATTATTATTATTATTATTTTTTTTTTTTTTTTTTTTGGGGGGGAGCAATCTTAAATGCCAAACATACCATTTTATGCATTTGCAAGGATCAAAATGCGTCCCGTTGCCAGTTTGGTCTTTTCAGTACGCAATTAGGTATTTATTAAACTTGCCATTTTTATTTGTCTATGTCAAAATGCCGTTCATTCAAATCAGGTTCTGAGCATTCTTAAACTCATTTTAAAGCCCATCTGTACTAGTTTACAGGAGGGATTAGACCACCCTGCAAGGTCACTGAACAGGTGGTTATCTCATCAAATCAGCTCTCAGTTAATATAAGATAAAGAGGATAATGGCAGACCAATGGTCACCGATTAGGCATTGTTTGCTACATAGAGGGCGCAAGTAGCTATAAGTAGTACAATGGAGATTGAAAAGGTGCTGTATTTCAAAGCCCAAAATACTTTCTGTGTTGGTCTTGATATTCATTGTACATTAAACTAGTCTTTTACTATATTAAAGTGTTTTATAGACTTTTTTTTTTTTGGAAAAAAAAATTATTTATAAAAAAACAAACAAAAATCAACAAAAATTTAAAAAAAAAAAAAAAAAAAAAAAGTCAGCCCGCCCCTACCCCTACTCCAGAATAGCAATCGAGGACAACCAAACAATTTTTTTTTTTTTGCCTAATCATGACCTTATCATGAGTCATTTTCACTAGTCATACCCTTTAATTTAAGAGCAAATGGGCAATTCAAGCTAAACTGTAATGAAAGTATTTTGTATGATCAGGACAACTAGGCTACTGCCCTTTTAGACTTCCCTGGATATTTAAAATATGGAATTGGAAATCTACTTCCTAGGGATGATACACCTCAGAACACGTACAACATGGAATATGCCCTAGAACAATTAGCCTCAAGAGAAATTACCCCCAAACAACCATCTTTAATGAATTAACCTAATCACCCTCAGGCAACTATCTATAGGTTGAAATTTTATCAGGAAGTCCTTATTTGAGATTTCAAAGGTAATTTCAACTTTTCCACAATCTATCAATATTCCTCCCTCTAAAAAGAAACAACAGAATGCCTTACTGCTTTAAAATAACCACTTATTTTTCTTTCTGTTCATGGAATTTCCTCTTAAGATTGCTAAATACTAATACATTTCATTAGACAATAAAAATGACAGATTATTGTATCCTACTGCAGTCATAGCAATGTCTTATTCAAAAGAAAAAAGGAAGAACTTGGTAGTATTAATTACACAATTCTACTTTTAAGGTCAAGACTGTGGTTTAAAGGCAGGGTATTTTACTGACATCGTTACCACTTCTGTAATGTATTTTCAATTGCACCATGTTTAGATGACAACATACATAGAGCGATTTTCGGTTCCTGTACCAAGGCTGCATCATGTGCGTGTCATGCAGTTGGTGATGCATTGTGGGACATGGCTGTTGAGAGTTGATATATCGGGACATTGTGAGCAGCAGATGGCATTAAACATAAATCTGAAGTAATATCAGTAGAATACCCTGCAATCAAGTATGAACAAACCTCTGAAATTTGGACGATCATTTGGTTCATAGCTCCATGACTCTTCCATAACTCTTATCAGATCTTCAGGAGTGTTTGCTGGAACAGGTTGCAGACAGGGAGATTGTTTTGAATCTACTTTCAATAGCATCATCATGAAAAATCCTCTGTCTGATATACAAAAAAAAAATCATAATTATGAGCATTAGCAAATTGAAGCTATAGCCTCTTTGTAACATCATTTTGTATTCATAAGCTGATTTCTGATCTAATGAAAAACAAATTTACACAAATTTGAAAGTGTGAGATATATGGCTCAGTGGGAGAGCAGTTATCTTATTATTGGGAGAACCCAGGTTCTAAGCCATGTAGATTCACTTGACTAGTGCTCTTTGGTACAGCATTAATCCTCATTACCATGTCCCTCAGAGAGGATTTAAAGCCGTCAGTCACCGGGTTGCTTACTTACAAACATACTTTTTTAGCAGTCAGGTAAAAAAAAATATTAAAAAAATAAGTACCTAATGCCATAAAAACAGGAAGCAAAAACTCACCAGAGTATGGGTGAATACCTGTCAGAAGTTCATAGAGAGTCATCGCAAAGCTGTGGGATAATTCATCACAAACAAAAACATGGAAATTTGTTTATTGTCCGGTATAAAATAAAATTGTACATCAAAATTGTGAGATTGTAAACCTCACACATACTGCAATACATTTATTGCACTCAAGTTTATACAAAATCAACTACTGTAAGAGCAGATATTAAACAGAAAGGTAGTAATATCTGGACTTTAATCATTGGTTGAGTGAAATACACTGTTCTTCATTTTTACTTTATGCAAGTTTCTGTAACTATTGAGCATGTAAAAAATTCATTATTCATGAAAATACACAATAAAGCATTTAATTTCATTTAATTTTGGGGGCTTTTTTGGCTTTTTGTTAAGTAGATCAGATCGCGTCTTATTTCAGTGTTTGAAAATAATTTCATTTTATTACGTGGCACAGTTGAAGTGCTTGTGAACTAAGTTAGACCTAGTAACAATGTTGTTTTTAAAACTAAAAATTACAGTTTTTTTATCCAATTTTTGTTGTTGTTGTCTTCAAAATAAATTAAGACATGTACATCATTGAAAATAGTCATGGAAATTTACATTATCCTGCTCTGTAAAGTCATGGAACGTCAGGGATTTTTTAAAATGTGTAAGGTCCAGAACCCTGTTTAATCTTTTCATTTTCTTACCTGCGAATGGGACATACATCTAGTACCTTTAAAGAGAAGGTTGAGTTCTTAAAAGAGGTGAAAAATTATTCTTGAGCATTATCATTGTATTATGCAAGTGTGGAAAAACATCCAAGAAAAAATGTTCCCTGTAAGCATAGCTTTTTAACAAGGCCTTGTGACTCTGGCTATTTTCCACCCCAATCAGCGCAGGGCTGTCAACCCTCCCACATTTAGAGGGAGTCTCACGCCACCAAGCTCATTCTCCCGCAGCCCCAAAAGCTCGTAGCGGGAGACTCCCGCCACCATGCCTTCCTCCTCCTTGAACAAATACTTTTGAAATTATGCTAAAAATTCAAAATATCGATGTTGATGCCACAACAAAGTTTAAATATGCAGACCCGAAATGACACTTGACCTTGACTTTGTCACCTAAATGACTAATCACATAATTGGTAATACTTGACAACCCTTATGTTCAAGTTTCATGGAATAGGAATGTATACTTTTGAAATAATATTAAAATTTCAAAAACTTAACCTGAGGTTAAGTTTTTGATGATGATGCTACAACATAGTCTAAGTTTAGTTACCTAAAATGACCTTTGACCTTGACTTTGTGACCTGAAATTATCCTCACATGATTGGGAATACTTGATAACTCTTTAGTTCAAGTTTCATTGAATAAGAACTAATACTTTTACAATTATTTTGATGTTGACGCCGCCGCCGCTTTTTGCTATGCAGGCGACACAAAACATTTAAAAAAAAAAAAAAACATGATTTAAAAAAAAAAAAATTATAAGCACAACCCTGCATGAAATAACCTTCAGTTTATAACCTGGATTACTATCCCCCTTTGAATACTTGAATGTGTAGGACAATATACCCAACATTCCTTCAAGAATTATAATATACATTGATTGGGCATACCAGTATCACCACTGCTTAATTCTTTGCTCATGTAATGGACTTCTGAGGATTGTTTATATGAATTATATTTTCTCACCTGTAGACATCATACTCTGGAGTAACAACCTTAGTTGAGTTGGGTAAGTCTGTCCTAAAAGCTTCTGGAGGCTTGTGACTGTTCGTGCCACAACGCTCATCACCAAATGAAGTTTGGAGATTGGTTGCAAGGCCAAGATCTGCAACCTGTACATGCCATCAACAGAGAGAGAGAAAACATCATTTCTAGACCGATTTGTCGAGAACGGTGAAGGTAATAAATGTCCTGTTTGGCAGGAAAGTTCAGCTTTGTTTAATTTCTTCAAGGAGAATTCTTGGTTATCTTACATGCTTTCCCATCTTCTTATAATAAGTTCGATCAACTGCAAGCTCCATCATGATGTGTGATATGAAACTAGCCTAACTTTCAAAAAGATATTGTACTTTTGCAATTACAAATCAATATTTAAAAAAAAAGATTAATTGAATATTCTTTTTTGTAGCTTCATAGTGACAAATCTAGGTACAAGGGCGAGGCAAGAGCACCATCAAACATGATAGAGTTAATTGATGACGTATGATAAGGTCTGATCTGGGTGACTGCAATTAGTTGAATGATTTTTAAAAAATTTAAAAATTTAAAAAATGAAGCCAATATCATGCCACAAATATGTGAATGTTACAAATGTTTATAATAAGAGTATCCCCTCCCTTTGAGGTCATTTTATATCTTCAGTATTGCATAACTTATGATAGGAAAATGTGTAAATTAAGCAAGTGAGACGTTTGGATTCATCTGGTAGGAATCTTGTGAACAACCTGAGAATATGTATCGCTAATCTGCACCTGAATCATATCTTCATTGACTAGCTAGTCAATGAAGATAATTTCATTTGCAGCAAGACAAGATTTATTAGGCATGGAACTAAAGATATTATATCCTGCTAATCTATATAGACTGCAGTTCATGCAAGCCAAAGACATATTTAATACCTCAATCCTCAAAAAGCAGTTTGTCAGATTTCTTCTATGTCAATCTTCTCAGACAAAAATAGTGAGATACTCAAACTTATATGGTGCTCTGAAGTTTTCCTTCTGAATTGAAATAAAGAGCATGGCATTGTTTCATGAAACCGTCATAAGTACAAGTTCACCGACATCCCACTAGAATATGTGTGTTAATTGCAATACACATGTTTCAATGGGATATCTTACAAGTACTTATGATGGTTTTGTGAAACGCTGCATGGATGAAAGGTGAAGAATGTTACCTTGACATTAAGATTACCATCTACTAGAACATTCTCCAGCTTGAGATCACGGTGGATGATATCCTTGGAGTGGAGAAAATGCATTCCAGACGAAATTTGATGGACCATCCTATTGGTCAGAGGCCAGAGATCAGGGCGATCTTGCCATTTACTAATGCGGAAGTCCCAGAGAGATCCATGCTTCATGTATTCCATGACAATACCAATAAGGCAACCACAGTCGCATGCAGCTTTTTCACACTGCACAAACCCTTTGATGGAGACGATGTGGTTAGATGTGAGCGAAAGCACATGCTTTCCAGCCTCTTTTTGGTACATCAGCACCACTTGATCTCTATATCAGATAGTGAGAAAAACATTAATCAAAGATGATGAGGGTGGCCTATATACGGCTAAGGCACGACGGGTCTCTAACTTGCAGAGAACAACAAACACATCTTCACTCCATGCTTGTATGTGAGGAACTATACCTGGGCTAATGCTTGCAACCTCGGGGGTTTATTTGCATATATGGATTTACATGTACATTGGTTGACTAATGTAACTAATAAATATATATTCAAATAACAGAGCTTGTAAATAAAAGGAGGTACATGAATATCCATAGATTTCCGTGCATATCAATGAGCTGCTATATAATATTCAATAATATTTAGCTTTTATATAGCGCTTAATACACTCTAAGCACTCTAAGCACTGTCTCTGAGTGCTTTAAAATACCCCAATCATACTGTAAAGAACAATAAACCAAAGGATGAATAGAACATGAAAGGATAAACGTGAAAGGAGTAATAAAAGAGACTAAAGTTGGGGAGAGTGAACATAGCACGAGAGCATGTAGATCGAGGGAATGGTGACGGTGATTGGATGTGATGGAAAGAGCAAAATGGACTTTGATGATAGAAGAATGCAAATAGACATGGAGATACCTGTAGGATGCTTTCATACATGCTACAGTACAATGTCCTGTTCAAATAGCTCTACAATATCCACAAGGCATGAAGATTTTTTCTTAGACGATCTAAATATGGTCATAAGATGAAAAACTTCTTTGTCATATATTGTGACATAGCGAACAACTCTAAGCCAATCATAATTTGTCTGTATGATATGAGTTCCAATATTCATCTCTCAATCCAAACTGAAATTTCACAAGAAGCATGTGATCCTTCCTCCTGTCCCATATTTTGCAGTCAAAGCTAGGGTAGTTTTACCACACAGTTTGCTCTCTTCAGAGATATGTCTGTTAACCTGGGGTTATGGGGTTCCTATGTTTTACAGCAGAGGCCTGTAATTATTGTTTGGTTCAAAACCTTTAGATTTGCCTGATATATTTCCGCATAATTTTTCTTATGACTACATCTCTGCTGTATGAAATTTGGTTAATAATTTTGTAAAAGTCAATTATGAACACAAAAATCTTTGAATTGGCAATGCACAACGGAGTGTAAAATCTTTTAAAAACATATGTGAAAAGTAGGTAACATGTAGTTAACATAACCTGTATTCATAAAACAATGTAAAATCAAACTATGATAACAGAGTTTTTTGGTGGGAAAGATGCAGCCTCATGCATGTACTTAACATGATGCATTTAGTTTGGGTATTCTGAAAACTCTTTCAACCAAAAGATAACATCAAAGTCAACATAGAAAAAAACATTGGTCTGGATATCTTCTAATTGTACATTGATCTTTTTATAAGTGAATAGATATTCTCTTTCCTGTATTTTTCTTGTTTCCTGGTAGTTTCCTTCACAACAATATATATATTTGTTTTCCTTCAAGTTCACCCTTAACAGGTGTTTTTATTACAACAAAATATTCAAACTCACATACATTTTTGTTGAACATAACAACTATAATACTTTACACATACATTTCTATCAATTCAGGTAAATCATACATTTTTTGTTTTTCTTTTTTTAACAGAGCTGCGTTGATGTCCAAACGTATCTAAACTTCTTTTTCGAAAATGTACCAAAAAATTGTTTTCCTTTCATCTTTCCCTTTGCGTTTCTCAAAATTATCATTTGATATAAGCTCCAAAAGGCAATAATACAATATCATCAATATTTTTTTCAAATTTTTTTTTAACAGAATACCAATATCAAAATCAATATCTACATTATAGACATGCTTTATCATTTCCATTAATTTTTCAAAGAAGAGAATGAAGAAGGGAATGTTTATTTCACATTTCAAAAAAGCATGAAATAAATCTTCTTTACAGTAACATGTTTCACATATATCGGAATTACTAAATCCCATAAAAACTACATGGCTTTTTACAGGAATCAAATTATAAATTGTCTTAAAATTAAATTGTTTCAATTTATTTCCCTTTACATTCATCAAATTTCTTGAGAAAGATCTTTTTACAGGTCACATGACAATCAATTAAGTGTGTCCAGTATAATGGACTTTCATCTCTTATTTCATTCCTTGCTAGAATATGATAAAACACCCTACTTGACACAAATTCCAATTGTTTTTCTTTTTTACCAATTGGTATACGGTAGTTGGAGTTTGTAACAAAATAGATTCTTTTAAGTTATCAGTCCAAACTACAATATGATTCTTTGAATCCACAGCTTTCGATAGTAAAACAAACATAGAAAACATAGAAAAGAAAGAAATAAAGTAGCTTTTCATGAACACCTTCATGACAAGGACTTGGACAAAGGTAGTGCGTATGAATTGATGATGCTCAGTAATTACACGCTATAGTTCACATAGCTGTACGCCCGATCAAACATGAAACATGATTGGCTGAGAGATTTTAACAGTGAGTCTCATTGGAGAATCAATGAAAAATGGGCATGTCGGGGGCATTTACTAAAAAAGAATAACATACCCCTGACACAGTTTTCACAATACTGATTACGAGATATGTTAAGGGTATGTTATCTGTGGGACACATAGAAGGTAACATAGTTTCCAGAATACTGCCCCAGATATTTAGAAACTGTTATTCCTCTATGAGTCGATATCACTTTCAACAATTCTTTTTACTTACTCTTTACCAGGTTTAGCAAGCTTCACAGCTACATCACCATGTACTTTATGTACAGCCTTGTAGACCTCCCCAAAAGAGCCTCCACCCAAATGACAGCCTTCATGCTCCCTTGCTTCCTTCTCATGGAAGGTACATTTTCGCCCAGTGGAGTCTTTAACAGTGAGGTCCGCCATCATGATTTCATCAAGCTGATGAACAGACAACCTTGCATCAACTTCATCACAGCCTGCTTCTAACGCCATTTCTAAATCAAAGTGGGAAAAAATACTCAGCAGTCATTATGACAATACTCAAGACCGTTTACAAGCATCTTGCAGCTAACCTATGTTCTGGAGTATGCATTTGTAATAATGTAACTGTATATGTACATGCTTGTTGTAATTTTGTTTTCAATTGCTCATAACCAAGTGGTTAAATCCACCATGAATACAACCTATTACGATAGTGGTCATGTAAGAAGAAGTAATTTACTTAGAAAAAAGTAGTCTTCACAATTTCTTCATAGGTTATGTTGAATTAATTTCTTATTTATGATTGTATTTTAAGTTTCAACTGCTGACAGGGCTACCTTGTATAAATGAAATAAAACAAAATGAATAAACAAACAAATACAATGACATATGTAAGCCTTAACATGGCACTCTCTCATAAAACTTGTTAATAAGTTATAAGACTGATAATAGAAACTGAGATTATTAAGTTTGATCACTTATATACTGCTTTATTATTGAAAAATAAGGAAATTTTAATTTCTATGAAATCTTAGTATTAATAGGAACTATGAAGAAAAAAACACAAAAAAAAACACAGCATAATTGTAATGACTGCCCTCTCTCTGTCTTCTGTGAATACTCAAACTCAGAGACAAAAATGTAAAAACTAAATTCCACTGAAACAAGGGGGGATTGTTGTGAGATGAGCATATGCCCCTATGATTAAGATTACGGTAAGCAACGCCAGGTTTACATTACATTTTTCACTCTTAAAATTCAAGGGAGAACAACTGTATACAATGCTTAACTTTAAGTAGATAAAAATTAAAGAACACCATTTTTTTTTTAAACAGAGCTCTTAGAAATTAATAGACTAGAGTGGTATGTATTGTAATATATACATGTACATGTATATTTCATTTATTAAAAAAAACGCCATTCATGAATTGGCTTGGTGAAGAACTGAAGATGGATGATCAAAGCATAGATCTGCTGAACATTAAGAGTCCACAAAAGATAGAGCATCTAAAAAATCTACAAAAAGCATCTACAAAAGATAGATCACTAGAATCCCTAGAAACATTTAAAAAGAATCTAAAGTCATATATGTTTGCATGTTATTTTTGTTAATTATATGTTGAATGTACGCGCATCTATGCATTTTCCTTTTTTTTCCTTTTTTTTCTTCCCTCTTCTCATTTCTCTTATATCTCATTCTAATTCTATCCCTCTGCGCCTCAGAATAGTTTACTAGATCGATGGCACATAATAAATGCTGTATTATTATTATTATTATTATTAATATTAATTTATCCTATCAATCACTTATTAGTGTGGGTTTTTTTATCAGCAGACTGAGCAGAGTGTTCAATATTCAATAACACTGTTATTAGTGTGTAGAAAGTAAATCAAAGAGAACAGAAAGCATCCCTCTTTATATAAATTCAAATGATATTTAGAAAGTACACTAACATTCACTTGTACAGAGAGGAAGGTTTGACATTAGGTCTATGGTGCATATTGATGCTACTTTCAGTTCTTGTCCAAAGTTCTGGTGATACAGGCAGATCAATTTCTCTACAACCATATCAAACTTCCTGGCTACTAAGAATACTTCCTGTTTAGATTCAATTACTTAGAAACATAATTGTTCACTCATACACAATTTTGTTAAACAATTTTAAAAAAGAACATGAGGATACAACTGTATACCACCCTCTAAACTACCTGGTAATTAAAGGAAATTAATTAATTTAAGAAAAGTGCTGCAGCAACATAAAAACTGTACTGAACTGCAATAGGGGTGAAAAGCGTAAAATAGCTTTGTATAAGTTTCCTCATTGTTAATTAAGATATATGGTGAAATACTTTATTACTAGCAGGACCCGCGGAAATCCGCGGGATTCTAGAGGGGGGCGGGGGGTGTAAATAGATATATAGAGCTAGACTGTCTAAATTAAAACCACCAAGAACTTTATTTGCCATTCAGGCCATTAAAAAAATATACATGTTTAGCGTCCCCGCCCGCTTCCTTTTTGGGGGCCGCCTTTTATTTATTTATTTTTTGAAATTTTTTTGATTTTTTTTTTTTTGAATTTTTTTGTTTGTTGATTTTTGTTGATTTTTTGAAAGAAAAAAAAACACGAAAAGCACTGCTAACATGTATTTCTGATTTTAAAAAAGAAAAAAAAAATTGTCGGCCGCCATCTTGAAAAATAGCCCGATTGTCAGGGAAAATGTACGGAGCGGCCATTTTGAAAGAAGAAAAAAAAGAAGGGCCTCCTCCTTCCCATTTTTCAAAAAAAAACAGGACGCTAAACATGTTTTTTTTTAAATTGGGCCTTTTATAAAAATTTAAAAAACGATCCAACTGTACCGGTAGTTATTCTTTAAGCCACTGGAACTGCGTAGTGTTCCGTAGTGTGGCGTACCGACTACGCAGAAATTAGGCTGCGTATTAATGGGAAAATAGTCCCTGCGTAGGTTATGCGTAGGCTGGTGTACAGGTTTGCTTATGGTTGCTTACTGTGTGGAAAGCTTTTACTGCTTTGTCGATCTGGCGTAGGGTAGCATACTGTTGCGTAGGCATGTAGCGTAGTGTTGCGTAAAAAGGCGTACTTTCTGCGTCAAGTTTCTACGCCGAAAGTACGCGAAAAACTAACATGTTGAATTGCAGTTTGAATAGGAAGGAAGTTTGAATAGGAAGGAAGTCCCTTCATTTATTGACCATTTAAAACAACAAAATATACAAAACAACAATACAATAGAAGAATGATATCAAATAACAACAACATACAAAAGTAATAATGGTCAGGGTCCCTGAGAAGCAAGACTGCTTGTAGTCGGGACCCTTTATACAAGTACATTATAATATAAATATAAATTTAAGTACACACACACGCACACACGCCCACACACACACACACACACACACACGAATGGGGCATTAAGAGAAAGAGCTACGAAGAGAGATCGAGATTATTTAAAGAACTGAATAAACGTAACTTGCACAATACTTTAAATCTGGATAGTGTTGTGCTATTTGTAATGTTACTACTTAACGAATTCCATTCATGCACCCCTGTGAACCTAATTGAATTGCGAACATAATTGAATCTAGAGAAGGGTTTATGTAAATCTTGATGTTGTCTAGTTAAATGAGTGTGAAATTTTGAGTTTGTTTGAAACATGTTAGAAACAAATTCTGGAAGAGCGCCTTTATTATATTTATACATAAAAATCCAGGTATTCAATCTTATCAGTTCAAAAAGAGGCATAATTTTATATTTAACAAAAAGTGGCGCGCTTGGAGTCATATAATGAGAGTTAGTCGACAGACGAACTGCTTTCTTTTGTAAAATAAACAATTTTGATAAGTGTGATTTGAAAGTATTGCCCCAAATTATAGTACAATAGTTCAGATGAGGAAGTAATATAGCATAATAAATATTAAGTAATATTCTGAGGGGTAAAAAATTCTTAAGTCTATAGAATACACCAATACATTTGAGCAATTTATTACAGACATTATCAATATGTTTTTTCCAGTCTAAATTTTCTTGGATGGTTACTCCTAAGAAGTCAATGCAATCTTTTCTTTCAATAGCAATATCATCAATTTTTACAACTTCAATGTCACTTAATACCTTTCTCTTCCTAGGATGGAAAATTACATATTTAGTTTTTTCAAAATTAAGTTGCAATTTATTACACTTGAACCAATTATTTAAAATACACAATTCTGAATTTACAGTGGAAATCAATTGAGATATATTAGCATGGGGAACACAACAGCAGTGTCATCCGCAAAGAGAGAAAACTTCAATAATTTTGATGAATTAACAATGTCATTTACATATAAAATAAACAAAAGTGGCCCCAAAACTGAACCCTGAGGGACACCGATATGAATATTCATGAGATTGGATTCGACACCATCGACCACCACATACTGTTTACGACTTAATAAATAACTTTGAAACCATTGAAGAGGTATACCACAAATACCATAGTAATTCATTTTTTTCAAGAGATGTGGTGATCGATGGTGTCAAAAGCCTTGGATAAATCCATAAATACACCACAACAAAAATTACCACTGTTTAATTCTTGTAAAATGTAATCAGTAAGATTTAATATACTAAGTGAAGTACTGAAATCTTTACGAAAGCCAAATTGGTCATTAATAAGGATTTTGTATTTATTTAAAAAATCATACAGTCTTCTGTGCATTATTTTTTCTAAAATTTTACAAAATATGGATAACAAAGCCACTGGTCTATAATTTTCAATGTTATTTATATCATTCTTTTTATATATTGGTATTATCTTTGCAATTTTTAAACTATCTGGCATAATACCAGTCATAAAAGATTTATTAAATACATCGCACAATGGATGTACAAAATAATGGATACACTGTTTAACAACTTTTGGCGAAATACCATCTGGTCCACAGGCTTTATTACTTTTTAAAGTTGATGCTATTTCTATAATTTCATTGACACAAGTTGGTTTAATATAGAATGAGTTGAACGATTTGTCTGGTAAAAATTCCTGAAATGAGTGGGATGAAAAAATTGAACTCGACAGTTTTTTACCTATATTGACAAAAAATGAATTAAAATATTGAGCAACATCTATCCTTGAACTTATTTTTATATTTTCATGATACATTGTTTTGGGAAATGCATTTTCTTTTTTGTTGCCCAAAATCAAATTTATTTGTCTCCAAGTTTTTTTAAGATCCCCTTTGACATTATCAAATAAATTCTTGTAATAATTTCCTTTTGAAGATCTACTAATGTTTGTTAATTTATTTTTATACAACAAATATTTCCTCTTATGCTGATCACTTGGTTTTTTTAAAAATGTTTCATATAATCTATGTTTTCGTTTGACTGATTTCAAGATTCCCTTTGTAATCCAGGGCTTTATAGAATTATGTTGATTACTTACACAGTTCAATTGCAAAGGAAAACAATTATCATAAACTTTGTAAAATTTTTCAAAAAATATATTATAACTGTCA